GTAGGCAACTCTTCCAGTGAATGTGATGTGGCGTTTTCAGATTTGGCGATGCTGTAAATACCGCTTCCCGAATGGAAAGCAGCGGAGAAGACGGACGAATCCACGCAAGTTTCAGCACGGTTAGGCTTTTAACTCATCAAAGTGGGATCACATGCATATTTCGCGGGACTATTGTCGTAAAGGTATTAAATTCTACTATTTATACGATGACCAGTGTCCAGAAAAAATTTTGTTGGCCGGCACTACGCTTGGTGTTAATTCACTTTCGCCGAAACATCAAGTTAGATTGATATATTAAGCCTTCCAAAGCATTAATGTCCTGTAATTCATTTTTTAAGGGCAAGGGCGAAATGGATACATATTGGATATCCTGAACGGACAGAGTATCCAAAGTGAAAAATGTGTCAGGTGACATCTGGATACAGGCCGGATAAAGTGACTGCAAAACGGTCTAGTCGAACAGAATGTTTTGCAGTATTCCACTCGTAAGGTTTTATGAGAGCAGCACAAACATATGTTGGCTTAATGGAAAACGACAGAATTGCAATCATACAGACACCTACATTTATACACTTAAACACATGGTTTGTTTAATAAAATCACATGCGAAAACGGGTTTCGAAACATTGTCGCTATTTCCAGAACTAGGAAGCGGTATTCTTGATTTCATACACATCAGGTCGTTTTACCACAGCGTAGCGAAGGAGTTTCGAATACTCCGTTAATAAATCCTTCCAATAATCTTCGACATTTGTCAACGAAAGATGTCTAAACACAAATTCTTTTCCTCTGAAAAACAAAACCAGACTAAAAATACTATCAAAACGTTATAAAACATGTTGCAACCTTGCTTACCTGCTTGCAATCTGCCGAGCTAAATCATCGTTGGCTCGGAGAAGATCCAATATTATCTGCACATCAGAAAGATCTTTCCTAACCGGTATATAGTGTACCCATGGTTTCAGTTCATCGTAAAAAAATTCAACCCAGTCAGATTCCACATTCAGAACCACGGCATCGCACAGAAACAAATGCTTCAAACGAAAACTAGCCGCCACGCCTCGGAAATTAAATAAGTATTTGTACTGGCAGTGATCTTCCAACGAAACTTCGTCCGCTGGAGGCAATCCCAGCGTATCATCTTCTGAACGCCATGCTTGATTCTTTGTGTACGCCGCGTCAACCAAACCAGGCTGTTGACGGGATAGCAATACCAGCGGATCACGATCGGCACTCGTGCGAGATCCCCGGAAAAAGCCCACGGGAGTTTTCTTTTCCCACGGATGCGCATCAGCGCTCTGCAAGAGGCGGTCGCGCATAAGATCCCATCGCCCCAATCCTTGTGGATACAACATTATGGCGGGACCACCTTCCCAAAATGTCCACGCCGGATACAGAATGTCATCGAAGACCGACGACTAAAATACACAAAAAAACAAGAAATCAATTTGCAACAACGTTAGCGTGTGCCAACGGTGAATACAAAATATTCTGCCAAATTAAAAAAAATATCGTGCAGAAATCGAAATATTTGAAGCGATCGCAAATTGCCCTGCACAATGGATTGTACGGTGTGCAGAATTTTTAAACGTTAAACTTGATTAATTTAAACGCAAGAAAATTTAAACCGCCAAACCGGCCTGACGTCGTTATTTGCCTTACTTTGCTGAAGGAAAACACAGGTGCAGCAGCGGCATGATTGGCATACGCCTGAGGATAGTCTCGCACATTAACAACCATTTCCGTATCTGGCAAATCTTTTAATAATTTTAGCAGAAAATGCTCAATCCCAGAACACCGAGAGGGAAACAAGCAATCACGCTGCCGATAAAGTCGATTGTTAATAATCTGGTACACGGTACCATGATCAAGAACGGACAGGAATGCATCTCTTGAAATGCCGTCGGCAAAGGGTTCCAGATCTTTCTTTAAAGCGCGGCGATAACATACACGCACGTTGGATTCTTTATCTGTTGAGCAGGGCCTGTAAGCTTCCAGAGCTTCAGATACGAGTTTGCGATAAACGCTCCATTTGTCGCTTGTTGCTGCAATGGTGCGCCAATCAAAGTAACTAATTATTACATGCACAAGCAGTATGAAAATAAGAAGCAATTTAAACAAACCTAGCTACTTATAACTGATAAGCAACCGTGAGGGTATCAAAGTAAGAGAAACGGCCCGGTACGCTTATTAACTCGTAAATACTGAAATTCGCGCACATCCACACGAATTTCGCTCTGCTTTACCCATTCTCAAGTAATCAACCATTTTTGTGCATTGTTTATTGTGCAAACAACATTCATTGGCAAATAACAAGCAAACAGATCATGCGTGCAGTACCGCATACATATTTCTAACCGGCCGCAGTGACGTCACTGCGGGAATAATCACTGGACAAAAGCAATCATTTTATTTCGCTCAAAAAATCGTATATGTCATTCAAAAATTATTCCCCTCAGCGATTTTAAAAAAATTCTCAACAGAAAAATTCGACATCACAGATCTAGCAAGAATAGCGTAAAACCTAAAATGAAACGCAGATCACTAGAGTCTAGTAAGTAGAGTGAAAGTAAGTACTGTATACGAAATCAAGCAAAAATGAAATTTTAGGTACGAGTACTGTTTTATTGCACGTACTCGAACTTGCGCCAGTGCCAGTATCTCCAGGAGTTGTCTCCGCCAAATCGCGCTCATCGAGAAGTTCTAGTGACAGAACCCTCCCTGAATTGATACTGCAATCCCCCTCTCCGTTACCAGCAGAACAAAATTCAGAAGATCCAGATTCTGAGCGAACTTCAGTACTTGATGTTAAAGGAGCAAGTGCTACCAAAATAAACAAGAAAATGCAAACAAGGTTTTTGCAAAATAGTTCCGCGTGGGTGGCAAGGCCAGGCATCTTGCATCTGCTTTCCTGTGATGAGATAAGATTATCAGAATCCTTCTTTTAATTGCAATGACCGCCCAGTGTATCGCAGTTGATGTACGTCCCAGATTAATAGGAAAACAAAAAATGGAACTAGGAACTTACTCGGACTTCGGCGCGAGAAATTTTGTATGGTAGTCGGTAACTGCCCCCCACAAGATGAAAGCACCGCAAAGCACAAACGTGTAAGCACAAACGGCTAGTTTTTCCAGCTTACAAAACCCTGAAATTTTAATTCAAGGCGAAGTTACTTGCAAGGATTATTTCAGTTGCTGTAACTATTTGAACTGTACTTATTTTTTATGACGAAATGTGATAGCAATCACAGCATAGATAGCGAACCGGAATAACCTTTGCGGGATAGACAAACAACTCAAACGAGCAGTCAGAGTGTTTCAGGCATATTGCGCCTTGCGGTGCATGGGAATAAGTATACTGTAAATATAGATTTTACGTGTTACGTTTATGTGTCTGCGGGATCGATTTGTGCAATGTCCATACCGGCGTTTGTAATTTTATTGTTACATCTACCTTATGTCTTTCTTCGAACAACTCGTTGCAGCATGACTGTAAATCCATATTATAAACTAAATTATTTATGCTGCAGCAGCTTCGTTTATGAATGTTGTACAGCTCAATTGCATTCTTCTCGCGATGTAACGATTTGCCAGTGAAAGTTTGCCAATCAGATATGCACAACGATACTGCACCAAAGAAAACCCTGCACCACCTCTTGTCGCTGTATCCGCCAGACCGCCACCAAAATCTTTTGGGAGATGCAGTAACTTCCTTCACGATCGTTTCCTTTACGTAATCTTCTTGTACTTTCGAACGGCCACAACATTCTTGTATCGGATGGTCTATGGAGCAAAACATCACACTTATCAACTTGTATAGATATAACAATTCTCTTTCAGGTCTACTCCATTTTGCCTGATTAAAAAGTTTTATGCTCAACAAAATACCATGCGTTGTATCATTATCGTCATTACAACTGGACACTTGAGCTGTAGCTCTTCTCATGCAGAAATTAATTGCGAAGCGCTTGCATTATACACTGCCTTTACGGTACACTTTATCAGTCTTTATACTTAATTATACTATTGTATAATTACCGCGGTCATTTCGTTTCCATTGAATTCTCTGTCAATTGTCGATTCGAATCCCTTCTCACCAGATTGCTTTTGCTTTAGCACGTTGTTATCCAAGGTGAAAATAGACTGAAAATGAGCCTTTTTCAGTTAATTCATTTCTTTAAATTTTAAACTAACACTATGTACCGTACGGACCGTGCCTAGTACCACTATTACCTGTTCTACTCGAGTTGTGTTGATCACTTTGATGAGTGCTGGTACGTGGTAACGCATTTAATTATAACATAACTATGCAAACTGGACAACCCATTTTTTAAACTCTGGCTACAAACCTGCACATCGCGATCATCCATTGTCTTTTCCGGAACTGTTTCGTTCAACACGAACTTGACCTCGGAGGTTTTGACAGGAGTAACAGTTTTCAGATGGTATTCATCGCCGGTTTTTGTAATTTCAACAGTAGCGGAATCCATTGCCGACGCCAGTTTCCGTTTGATAAAGTTTACTCCTATAATTGCACGGTAGCGGAGATAAAGGGAAACGGGTTGGATCAAAAACTTTACAGTTGCAAATTATTTGGTATTTAGTACGGCAAAAGTCCAGCCGCAAATACATGTCGTCCAAGTGATCATTCTGTATTTTCAATGATGACATAACATTAATGATAATAATGCAATATTAATAATGATGATAAATATAATATTGAATAATGATCTTTTATGGTTTTTTAGTTTAATATTACAGTCAAGAGGTCCATTACTACGACTATCTACGAATGATACGTATTATACATAATACTGCCTGCTAAACTGACTGCTAGTTTGCTCACCGATCTCTTTTAGGTATTCATCAAAATTTTCACTGCTGGCCAGTTGATAGCGTCCCGTAATATCCATTTTATGATCTTTGGTCGAACTATGAAAATTAATCGAAATCTGTTTCTTATTAAATCACCGGGACTGGCCGTATGTACAGCTGCTTGATGGACTGATCCGCTACTAAAATCTGCAACCGTCACTTGCGTGCGCTAAAAAGTTTCGACGCATGAAAATACTGTACTTACCATTAGCGAAGAATATATGTGTGATGTTCGTGTTCATGACTCCAAGGTCACCGGTGCTGCCAAGTACAACAGTACGAATACGGTTTACCATGGCGTACGTGTAACATGCACTTAAATTTTATTTTTTTGGAAGAAATGTATCCTTAGTACGTACGTCACAAAGCGAGCATTGCTGGAATACGATTAATACTGCAGTTGCACTGCTGGGGCCTGGAATGCTAGAAAGTTGAAACTGTGCAAGTACTATTATGTACATTGAAGTGTTTACTTCCGTTGGCCAGTTTTGATAGATCAAACCTTTCAGTTGACAGACAGACCGCAAGCACAAAGAATTACTACTCGTAGCCGGAATCTTTATCTTTAATTTGTAAAATATTATCAGATCATTTCTCCAATCCAGCAACGATGGGCCTATGGCAGCTGTGTTTCGAGACTTTCGACTTTGAACTATCGATCGCACTCTCGATATTCGTCCATCTGCGGCGAAATATTTTCGTTCTTACCTTAGCTAGCCGATTTCATGGACTTATATATAAATTCATGTACATAGTTGTAGATTGAATTTATGTCCATGCTTGCATAAAGGATAACAAAATCATATTATCCAGCTGCTGCATGTGTAATTCTATGTAAGATATATTATATATGTACCTAGATAAAAGTATCGTACAGTATGAAGTTATGAACACTGACTGCGAGCAAATAATCCTATTTGAAATATTTAGATTCAAGACTGCGGCCAAGAAAGTAAAGAAACTTCCTATTAAAAGTAGTTATCCGTGAATCAATTAAAAACAATCTATGACCACAAATCTGTATTGTATTGTAATTGTATGTATAGACGATGAACTGGATGCACACACATTTTGCTGCAAATTTTACAATGTGGTTACAACACCAGAAATATCAAACCGCGGCCATTACAACTGCAGTGCAATAATATCAGTTACAAAGTATTATCGTGGCTTCCGGCACAGTACCGGTCAATAAAAAGGAGAACAATTTTAAAACCTAACCATGGCAAGTAATCCGTAATAAGTTTCTCTCATACCAGCAAGAAAGTGATTAATAGATTGATTTCATCCTGCCTCCGGAGTATTGATTGGGCGACTTGAACCAATCAAATCGTTCGCGGACTTTGCAATTGGTTGAAAACAGCCAGTTAAATTTGAGACGTTGAGCGGAAGTTCTGTTCAAATTCAGATTCGGTGTCGCATTACCCGTCCACCCCGTGGGCCCGTATAAATAATGGAGCTTAAAAGAGGAATAACTTCTTAACGCCTCATCGTCTAAGAAACCAAAAATACTCCAGAAATAGAGCAACTTCTAATTAATGAACGGTTTGGGTGCTGCCAACTCGTCCAAGCCGACTGGCTGATAAAACGCTGTAAAACCTCTTCGGCGCATGTAAATTCGCGGTACATCTCACCCATCTACGTCACAGGGGCGGGCACTACGCCACCGTGAAATCAATCTATTTCTAACCGTTTTAAGGTTGGTCACTGTGAAGCTGGTCGCTCTTATCTTTATAGTTTTGTCAGTGTTGAAACAAAGATTTGATTTCTTAAAAAGTTTATGTATGTAATGATACGAATAGTTTTTCAGTACAGTATAATTTTGATTTTGATGGCCGAGACAACCGCCCTGGGTTCCATAAATCTGAGAGTCTTTTATACGAGTATGAGTGTGACGCTGTCCACTTTTGTTGAGAATGTTTCGTTGTCATGTTGTGAATGTTTGTTTTGTTGAGTTTCGTTGCGAGATTTAAAAATCAGAAACTCGTAGTTCTTGACGCTTTACATCTACTTGGTCGGTTGAAACCTGAATTTTGTGAAATGGAAACCGTGGACTAGAGTAGTACGTGTATTAAATAACTGAATATTTGGCTCGTGAAGCTTCTACCACAGCGCTCAGTGACGAGGGGTATGCATTCTTGCAGTTTTCTCATTGATTAAGTGCTGCTCCTCAGCTCCTGGCTAATTTGCAGTTATTCTTGATCAGGACTGTATTGATAATGCCTCGTCGTTTTGAAAGCCCTCCTGACAGTGAGGATGAAGGTGACGCTAACGTCGCCAACGACACAACCGAACAGCCCAAAGATGTGGACGAGAGTGCAGACAAGCCAGTGACGCACGATCGCGCAGGCTCTGAGGCAGCGAAACCTGTGATTGCACAGACCACAACCGAAGGTGGATCCGACGGTGACGATTCGGACGCCGAGCTACTGGTGGAGTTGACACCTCCTGACGTGGATCCTGCCAAATTCGATTTTGGCATTGAGATCCCCGAATACCGTCCGCACAAACCGCTGAATCTCGCGGAATCTCCTTCGCGTCTCTGTATCAAAGCCATCATTACTGAGAACTTCAAATCCTTCTACGGAAAGAAATTCCTCGGACCGTTTGATCAGAAATTCACGGCCATTGTCGGACCGAACGGCTGCGGAAAATCCAACACCATTGACGCACTGCTCTTCGTCTTCGGTTTTCCATCGCGACGCTTACGTGCGCAGAAACTGCAGGAGTTGATCCATGTATCGGGCAGCCACCCGGAGTGTCGGTCCGCCAGTGTATCGGTATACTTTGCCATGGTGCAGCGTCCGACCGATAATCAGCCGCCAGTGCCCAACTGTGCGGTGGAGTTCAGTATTACGCGTATGGTGCGCCGCAGCGGCGAGTCGGTGTATTATGTGGACAAGAATAAAGCCACGCGGGTGGATGTGGTGGACCGGTTGAAGGAGTACGGTGTGGACTTGGATCATAATCGCTTTTTGATTCTCCAGGGCGAAGTCGAGCAGATCTCCATGATGAAACCGACGGCCAAGTCGGAACATGAGGAAGGGATGTTGGAATATCTGGAGGATATTATCGGGTCAAATCGCTACAAGGAACCGATTACCAAGTTCGAAGAGGAAATCGCTCGGTTGAATGATGAGATTGAAAAGTCGGACAGTGTACAGCATACTTTGAGGAGAGATATGAACGGTAACCACTGGTTTTTCAGCGTTTAAATTTTGTTAAAAAAATTGAATTTAGAAAGTGAGGTTAATGCAGATTAGTTCTTCCTTGTGAAAAATTATTTTTATTTATTTTTGTGTACGATACGGTTGCCTCCTTGTTTGAGCCTTCCACTGATATGGAGTTATGGCCAACTGATAAATTTTGCGTGGGATTATCTGTAGTTTTCTGTTTTTGATAAAATAGTTCTTTTTAGGAATGCGATCCGAAAAGAAAAAAGCGGAGAAATATTTACAGGAAGAAGGTAATGCAAGCCGATTGGAGCACATCCTTCTGCAAGTGCGCATTCACACCCTGCGGAATGGTTTAAACGAACTGATGGAGGAAATTGCCACGCGAACCAAAGATATCCAGGAGAAACGCGAGGAACTGTCTGCCCTTAAGGCTAAAGAAAAATCGTGGCTGGATGGGCAGTCTGCTGTTAATAAACAGCTGAAAGAGTTGCGTGTTTCCGAAGATGCTGCTGTGAAGGAACACCAGCGCTTGGAAACGGAGAAAACCAAAATTGGACAAGAACTATCAGCCCGCAGAAAAGCCGCCACGCGGTTAGAAGATGAGTTGCGTAATTTGCGGCATGATATCGATGAACTGAAGCAGAAGATCGAAGAGGATGGCGAAACACTGGAGCAGAAAAAGGAGGCGGAAACAAGTCTGGATGAAAAGATCACAGAAGAAAGTGCCAATTTCGCTGCTGCGCAGGAACAAGTTGCATCGGTGGTAGGGAAGTATCGTAAACAGAAGGAAGAACTGGACCAATCAAAGCGAGCTGTCGAGCAGGAGCTGCATGCTTCCAATCTGCAGTTGGATGGGAAACAAAATGAACTAAATTTGGTGCGTTCGGAAGCCATTGCCGCCGAGAAACGGGTGACGGATATTACGAGCCGGCTGGATGCAGCGAATAATATTGTCAACCAGATGGATGAGCAAATCAGACTCGATCAAACGAGGCTGCAAGATGTGAAACGGGAGTTAGCGGATGTCACAACCAAATCTGCGGCCATTTCTGCTAAGAAAGCAACCATCCAGTCAAACCTCAGTAAGAATCGGGAGAGTCTGAACGCTTTACAGATGGTTCAACAACGGGAAAGCCAAGCACGCAGTCGGGATCATGCCATTAATGATCTGATGCAATGCAAGAGAAACAACTCCATACCCGGAATACTGGGACGGTTGGGGGATTTGGGAGCGGTTGATAAAAAGTATGAAGTCGCTGTATCGGCGATCGGTGGACGGAGCCTCGATATGGTTGTTGTGGATACGGTGCAGACCAGTAAAGCATGCATTGAGAGGCTGAAAGCCAGTGGTAAGGGACGCGCATCCATTATGGTACTGGAGCAAATACGCAAGAGGATCTCCGTGAATGCGATGGATGGCCGGACTGAATATCCGGAAGGATGTCCGCGGTTGATTGATCTGATTCGCCTTGAGGATCAGTCAGTCAAACCGGCTTTTTATTACATTTTAAGAGATTGTCTGGCGTCGGAGAATTTGGACCAAGCCACACGCGTGGCCAACCGTGGGCATACACGACATAAAGTGGTTACGCTTCGCGGTGAAGTAATCGACACAAGCGGTAAGTGAGAAAGGCATTCGTTGAAAGGCTGAGCTTGAATTTCAATTAGAAAAGGCTATTAAAGCGGTGCATCTCGTATTAGAATTATAACATTAAAGAATAATTCTACGCTAGGCAGAACGCAGATACTTTATATTCGAAAATAGATTTAAACCTAGATTTTTTTACATTCGAATGCTCCATGCACTTGCGTGTGCAGACGTAGTTAATACAAATTCGTTTTTTAGGTGCGATGACCGGAGGTGGAAGCGCCAGCGACATTGATGTCCGAATAGGACAGCAAGTGGTAGCACATGCTTCGCCCTCCTCGGCTCGTAATCAAAATGAAATCAACGCCCTGGAGGAAGCTGCCAGATTACTAAATACCGAACTCTCTGAAGTTGTCCAAGAATTTAATGATGCCTCTGTTCGGATTCCCTCGCTACAACGCGAAGAATCGGATCTGACCTCCAGATTGCGGGTTAATTCCCGGCAATTAGAAATTAATAAAACATTATCGAAATCGCTCCCAAACGAACTGTCACATGCTGAAGCCGCGCTTTCCGATTGTCGTGTGGATGCACGCAAGGAAAATGAGTTAAATGAAGCCATTGAAGAGTTGCAGCAAACCATCAGTGAAATTGAATCGCGCCGCGATGAACTGACACAAAAGATCGCTGACATTGACAGCCAGATTTGGGAAAAACGGGGCGAGAAGGTGAAGGAATCGGAGAGCAAGCTCAAGAAATACCGTAGGAAATTGGCGGAAACCAAGGCGGAAATCACCCGGCTCACCAGTGCCGTAAGTACCAACGAACGTGCCATTGTGTCTAAGCAGGGACAGATCGGCCGGAAGGAAACGCAGTTTGCCGATGCCACTGCTAAAGTTGCTGCACTCGAAACGGATCAGAAAGAAAGCGAACAGCGGATGTCCGCAGCAGCTGAGGTCTTGGTCAACGTCCGCAATGAACTGCGTGATGCACAGAGAAGTTTTGAACACATGAAGGCCAAAATGGAAGGCGTCCAGGAGGAAGTCGAAGCTCTTCAGAACGAGATGAACAGCATGGAAGCAGAATTGAAGGAACATGAAAAAGCTGCTAACAGTGCGCAGAAGCGGCTTGAAGAAATGGAACCCAAGATGGCAGGAATTGTCGAATACTGTAATGGTCGTGAATTTGCCAAACCTGTTGAGTTTAAAACTCTTACAGCAGAAGAAATTGGAGAGCAGGACAAGGATGAACTAAAAACAGAAATTGCTGAAGTTAAGGTGTGTTCGATGAAGATCTGCAATAATATCGTGCAAGGGTTGTTATGCAAAAACATGCCCATTCGCATTTGGTTATTGTTGGTTGATTACGAGAAATACCGCACCTTGGTATTTGTCGCATTTTTTTTGTAATTGAATTTTGAGTACAGTTTTGCTTAACTCTAACTACTTCGAAAGTATAGATCTGTGTTAACGAAGTAAGTAAGTTTTTGCAGTTGATACGGAATATCAATTCATATCTTGATCGTTGAAGTGAGACAAGTTAATGTGTTTTTCGTTACAGAAGCGCTTAGAAGGGATGCAGGTCAATCTGACTATTCTGAAGGATCATGCCGCTGCGAAGAAGAAAGTCGACGAGCATTTCACGATACACATGGAATTGAAGCAACGACATCATGCCGCTACGTCTCTACACAAGGAACTGTGTGAGCGACGGAAAAATGAATTTATGCGCTCTTTTGATCTTATTCGGAAGAAGTTGAAAGAAACGTATCACATGTTAACCTGCGGTGGAGATGCCGAACTGGAGATATGCAACCAGCTGAAGCTGTTCAGTGAGGGCATTGACTTCAACGTGCGACCACCAAATAAATCCTGGAAAAGTATTAGCAATTTATCGGGAGGAGAGAAGACGCTGAGCTCTTTGTCGCTCATTTTTGCACTGCATCATTACAAGCCCACACCGTTTTATATTATGGATGAAATCGACGCTGCGTTGGACTATCGAAACGTGACTATAGCTGGGAATTATGTAAAGGTATGTACTATGTAATGTACCTTTTAATTGGCCAGTGCAAAATTTTTTAGTTAAAGTTTTTGCTGCCGGTACACCCCAATGGCTGCTTGGTATTTTATATGGTAGGCGATTTGTAACCTTTTAAATGATATATTATTATTGAATGCAGAAATACTTAGTTTTATTCCTGTGGAAAATAAGAAATCAGTCGTTATGGAATTCCAAAAGCGTCTGTTTTCTGAAAGTGCTTAATTTTGAAATTGATGACCGATTTTTTTACAGAACCGCGCATTTGATGCCCAGTTCATCATCGTCAGCCTGCGCCCTAACATGTATCAACAGGCAGCTCGTCATCTGGGCATCTTTAAAATTGACGACTCCACACAGATTTCAATGTTGTCCAGTGACGCCTACAAGAATCTCACGGTACGTCCGACCGGCACTGAACGGAAGTATCAAAAGCGACACCGTAACGGCCGCGAGAAAGAAGTGGATCACGCTTCCGCTATGTTTGATCAAATTGTAGCGTCACTTTTCGACTTGTCCATGGAGACAGCCACTGCAGCGCAAAGTGGACCGAAGCGAACGGCAGCGGCCGCCGGAATAGATGCTGATAATTAATGTCAGATTTTGTACGTTTGTAATTTAGCGGACGTATTCGGATAAATTGCGGTGTAGTTGTACATATTGGTTTTCTAACCGGCGGTGTACACATTTTTTTGGTTTTTTTTTACTTGTTTTTATTTGGCCTCAGTAATTCTGGTTCTTGTAGTAATGTGTCCTACGATACAACTGGTGAGCATAGGGAAGGTCGTTTATTAAAACCAGCGGTACATTTGCCTGTTACGCCCTTGTAGTGATCCACAATTATCTGGTTATTAATTGGAACAAATATGGTTGCATTAGCACGGAGTTTTAGAAATCGTATTTGATATGATGAGTCTTTACTAATAATTTACGATGCCCCGTTCATCTGTGAAACTGCACAAAGGGTCACGCATTTAATTCTCATGTTGATCCGAAACACCTGGACGAGACAAGGATGACTGGCTTCCCAATCAAATAAAGATAACAATTTTTTGCAGGTTCTATCCGGTCGTTGCAGGATACAAGAGTGTTGCTCCTCCAGCGCTACCCAGCTGCCTTATTTTGCCGGCAAAAGTTGATGCCGCACACAAATATACTTTGTAGTACGGCTGTATATCAGAATTAATAAGTTTCAGCTTAGACTGTTTACGATGCGTGGACCGGGTCCGATCGATGTTGATCTCTTTATTGGGTTCGTGCGTAAATATACGGCAGCCTTGTAGTCGTAATGGATTTAATCATTTTAGCCGCACGCGTGTTTAGCAGGACAATCGAGTCTCCGATGACGGGATGCGCGGTTAATTCACACAAATCTATTTTATGATCTACAGCCGCTTTATTCTCCTACTCCGGAATACGTCCTTTATCCAGAGAGCTGATGCTCTGGGACTCAAATCGGTATTTTTCGTGCTTGTCGGCTAAATGTTCGACTTATTACTCTGGAAGCCGATTAAAACGCAGCTTATGATGCGCAAATCGTTGACTGATTACTGTTATGTAGCCGGCTTCCTTGCCAGCGCCGTCGGAGGTGTTCAGTTTATGGTTATCCTCCAAGAAGGAGTTATACTATGATGGGTTTTGAATTTATATTATGGAAATACTGTTTTCTGTTATATTAAACTTATTTCTTATAATACTTTGGAAAATAATATTTGTATCCGGTGTCGCTCCCATTAACGAAACGGTGCCTTTCCAGAATGTTAATCTAAGCAATACACTTAATGTGGAAATTATCTCAGTCGGCAATTACTATCCTACGTCGATTTCCAGCAATCCCTATGCTGGACCGGGTTTAGATTTGGGTATTGTCCATCTGAGGGATATGTTTGCTAAGTCATCGCCAGTGGTCAACTTTAAGCACACATACGTTTATGACCGGAAGTATCGGTTTTGTGGCGACATCACTGACAATGTTGATCGGATGACTGCCGAATATTATTACAACAGGCAGTTTCTGCCCAACATTACCGCATTCATTGCACCGGGTATGTTGTGTGACTTGTGCCCAATGTTATCCGAATTTAACACTTGTTTTCATCAGTTTAATTTTATCTTTCACGATTTTCGTCTTCTTTATCGTGCAAAATGTAAATTTTTACAACATTTTTCACAGCCTGAGCATATTTTTAACCCTGTTTCTGAACAGGCACTGCAACAATGTATTTCGTCATTCCAGATTTTTTATCGCTAATAAAAATGCTTTTCAGGATGCACGGAAAGAATAAATCTCAGTAAACTAATTCGAGGTCAGTCATTCGTTTTGCGTGCCTTGAATAATTTGCACAATTGTATTTTGCCGTACTTGCCGCTGTATACAAAATCAGCAATTAACATTTATGACTAATTGATAGGGTGGAATTCCTTGATGATGGTTGGGTACGACTGAGCATTTTACCCTAAAATGCCTTGCATAATACTTGTTAATATTTCTGCGCGGTAGCATTGCAGTGTTAAAAATTAATCCGTGCATTTTTTACAGAGGAAATGGTGAAATAATTTTTCGAAATAAAGCCCTTTTTCCCAATGTGATTCTTGCCGGGGAAAATGCCATAAAAAGTTACACAACGTATTTTGCTGCATTGCTGCGGAAATTCAACTGGTCAACCGTGTACATAATCTCCGATCAGTCGGCCAAACCGTTTCACGCTTTACTTGCACCAAATTTACACGCTTCACTCAAAGAACAAAAGGATTTTCGACTAACGTTTAGCCGGACAGGAGGACCCGATCTGCCAACATTTGATTCGGTTTTGGCGGACATACGCCAGTCTAGTCGAAGTAAGCCAGGGGACACAATTTTTGCGATAAACATCCGTAATTGTTTACGCTTTTTTTTTCTCGTTACGTACAGTTGTAGTATTTCTGGGATACGCTGCAGTACTGCGCACATTTATGGTGGGTAGGCTTCGGTTAAAAGTGATTGATTTTCATATACTCTTTGTACGAGTACGAATATTAATCCTGATTTTTGGTTTTTTATCAGCTCAAAGCTCAAAAAGCCGGAATGACTGATGGTGATTACGTGAGTAATGAAACTTGCGTGAGCATACATTTTATGTATCAAAATTTATTAATTTGTGGTGTACGAGTACATACGATAGATGTATTTGCGTTGACAACTAGCTTGTTTGTCTCTTCCGGCGTTAATTGAACTATGACCATAATGCAGGTTTATTTTGCATTGGAGCCTTTTAAACATTCTGATTATGGAAACTTGACATGGAAATATAATGATAAAGATGATGAGGTAAACAAACGCCGTTATAAATTTGGAAATTCAACAGCTGCTGCTGACTTTCAAACGAAGAACATAAAGAATATATTTAATTTAATTTTTCAGGATGCACGCAGATCCTTTCAGTCGTTGCTCATTGTGACATCTGCAAATAACTATCTGGCTGAAGATCGCCTAATATTTTACAACCAACTGAAGGATCTTTCGTATTCGAGATATAATTTTACCTACGCCGTCAACGAAGTTGTAAGTGTATACCTTTGAAACAACAAAATTTAACGCATCAACGATTGGTTCAGATAGTTGCAGTTTATTCCCATCTTTTGCAGCCGAATCCTTTTGTCACCGCAAGTACCGAAAGCATGATTATGTTTGGGACTGTGAGTATTTAATTTGAAGATAAACGCGCGCTACCTGTAAAGTCCAGCGTATCTGTACTTGCCGTTTATTTTTAATTTATCAACTAAAAATAGAATTTTTTTACAGGTGTTGCAAGAAATGATTGCCGAATATCCCTTACCAAAATTGTCCGACGGTAGTGCGATGGCGAAACGTTTCTGGAATCGAACCTTCACACTGTCCGATCCATATTCCGTTACGATCGCCTTTGACGATGTCGGTGAACGTAAACAGCTTCTGGTAACGCAACAATTTATTGATAATTTCACCGATCGGACGAACGTTGCCGTGTATAATGAGACCAGTGGGAATGTCGATATTTTAACTAATATTCGCTGGCCGATCGCATGGCCGCCCCCCAATGAGCCCTTTTGCGGATACCTCGGCCTTGACGTTCGCTGTCGCAGTGCCGGTAATTCTCGCTAATCTGCGTGCGCTTTTTATTCGTAATTCTTTATTTGCTGTCTTAATTCGTCTAAGGAAACCACATTTAACTTAAGCATGTACTTTCAGAGAAATAAATTAATTACGAATTCATTCGACGAAATGACGACGACTGCTCACAATTATGACCACTGCTCACGACTTTAAATGCAGCCCTTACATTCATGTACATGTGATGTTGACCTTTTGTATTTCAGGTACGACATCCTTTGTGCTGACCAGTGCGATATCCGTAATTGCTTGCATGATGATTATTATTTTGGTGACCGTGGGAATTTTAAGGTGATATTCTGCATAATTATGAATATACATTTCGTTCATATACATTTCGTTTTGTGCGACCAGACCCTGAAGTCCCGTTAAACGAGTTGTTTGGTCTTCTTGGAAAAATACGAAATCAGTGCGAATATATTAATATTACGAATACGATTATATTACTCATAAAGTCGTAATACTGCAATAATACCATGGTATTATTAAAAAACAGACACATCCTAATAGTTATTGGCCAATAACTATTAGGATGTGTCTGTTTTTTATGAAATGTACTCTCTACCCTAGTAAAGGTTTCCTTGCTGGTCTTCATTACATAGTTAAGGTAGTTTTATTTTTATCTAGATATCTTCGTCCATTTTCCCAAGATTTATACCGTTGGCTGCTTCTGGATGCCGATGTGCAGTTGGCGTACACTAAAACGGCGTGTTCGCATATGGCCACGTATCATGGTGATTCCGTGTGGGCCACCTGGACCGGTGTGGAAATCCGGCCAGCGCTCACTGTCGATGCCCTTAAAGTTGCGCATAACGATTTATTCGCAACGGTATACCGACGCCCTTCTATTAATGATTATCGAGTCTCGTACAACTTTTTACGCCATTTGAAGATTTTTAATTTTAGTTTGCCGATATTGACCATCGTAACATAAATTGCTTTATTGGCGTCTATCTGGAAAACAACCGCGATGTGTGGTTTCTCAGTACGTGGAATCGACGTGGATCTCTGGATCGGCTGCTGAGCAATGTGGATTCCCCCATTGCCGACTGGGATTTCAAGGTGTGCTTGGTATCCGATCTGCTAGAGGTACGTGCGCATGCAGTGACCGGAAACAGCATGTGTATTACGCACAATAGGCATCTGTTTAGCGATACATGTTACCATGGCAGTCTCTTAAGTTCCGCCATATTACGCATAGATTTACTGAACTGGGTGTGCGTAAAGGCAGTACGTTTTTGTTACTAGTATTGCGGAAGATCCTACGCTTACGAACGGTTAGAAAATTACTGCAATTAGCAAACAGCGCTTAGGTGGTGCATCTGATTTATTTAATCCAGTATTACCAAAACGTGAATTAAACAAATTCGTTACTCGACTTCCTGTGGTTCTGTTTTTGTCGGGTACTTAAAGATCCACGACGATGCGACGTACTATAGTTTTACAAAGGCAACATAACTAACAACTACAATAAGGCAACATACATATTTTAACACAATATTCTTTCCATAATTTATGAGCGACGAGGGCGTTGATGGTGAGGGAGAAGATATCGATTCGAAGGCTTACTATAACTAAACTAAAGCACAAATTTTTAAAATTTACTTTTAGACGTGCGTTTAAACCAGATTATGATTTGCGCATTTCACGCTGCTTTTACCAGTTGCGAGTATGAATTATCTGCATTAAAGTGGTCCAGCTAACACAGTCTTTGGACCGATTTCTAGAGTTTAACGCATGATGTTTCGAATATATCTGTATATAATTTCGTCTTGTACTTATATAATAATGATCGTCTTTATAGAGAATTCCATTACAATTACGTAAGCACGAGTATCGTATTACAGGCTATTAGCGTGTCATATTTACCGTAGTACAGGAAAGAAAAATTAAAATTTCGTTGATATCGATTTTAATTTTTAGGGCTTATGTTATATTCATCAAAGTCCTGCAAAATATCACGGTTCGCTCAGCGCACATCAGTGTCTTCTGGACCCTCATTTTACCCTGGTCATTGGTTCACTGGGATATGACAGAATGATAACCGCTTTGACGGAAAACCCGGTGCAAGAAAAAGGTCGAACCCGGTCCATACTTGGCAAATTGTTCAGTTGGACACACGCAGTCAAATCATCTACCATTGTAATTTGGCAACAAAACGACATCAAAGCCTTTAAGGATATCGTTTTTCAAATATGTTTCCCTATACGACTAGTCCAAGACAAAGCGCTAGATCAGCAGTTGTCCCGAAAAGCAGCGCAAATGTATAAATTCCAGGAGATCTTGGTGGATACGCCGACACCCTCCCTAAATTTAGAAGATATACGGACAAAATTTAGGCAGTTATTTGGAAAACGAAACAAGAATGTTGTGGAAAATTTACTAGCCAAGACCACTTCCTATGCGGAGACGCTGGAAGAAATTGTGGGCAGTCGGACGTTGCAACTGAAGAGCGAAAGGCAAAAAGCCGATGACCTTTTGTCGGAAATCCTCCCAAGGCATGCTGCGTTTATATACTATGCATACTGTACAATACTTATTCTTTAAAATAGGTCAGATAGTTCAGAAACAGAATTTTGAAAAATATTTAAGAATTTGAACAACAAGGTCACAACTGACAAGACCGAGTCGGACTAATGTTTGTTGCAGAACGATTGTCAATGCTCTAAGAAATAAGCAAGACGTGCGTCCCGAAGACTTTGACTCGGTTACCTTTGCCTTTTCTGACTTGCCTGGGTTTGTCACGTGGTCGTCTCAAGCCGCAGCAGCATCTGTGATTGAATTATTGAGCAGAGTGTACGTGACCTTTGACGAAGAAACTGCTCGATTTGATGTGTACAAAGTGGAAACAGTTGGTGATACTTACGTGGTAAGCTTGTGCCGCATGCCCACTGCAGCTTGTCATTATAGTAGTGCAATATTATTCGTTTTGTCAGTATATACAGATACGTATATATGTATATTTCTTCGATGAGGTTGCCAGTGGCCTTCCAATACGAAACGGTGACCAGCATGCGCTGGAGATTTGTCAAATGGCGAAGTGTTTTTTAAGCCGTTCGAAAGCTCTGGATCTTGAGAGAGACAACATGCGTTTACGAGTAGGCATACATTCTGGTAAGCAAATGTAATTACTCAGAAGTACTTTGATCGGCACTAGATTGTTTTGCGCGGTCACTGTAGATATTCCTGGTCGAATAAATTTGATTCCTACGTGCATATCATAAATCAGCGCGTTTTTCTGGTTTATTTTAGGAGCATGTGCTGCTGGTGTTATTGGGAACATTCTGCCACGATACTGCGTGTACGTTGATCATGTAATTAATTCATTAACAACGTTTACTGTAAACCTGCAATATTATTATTATATTAAGATCTAGCTTCTAAACTGCCGGTTTCCATTTTTTGAGAATCACTATATTCAAAGATTGCTAGCAAAAAGGGACATTAAACAGCAAAACAATCTCAATATTTCCGGAAAACTTAAAGTATCTTACATAAAGTTAAACCGCAAGTACTGAAAATGCGAATTTGTAGATTCGGAGATGTGGTAAATACGGCTTCCCGGATGGAAACAACCGGTGAACCTGGAAAAATTCATGCCAGTAGCAATACCGCAAAACTGATACCGCTTGGACAAGGCATTATTAAGATCCCTCGGGGAATTATCGATGTCAAGGTAGTAAAAACAATACAAGATGAGTGCAAAGCCCATATTTACAAATTCGATGTTTTTGCCTGCCTTTTAGGGAAAGGGCCAAATGCAGACGTACTGGATAGCTTGAGAAGATGTTGCTTGCGATCCGTTCTTATTAATACATGTTTTATTAAGAGTAACATTTCCGAGTAGCAACAGTTTACAAGACTCATCTGCACTTCCTTGTAAATTAACTATTAAAATAGTAAAACTGTCATCTGCAAGATAGCGCAACGAACTGAACAAAAAATTCACTAGAAAATAACAAACACAAGAACCAGAAACTGCAATACTTTAGACAATCAACCAAATAATCCAGATCTATTCTTCTTCTTCCTCATGATCGGCGTTGCCGTTCTGCAGCGCCACATCAATTCCATTAACCGTAATCATCTGTCCGCTTTCACCAGACTCGTCTTCGTCCTCCTCTTCTTCCTCTTCCTCCTCCTCCTCTTCTTCTTCTTCCTCTTCCTCCTCTTCTTCCTCGTCATCCCCATCATTGTCTTCCAGATCGGCATCCCCTTGTTGACAGGGCGTGGGCACCATCGGCGTAGCAGTCTTGCTGGAGGTTACCGACATCGACGTGGACAGGGGTGTCGGAGTTTCCTTCTCCGCCCCACTCCCACTGCGATGACTGTTTCCGTTGCCATGTTTACTATGAGCGCGTAGCGCCAGAACACGTTGCGCCTCCCTTTCCTTAGCCTCCTGCTGCATTTTAATCAACCGGATTACGGCGGGTTTGCACGGCTGGTTCAGTGGTGCCGTGGCTGACGGTGGTGGTGGTGGAATGGATCGGGTTGGATCGTATGTTGGTATCGCCAAGAGATTAAGTGGCAGCCCACTGCTGGGATTGTTCCGCACTTGCGGAGGCACAATTAGATATTTTTCTGCCTGCAATATGAAATAAAAAAATTAATTATACAAAGCTCGCATTTGAAAAAGTGACTTAAGGGTATCGCAACCACAAATAACTGTCAAACAAATTACAGATTAACAAAACCGTTCAATCGGATTATGTGGCATTTAAAGATCAGTTCCTGGTTTCGACTTTCGCACTGAGACATGCAAAGTCTATTTTACAGATACTTATACCAGAAAAGTGGGCAAGAATATCCAGATTCAATACAAAAATCAGCACAAGAAATTTACAGTTGTAAAAGCACTGGGAATAGCAGCAGTGTTACGAACCTTCGCCGGATCAGCCGGCTTCTGCAGGGACAAATATGGAAACAGCACAATGGATCCATCGGGAACAAGATACGGCCAGCAGATTAAAGGTCCGACGCCCTCTACACTAAACCCTACCGGAAACGCTCCACTAACAGCCTCGTCGACTTGAGGAAACGGTCGTTCGGCTTCGTTAACCGCTTCTTCAGCATCTGTCTGTAAATCTGGAAGGGAAGCAACCGACATATCCATCTCGTCTTCTGTCTTGCTAACCGAGCTGCGCGCTTCTCTCTTTACACTGCTGCGATTGACAGCAGGCGCCACGTTTTCATCCTGCACAGTACTCCGATGCGAAGCAGACCGCCTCCTCGACGGCGATCTCGAGCTGCTTTTCGGCATGATGTCCTTCGACGAACGACTCGATCCTGACTTGGAAGGAGACCGTGACCGCGATCGTTTCCGGCGCCGTTTCGGATCGTCTCGAGTGTTGCTGGCACGACTGGAACGCCTGTCGTTTCTTCTATCCCGGGAGCGGCTTCTGTTATTCGACCTCGATCTCGGCCGCTTTCGGGCGGTTGTTTCGTGCTTCCTATCCCGACTGGCTCTTCGCCTTTCACGACCACCGGATCGTGAACGAGAACGGCGTTCCCTCTTTATTCGATGCCCACTTCGAGAACGCGATCTTCGGCGTTTGGGGGGTGACGCTTCTTTGGGTTCTTTCTTTATTTCCTTCTCAGGACTTACAGGTTCTTTCTTTATTTCTACGGCAGGTGGAGGAGAAGCGAATCGTCCGCGGTGTCTGAAACAAATCCAGTTTAATTATAAACGCTGCGGAAATTCAAGACAAAACCAGAGCCGACAACTGATACGAGAATTATGTTACGGTTTTTATAGAGGATTCACAATGAATTCTCCCTATCAGACGTGTCGCTATTTGCCGTACTAGCAAACGATAGCGCCTCAAGTTTGACATTACTTACCGTGGCTTGAAATTTAAAACAGGCTTCTGTTCCACATCGACAACAGGTTCACATTTCACTTTTTCTTCTGTATCTATAATATTCTGGCCAACAGCGAGAGAACAAACTTCACGTGGCGGGGTCTCCGCGGAAATAGGTTCGAAGCCGTCAGTCGCACTATCGTCTCCCTCGGTGCACGCCTTGTCTTTCTTAATACCGATTTCTTGCAGAAACGCATCGTATTCATGAATTATAGCAGCTGGAGCCTCGGGCATAATCGGTGCAGTTTCCATCGCAGGCAAGGACCGTGCCTCTTGACCAGCCTTTTCCGCAGGGTCTGACCACATAGTCTGAATATCATTCGCAGGTTCTACAAGGGGCTTCTTACCCGCAATACCAGAAAGGCTGAAGGAGATCTTCGGATGATGTTCAATATTTATGATCGGCGGCGGAGGTGGTGGCGGTGGAAGCACAAGCGGCACAGACGGTAGCTCTGGCGCCGGCGTAATGACGTTCACCGGTCCAGCATCGGTAATATTTGTAGCTTCGTCTACGACAACCCCTACACTAGAGTCGCGAGAAACGCTCCTTTTCGCCTTATCTCGAGTTGGGTCTTTGGCTTTTTCGTGGCGCTCTTCCTCCCTCCGCGTCATACGATCCCAAAGTTTAGCGAAATCCACCTCTCTGGTTCTTTCTCCCGAAACGGACACCGCTGGTTTTACTGTGGTATAACGCACGATGTCGCCAGGTATGGTGACGGTATCTCCATTGAATTTAGTCACTCTCACACGGTATGGCCTTAAACGCGGACTAAAACCCTGTCGGTTTCTATCCCGGGAACGACGGCGGGGCGATCGATTTCCGCGGCGAGAACTGCCGCGGCCATCACGGTGACTGGTTGATCGATCCCTTTCACTGCGCGATTTCTTTTCATCTGAGTTAGTCTTTTCTCTTCGTGATTCGATCCTTCTGTGATCAGATGGCTGCCTAGTGGATGTGGAAATGCATTTCTCAGGAGAACTCCTTCTCCTCGACGATGTTTCCGACTTCACATTCTTATGAGATCTGTATAGTACAGAAAGAATAAAATATTTAATATTGTCAACAACCTCAACATCAAAAAACAGAAAATCCCGAAAAAAACGGAGACAGTGTCACACCCTAAAGCAAAAAAAATAAAAATTGTAATAACTCTGACATAAATTTGAAGAGAAGGAAAGTCTAAGCCACTTCCCTAAATAACCAAGAAACGGCTTTTCGTTCTTGATAATTTTAACCTCAAAGCACGCAGGGAAGGATCGCTCAAAGTTAAAAACGAGAGAAATATACGTTGCTCTCAAAAATGCTACCGTTCCACAACAAAAAATTCAACGTTACTAACCTGGATCGCGGACTGGAACTGTCAACATGGGATTTGGCGCGGTCAGACGGGGACGATATGGGCCGTTTATCATTGGTCGGTTCTTTGGTTAATACTGGCTGATTTCTCAAAGGTTCTTCCGTGGCAGAGAGCACAGTGATTCCAGCATCCCCATCTGCTTGACTAGGAAGAGGAATATCCGAAAGAGCCACTGCGCCCCCCTCACTGGGATGGGCATCGGTAGTACTCACAGGTTTCTCAATCTCTTCGACAGGAACAGGGGGAGCAGGTGGCACAGAAGACTCAGTGGAAGACTTTCCATCAAAATGGACATCATTATCCGTATTCTGGACATGTTTGCGCACTGCGCTAGACTTTTTGATGGAAAAACTAATGCCCCCAGCTGAAAAAGGCAGTACACGAGTTGGAGCTGAGCTGGACAGAATAGTCGCACTGCTCGGGATGACGGATCGAAATTCTACGTTTTTCTGCGGATCAACACCGAACTTCGAGGAACTAAAGCGACTCGGTCGCGCATTCGACATTTTATCCAGTGGGATTACTTCATCACGCTCTCATCCACAGCCGCAACTGAAAGAAAAATCGTTGAATCATCCCAGATTAAAAAGGCAAATAACGAGTATCATAGAACAAGCTGATGATGAATACACTTCAAAATGATTTAAATTTCCATAAAAGTCCAACAAGCAGAAGCAGAGAAACTGAACAGCTGTATGCTAGTCCAGTCTATACAAAGTGATGTGCTGTAACGAACCTTTCCGGTCCCCACTTGCTTACCAAATTCCCCACTTTTTTAACACAAAATCATTGTGTAAAACAGATAAAGGGCGACGAAAATGGAAGATTAAGCGGGATCTGAGAACATTTAAAACATCATAGTTGAAAACTCTGACCGTGGAAAATAGAAGTCCAGATTATTCATAAGTCTGAAAAATAATATTAAATTTTGTAAAATTCACTGGTCTACAGGTAAACAGACGGGGACATCCATTCATACTACTGCTTCCTGACGATTTGTAATCAAGTTAGCGCCACTAGTGAGGCACCAGTAGCAAGCGGAGCCCGGAGGGAGTGCGAACACAAACCGCCGGCTGTGACAAAACTGAAAAATGCGTGTGACAACCTTTATAGGCGGTTCAAAACCGACCCATTTATGTTCGCATTTCGCAGCCGGTGTTGTTGTTTAACTTCCGGCCACTTGGGCCACTTCCGTACGAGAAATCGTACCGTATTCATGGCCGAATTGCATGTCTCATGGTACGATCTGTTGTCTCAGGTCTTCGGTGGCTCTCCCGTCGCCCGTCTGTTATTTTCTCAGGTGGTAATCAAGGGAATCGCCCCGGTCTCAATCGGTCCAAGGGTTTCAACGCACAAAGGTCCGAACAAATTATTCATGTTTCGACATTTCCCGGTCGCAGAGGGCCGGCATCAGCCCAGTGCTTGCAGAGGGCCGGCATCAGCCCGTGCGGAAATCGCTTATGTACGACACGCACAACGCGGTACATTGGCAGATAGCGTTTTTGGTCAACCTCGGCCGTTCCTCTTCTAGTAGGGACTGCATTATATGCTGATGCCTTCAGTTCGAGAGATTCCCGGTTCAGTTGCAACTTCCGCCATCACCCCTGCGAAAGAAAAGGCGGTTTTGTAGCCGTTTTTAAGCGACTCGCTTAACTTTTCCGTCCCGCGCGAAACTTGCAGCTCGAGCGTGGTAGCCAAGCGCGTCCGACTGAATCGCCGCCGATCATAATGCGTTGGTATGGTGTCCATATTGGTAGTTGTCCCTTATAGGCGCGGCGCCCGCTCACCCGTCAGTACGCTTCTAATACATAAAGTTATTGTAAATGTGCTAGGTGAGAATGGTCGAGCGTGACAGTGCTGGTACCGGAATTTGAAGCATTATTTCAATTTAAAGGTATGTGTTTCTCCCTCTCCTTTCTGTTATCTTCGAATTTCTTAATTTTATGGTAGTTTCACTGCCCAGCCCTTCCAGGGCATCGAAATCTACAGATCTGGAATGTTCCGTCAGGTCAGAAAAGTCAGCATTCGATTAGATAAATATCGGATTTCTATTTCGTAGCTACCAATAATTAAAAACGATAGAGACAACGAAAATACGCCGCTATCACCGTGCATCATGCAAGGCAATAGCGGCGCATTTTTTCTTGTCTCTGTGCTATATACAGAGTAGATAAATTTCAGTTGATCTTTTATTCAGGCAAAAGTCAATAATATTATCATAATTAATAATATCAATAATTATGTTTATGAACATAACATTTCGCCTGCACTGAATTAAACACATATAAACAATTCAGTCAATTCAAGGAGTAAATACTCTTTGAAGAAAAGTCCACAATCATTACTGTCAGCTTATTCCAATGATTTTAACTACAGCAGAGCACGCATGTCTTCTACTCGCTAGCTAAATACTGACGCAATTGCTCCACAAAAATTTATCAGTTCAATTCATTAATCACTCATGAGATGTTTGTGAATTATCCAATAAAATAACGATAAATAAGCAATGGCTGGAGCTAGCAGAACCGGCGTGCGGAAAAACGATCCACGCCCTTATGTCTTCCTTTGTGTATCTGTTCTTAATTTGTAAATTACAACAGGGGGCCTCGTATCATCAGTCAAATGTTCTTAAATTTAAGCGAAATTATGTAATTAAGCGCAATTATTAAGCAGTTATTATTATTATATTTTGTGCGGTGCTAGCGCTGATTCTCCTAGGTGAAGGTTTTCTAATGTAATTCTAGTGCAAAACAAAGCTCCAGGATTCCAGAAACTAATCAATACTGTAGCTGTAAAGTTATCTCAAACCACAATTAAGTAAAAAATGCATTTACTTCGAAAGTCAGTGGAAGTGTAGAGAATCGAAAATATTCTTATAACCGGTGGAGACTCTGTAGAAGTAACAGATACATGTTATTAACGTAATGCCTTTAATCTGGATTCGCGTAAGTTTAACGTTCGAATGTACTGATTGCTCAAGTAGGGTCAATATCGCCATATCACTAATTTTTCTTAAAAATTATATTCTTTACGCCTTGTGGATCCTGGCACGCATTGATCTTTGTTTCGACAAAAAGGAGGGAAAGTAAAGGAAGGTGAATTAGTGGTCAAGGCTCTTAATACCGCTTTTGTGGTTCATTAAAGCATCTGCCACTGGCATGGCCTGCTCTCACTTCCGCCGTCTACAATTAGCATCTGCGACATCAGCAGCAGCGAATCGTAATTATAGAATTCCGATTTTCGATCTGCTTGCGCACGGTGTAAGGAAGCCAATTCCGTCAGTGTCCACCAGCGGCTGATGTCAATCCGACGGGAAGCATCGTCATTTCTGGGCATGTGCTGTTAATTACGGGTGCCTTGCGAGACGGATCTCAAGTATCCATCGTGCCTAGTTGCCGAAATCATCGCGTTATATTGGGGTAATTAGAAAGTAATTGGACGGCATCTACCGCCACTTCCTGCATCTTTATTAATTAGATCTCCCGCTTATAAAAACCCTGCTTAACCGCTGCAGATTTGTCAGTTGTTCGTTACGAACTGAACTCCTGAACATTTATCATTGCTTTCTGCCTTTAAGTTCTTGCGGCAGTGCTAGCGTTGAGGTTGTAGCAAAGTTCTACTCGTAGTTTTTTACAATGATTCCGCATTACGAAATTGAGAAGCGCTGCAGCCTCTGCATTCAACGACGCCGGCAGTCCGAAGCGGAAGCAATGATGGCCTTGCAAGGAGGGGTAAGCCATTAATATTTACTGCAGCATGATTTTCACTGCTTAATTAACGGCTTCTGTTATTGGACGGTAATGCCTAAATCAAGAAAGAATACTAATAACACCAGTGAAGGCAATAATGTGGCCTCACAATTTAAACAACTAACCGACAGACTGTTAATTAAATTCAAAAGCAGTTAACTATAATTAGATAATTATGATAGTAGGTAATTACGGCTGGCATTTGACTGTTATATCATCTTTGCAAAAAATTTCAAATGATTGGTAAGAGTAAGATTTTTAAGAGTTTTCTTGACGGTTACTGGTGACCTTTATGCCATATGCCTAACCGTCTTAGGAAACTATTTTTATTGCGTTTCATATATCAATACAGTTGATGTTGGCGTTATTACACGTACGTGTTTCCCGCTAATGCACTTGCTTACACCATTTGTTTCAACAGCGTAACATGTCCATTTCCTCCGATCCAACGGGAGGATCCGGGTTGGGTTATTTAAGCCATAAAGACCTACAGAAACTACAATCCGTAGCCAGCGGCTCCGGAGGCCATGTATGTCAGCGACACGGAAACTCGCAGAGTCGTCATCACTGACCTTTACCTTTCCTTGTGAGGATCAGATTTCTGCTTCAAGTCATGCGCAGAAACGGATGCTAAACATCACCGCCGTAGTAATTATCACGCTAATAATTAATAATTTGCTTTCCATCCCATCGAACGGAAAATGAGAAATGTGATCCCTGTCCTAAATGTCGAGGTGGTTAGCGGTCTCTGTTAACTATCAAAATTGATCAGCACAAGGCTTATTTATTTATAATGAAACCTTATGGATTGCATGCGAAAGAAATTGCATGTTATATGATTTGTGCAGTCGTTGATCTTATTAATTTTCATGAGCGTGATTTGTGCGAAATGCCTGCTCTTCATGCAATCTACATGCGTTTACATTGTTTTCATCTTCCTGTAAGCACGGAAAATTGCATATTAGTTGATAGATTATCGTGCAGATAACCAGCTGACCTGCACGCGTTATGTACTTACATTTTAGTAAGCAAGCATTAGAATTATGTGAGTATTGATTGAAAAGCAAAAACAAAACGGTGCTATGTGTATATGTACAAAACGTACAATACGATATGAAGTAGTACTCGTATCATGTAGATATAGAAAATATGTTAATGTGATAAGTGCCGGTAAGGTATATGTGGAAAATCAACATTTTCGCAGCAGTTTTACTTACTTTAGTTATATCTATATATATATTTTTATTTTGTTAGGGATACTTACCAAGTGAGCATACATTGCTGCTACTACTGAATACCTACTGGGTATATATTCTGGGTTCGGAATTATTAAAGTACGATTTAATTTTGTACAGCCAACGTCTGCGCTGAAAGGAGAAAGCCATAAAGGAAGTTACTGTAATTAGGAAAAACCCATTGGTGGCACTTTGTTTCCAATGACTGTTTTACATGTGTTAGACTTATGGATTCTCAAACAACAAATTGATTATTTTCACATAGCGTTTATGGGAATCCGGTGGATTGCGGAAAAGCACTTCCCGATTTGAATTTCTTTGCATGGAGCTATAATTATTAATATGCACGCATGCAGAGTGCCAATGCCGAGCCCTTATATTGACCGTGAAACACCTCCTTGTACGTGAAGTTCAATATTTACAACCATGCGGTCCACCAGATCGATATTTTAATGTTGGCCCAATATTGCAATATTATGCAACATTGGAAAAGAATACTTACCAAGGTTTCAATGTTCTTTTCGCTACCAGGATCAGCGTATACAAATATTCTTACGATGTACAGCAGGCGGACGTACATGTGTGTTGCATTTCCTTTACGCATCTGCATGTCTCTTAAGTTTTTGATAGACGAACTAAACCTAATCAATGAGATTATAAGTCGCACGCCATGAAACCTCTCTTTTTGTAAATGCTCCCGTGAGAAGCGTATAAATGCTTGAAAATAACACTCTTGTAGCATTGTATATTTCTAAGCCTTGAACTGTTGCAGCAGCTGTAAAAAAGTTTGTTTTCAGAACATTTTTTATTAGTTACGTTATATTGTCCTTCATCCATAAAGCGTAATGATTCCGCACTTCGATATTGATTCCACGTGCGAAGCGTGTGAGCAGCGTCGTTCGCAAGCGAATCAATCAACATCTGCAATTTCCTTACAGGTACGAGTAGATACGAGAAGCTAACTATTCACACAATTCTTTTCTGGAATTCTGTACAGTGTTTTGTGAGTATACATGCACGAACGGTTAAGATGCACGAAAATTAACATAAAATAAGCTCTTGCTAATTAGAATGCCATGGCCAGTTTGGACATCAGATAAAGATTAATTCTACGGCTTGACCGTTAACTCTTTCTTGGTGGACTACCTAAATCGTAGAACATCGTAGAATTAAGTGCAACAATTTTTGAATTCGTGGCCGCTTTAAAACACAGTTATAATTTTTAGCCAACTGCGTAAATGGCTACGAGTTGTGACTGTTTAAAAGTGGCCAAAAATCAAATCGCTCATCACGAACTGATATAATCGTTGTACAAGTACTAACCTTATAAATACAGTATACAAAAGGACTCATAGTATATGCAAACTATATTAGTGATGAAGCCGGTCACAGAACTAAGAGATAATACTGACCTTTTATATGTCTAACAATTATTTCTTGAAAATACTTTCTTTTCACCCTATTTGTTAGCGCTACATAAACTGTTGCGTATGTCATAGATTTGAATCTTTTATTTTGTATTCTATAACAATATGGACTGACACACAGAAGTACTTCGAGTACAGCTCTTCGACTATATCAGTTGCAGTGGGGTGTTTAATATTTGCTTTCTCCGAATTCTCATAACTGATTTTCTGATGTGCGTTATTTAGCACCATATCATGCGGCGTCAGCGACGCTCGTCCCTCCTAGAACAACTGGGACTGCGGGGCTCTCGCCGACCTTCCCAAAGCAGAAGTTCCCATGGAAGCACCAACTCTAGCCACCATTTCCCGTAATCGGCAGTCTCAGGCCGCGCCGTGTTTGAATTAGGAACGTTTAAATGGGAACATTGTAGTATTTGCACATCGAAAACGCATATTCGGCAAGTTGCTTAGTGGCTATGGATTCCAGGAAAAAGAATTTGTATATATAAATGCATAGATGGGTGTATATATGTAAACAGAGATTATGTAAAATGAAATTAAGTGCATTCTTTGTAAATAAACTGTAAATTTTTTTCGTGTTTGCATGTTGCACATGCTCGTATGCTGTTGTTGTACATACAAGTTGTATTAAAGAAGTTATTTGATCTCCAGGAGCAGATTCGAAACAAGCGACCCAATATAAAGCGAAATGTTGCACTCACTTTTATCAGTAAAGGCTGTAAAGCGGTTTGAAATAATAAAGCCAAACAGAAATCTGAATAGTAAACCGAAAATAATATAAATTATGAAATCGAATATGAATAGGAAATCCAAAGATCATATGAACAGAATTCTGCAAAAAACTTTCCAGAATTGGACAATTACGTTTTGGCGCGATAACGGGCGCAAACAATACTTCCCCAGGACATCTGGATTACGGTTTCATAAATTAATGCAGTTATGCTGCTCGAGGAACTTAATTATGGTATAAAATAGCATTGTACTCGTATAGATACGTATTTTAGCATGATTCACTGAGGTTACATTGCTGTTGCCCATTAAAGGAGACCAAAAATCAAAAGTAAGTAATAATAACGCAAAAACAGTAACATAACAGTAACATATGCACAGAAACAATATATACAAAAACAGTAATATTTCCCTAACTTTTACAAATGCAACTTTTAAATTTTGACAACGGCATTAATATCATAGATAGATACAAATTAAGCAACGGCGAGTATTAATCTGTATAGCAGCCGTATAGTACGATGTTACTACGAACATCAGCTTAGATTTTCAAAAAATGTCAACGTAAGCTTTTTCAGATTTCTTATAGTTAATTTATTGCACCAAATTTGTTATAATCAAAATAGTATTACCTAGTGCTTGCGCTTTGTAGTAGTAATTTTACAGCTCAGCGAATACGACCGAGCAATCAAGCAAACCGTGTATGACGACTTTGGAATAAAACTTAAAAAAGCACTCTGTTGGCTGTTGCAAAACAGGTCTGCACTGACGGCTAAAATCTGTTCCGAATACATAAATTTGTGAGCTGTTTCTTATTTGAAAACGTGTGTGGGGTAAATATGTGTTTTTGTGGTTTCGCAGCTTTTGCTGCAGTTTACCTTCAATGCGGTGGATGAAATCGATAGAAGTATATGTATATGTATATGTAATGTTACGCTGTGCATTTGCATACAGAAAAAGCCTGTTCAATATTGCTGAATTTCCCTAACTTTCCTTTTTACCCTAACTATTTTCCTTTGATGCAATACGAAATTTTTGAAAAGTTTGATCGTAACATATATATTTCGTAGTGACACAAAAAACGGTCAAAAACAAGCCCGTCCAAAAACAAAAACGTACAAAAACGTTGCTTTTATTTTAAAACGATACCAACATGGCATTAGTGCTACTTCGAAGTAGGTGGAGATAGCAACAGATGTAAAAGTTACGAAATAAGCATTCTAGATCTGCTTACAATGGCAGCAACGGTAACAATACACTGCTGAGAATTTACCCGACAGAAAAAGCGAGTATGTAAATAAAAAAATTTTTACCCAACGAACAACTTGGTTGACCAATATAACCAAACAGTACAAATGTCGTTTTTAGCAAGAGGTCGGCTTATAACAAAGTATGCGGCTTATAACAAAGTATGGATACGTACACTACGCTTCTGACTATATTTCTAATATTCATGGACAAGAATTTCAACAACACAGCGTAGGAGCATCTGTTACAGATCCAGTGGGATGAGAGGTCATTAAAACATACAGCCGCTGAGCATAAGGTATAACATTTGGGGAACTGAATTAAATTAAGCTGCAGCCATGAAAGCAGTTTTGATTGATTCTGTTTTGAAAATTGGAAAAAGGAACCATCTATTAGAGCCTCTCCCATCCCAAAAAGCTAAGGTCACCCCATCCTCTATACTCTGACAATGTATCATCATGATGCAACCAGAATAGTTAATCCCGTGATAACGCGGCAGGTCACAAGCGAAAAGATGATGCCGACAATAATAAAATAATCGCATTTCTCTGCTGTTGATCACGACTTCATTGTCTATATTGCCGTAGATAGACGTATATAATCCTGCGCGGCTTATTGCAACATCGTATGCGGTCCAAAACAATACCGATAATATCGCTTCAAAAAATATCCGGTTAAGCCGTGCGCCTTGACAAAAGGGCAAGTTGTAAATACGCCCGCACTTGTGCGTCATCACGCAATAACCACATATACCGCCGTTTCATTCAGAAAAATCGGGAATACGTGCGTGAATCATCAGGTGCCAAATAAACAAAAGGGACGCGTCCATCCGGCTAATTGAATGCTCTTGAATGCGGTCACAAGGGGCATCGCGGTATGGAGCACCATTGTGAATTCGATAGTCTGAGTGGAGGCGGAACCGATCCCACTTTTCCTGGGATGTTTAACTTAATATTCCCACTGCAGCTTGACTTAGCGCAACCAGCGCGTTTGTAAAAGTATAAAACCCCGGAATCCGGCACTATATCAATGTCACTGCCGACAGCTAGCTGGATCGAAAAGTTTCGACTTTGCCAGTTCAAGCGATTATACTACTGTAGTGACTTCTGGTTAGCTCACAGCTTTAACAGTTTTTTTTTAATACATACACCTTCGAGTTCTTAGCAGCAATCATGATTCCACGATTTGAAGTTTGCAAATCTTGCGATGCTTGCGAGCAAAGAAGGCTCCAATCTCAGTCACCGGTAAGTTTGCTGAGAATTCAGTCACCTTACTTATTAACACTAACAATAATTAATTATAAATAACTTTAAGGTTGCGTCGAATTATTATGGGGTAATCGTTTTTTTATTACCGTAGCTTTTAGTTTTTGCAGAGGTCACTTCTGTTGATTTGCATTTAGTAATGCCCTTTTATTTGCAGCAAAGCGGTGGATCTTTAGCCACAACACCCGTTATGCGGCACACTGGTTTCCGAACTGTTCAACAGGCATCGAAATCACCATCTAAGGCAAACAACCCAGAATGTTCCAATGTTTCGTGTTCAAGAAAATCCCTGAACGGATAACGCTTACCGGCTGTTCCGGAGAAGAAAATACCGCTGTTCACAATTGTGACCTTTGCATTTTTACTGCTCAACCATGTCGCAAGCGCTAACGTAGTCGTATGATGTATTTGAATGCTTATTCTGGCGCTAAATATTAATTTTTTGAAACTTCGTATTGCTGGTCTTGTCGGCGGTCACCAAAACAATGCGCTGTTTATTCAAACCTGATGTCAGCATTAGCAATAAACCATCAACAACATGTCAAACATAAGATCTACTGGTCCGTACAATATTAGGATCAAAGGATCCGGAATTCATCGCACGAAGGCGATCAACGAACATTAACTGCTAAACATTATTGTTGCACTTTGCATTGCGAAAGTATTGCATAAGAACAAAATTATAGAACTAAAACGTCGGAGGTAAAATCATCATTGAAGGGCATGCACAACGCGATAACGGATCAACTGGAGAACAACTCCAAAGCATCCAGATTCTAGACTCATTAAAACGAATAACAAAAAACAAAGAAGATTCAAAAACCTATACAAAAAAACTGAGCAAACACACTAGCAGCATTTTCTACCGCTTAGAACGCTTGATCCCTGGCGGACAAAGACTCTTGTCAATCAGGCGCGATTCAAAGTAGTCCATCAGCATTTGCGGGTCTTCCTCTAGCAAGTCCTTTCCTGGTACAGGTTCCAGAATATTAGTGCCCTCCCATTTGACGATGTAGCGTAACGGTTTCTCCGCTAGATCGGCAACGCCCAGGATCTTCTCAGCAGTTAGGCCCAGTGCTAGACCGCATTCCCGTTTCAGTAACACTGGATCCTCTATGGTGTATTCATCGAACTCGTCATCGCTGTCGTTGCTAACAGCTGTGGTGGTGCGCTTAGTCGTTTTAGCTGGGGCTTTGGATCGGATAAGCTGCACGTTCGTCACTTTGCTATCCTTTTGAACAGCAACCGGTGGTGGAGTCGGAGATAAACTGACGGAAGTCGATTCTCTACGCAAGGGGATTATTTTTCGTTGAAAACTGTAAATAAAAGAAGACAGCGCTATCAAATATTCACGCAATTATCCAATAAAATACTGTATATGCACATGTACATCAGTATTTCTATCACCAATATCCCTTTGTGCTGCAAGACAGCCGATAAGCAGCACGGTAAATGCAAGTACATACTTTCAAGTTGACAACTTCGTAACTATAATAATTCTGGTGTCATTACTTTTAAGTTAATCTGCTATGCGACCCACTGAAACTTTTCTTACACACAAAAACAAATTTCCCGTTTCATAACAAATAAGTGGATTATTTAATTAATTAATTTCTGGTGGCTCTTTTTAATTGTTGCAAGAGCCATAATTACGAGCACTTACGACAATGTTTTGCATAATGCATACAAGCCTAATGCGAGTCAATTCAACCAGTTTTTTTCTTAAACCTGATACTACAAATTTCAAAATAGTACTACCTACCACGCTGTATAATAACGGTACTACGGTCTATGCACAAGAATTACCTGGGTGCTGCTAGTGAGATTACGTTCACTGCTTTGGGTGACGGTAGATCCTTCCCGTTTTTCTTTGGAGAAGCCGGCTTCTTTGTCGCCCTCGGAGACGGGGATGTTTTTTTCGTATTGTTGGACGTCGGCTTGAGAAACTCGTTTTTGTTAAATCGCTGTAAGGGAATCCCCTTACTCAGGACGGGAGTGCTAACTGCCGACGCGACCGACTGGATTTTCCCATCCCCGCTCTTCTTAGCTTTATCGCCAGGTTTTGCCTTCAGCTCCTTCGATGCTAAAGTTTTTGGTAGCGACGGCGGATTTTTTTTCTTATTGGCCTGTCCCACATCATCGCTCTTTGTCGCTTTGTCTCCACTCTGTAACTTGGATTCTGCTAATGGCACAATTTTTGGCAGCATCGGCGCATCCTTCTTCTTTTCAGCAGACGTTGCTGATTTTACTACAGAGAGCAGATTGGTCTTTTTATCCGTTTTCAGTTCCAGTTCATGTCTGCGCAAATATTCGCTCAGCACTTCCGACGAGCCTGCTAAATGCTGCAGTGGCTCGTCCGTATTGGACTCCTCCGGCCAGTGAAGCCATTTCACGCGAAATACCCACTCTCCATCATTTCCCACCCGATGATCGACAATCGATTCCACTTCATATTCCACGCCGCAGCTGACGCTGTCCTTATCGCTGGAGGACCGGTCCGCCTTTTTGTCACATTTGTTGGGAGAAGCCTCTACAAGATGTGCAGCTGTAAGTTAAAAGTATCGGTGCCGTTGAAAACATACGAAACGCAACCAGCGTACTCTATAATAATTTCCATCTTCATTCAATGCAACAGTCTCTGTCCTTATAACAGCAAGAAAACCATCGGAACAATTCAGTCTGCGTAATGGCTTATTTTAAATTATTATCAGCATAATTATTATGAAAGCGAAAGAAATCAACAATTATGTTATCTAAATTAGAGTAGGTTTTCTGTGGTTTCACTTTTTTTGCGTCTTTCACTTGCCCAATGGATCACGTGCCCGAGACGCTGTTTCGCCAGGGTTTGGCTTCATTCCAGAGATATCCGTAAAGTAAGACCAACGAAATTTGACGTTCTTAAATCTTAATTTGCACTGGAAGATGCAACAACTTTCGACAATTTCGCTCCCAGTCAAACTATGCAGGCGCCAGAGAATCCCCCAATCCGCGTATCATGACGTATGCGAACGAATCTTCCAGTTAGCTGTTAGCCAAAAGGAGGCCCAATGGGATGAACAGCCACAACATCTTGTCTTACCGCACAAGAAGCTGACAATTCAACACTACGCTTGATAACACACACCTGATAAACGATAAGAAGTGACAAGCCAGCATCCTCAAAATCGGTCGAAAAACAGAAAAAGCTCGGTTGAGCGCGAAAAACCACTGACTACGCAGTGCGCAGGCCAATCTTTTGTTCTCGGTTCTGCGTGGCGCGTGCGGTATTCTGGTGTCTTGACTCAGAGTCTGTATACTGCTAACAGGCCTGTCTTGTACTACTTCGCAAAAAGGTATTTAATTTTTTCATTTTTTATTATACTTTATTTCAATAGCGCGATAACAATATCAAGATCTGATTATGGTAAACAAAAACGATTAGGGTACAGTATTTGATTGTTTGATATACGAAGTAATACCAAAAACCCCTAAGATAGCGCATGGTTGCTGTACAGTGTACATGTAGCGCTTTGCTCCGCACACGGAGCTTCTGATAGATTTCGCTTGCAGTAAATTAAATTTATAAAGCTTTGCTTATAGTTCATTAATAAAATAAAATATTTTCAAAAAATTTAAAAACTATACAAAACACATTAAAATTCTATGTTGAATAAAAAGTTGTTCTCAGCCAGGATCGAACTGGCGACCTTCTGCGTGTTAGGCAGACGTGATAGCCGCTACACCATGAGAACTAGTTAACGTAGTCAAAATATTACTCGAACGAATGCAAACCCATGTAAATTACGAGTTTATGATATCGTATCGATTTTCTTGCGATGAATTCCCGGCCCGGCTTTCCGTCGACGCGAGTCACCGCGGCGAGTGTCGCGACCGAATGGCCATCCTATCTGATACGTACTAATGGTAACTCACCGTAAGTGACAATCAAAATAAAATACTTTTTGGACATGCTGATAACAGGCATTCAACTTACAATCCTGTCTAGGTTTGATAAACCTTTGGTCCGCCCGTACGAGTGCTTACGTATACTGCAAATCGCTTTGCAGTGTTATCCCGATCCGCGATACCGTTATCAAATGGAAACCCTTTATCTATCCTCCGGATTGGTATTGGGTTGGCGGGCGTTAGGGGCTTACCTGGTTAAGTATTTGAGTTAGTCCGGCATAATTTGCGCCGAAGAATTTTCGTCAATTTTGAGCAAATTCTTGGACGACGTTTCTTCAGCGGTGCACCGTGACGTGTCTGTTTTAAAATGGCCGAATCAAGTACTGACCAGAGGAACACCGACATTCGACTCAACATCATCGTAGCTGCTGATGCCAAGCGAGGAATCGGACAGAATGGCACGCTCCCATGGAGCTTACCGTGCGTAGTCGAAAAAATTCAAACCGAGCAACATTTTGGAAATGCAAAATGATTATTCATTTCAGAAAAGAGACCAACTATTATCATGGAATGATTAACAGCGTTTCGCCCGGTACGTGCACAAATTAATATGAGTACCGTATTTTTTAGAGTCGTATGATTGTATCTATCTCTTGTTCTAAAATATGTTATGTTTCTAACTGCAACAGTTTGTTGCGAAATTAATATGCTTTCCATGCTTAATATGAATGTGCTTAATGAAAATACCATTGGCTTTGATTTATTGTATTGTTGAATGTAAAGTTCAGTTTTGGTGCACGAAATAAGCTGCTGCAGCAATGCCATTAATTATAGAAGATGTCCATCCGTGACTGTTTTCAGTTTGGTTAGATCCGAACTTTACAAATTTAAATGTTGTAACCTGGGTATCATTTGATCTGTCTAGTTTTAGGAGTTTTGTCGGTAAATAATATTAATCAGTAAAGGTTTGTGCCGGTAATTCAGGAAAGCAGAACGCCATCATCATCGGCCGGATTACGTACGCCTCGATCCACGATCCACGCGACTACGAGAAGCTGCTAAAGATTGTGGTGACAAGAGGCGCGGCACCGGAAGGAGCGCCGCAGCCTAATGTTCGTTATGCTGTGTCTTTCGAGGATGCTCTCGAGGTACTGCGGAAAGAGATGAAACTGCGCGACATTGAGACAGTGTGGAGTTTGGGTGGTTCCAAGATTTATCAGGAGACACTGGATTCTCCATACCTGCATCGCATTTATCTTACCAATGTTCTGGCCGAATTTCCATGTGATACATTTTTCCCGGAATTTGACAAGTCCAAATTCAATCGAGTCACGTAAGTTGATGTTGGCATATTTTGCTTTGAAAAGCAACAAGGAATACTTTCAGCGATATTTTCTAAAATCATATATATTTACGAACGTTTGTCGCAGGGACGAAAGAGTGGACCCGAACGTTCAAACTGACAAAGGAGTGCAGTTTCAGGTGGAAATTTTTGAAAAGATTCGCAGCTAATGCAGCGCTTTGTCAATTTATTGTCAGTTTGACGTCACTGCTATATCTTAACGTTTCAAACTCATTACAGTCGGTTTTTATGTTATTTCCTCCAGATACTACTTCGATTAATTTTTGACTTTTGCTCAATTTAAGCATTTGTTGCCAATACCGGTTCGACCAGGGTGTCGACGATTTTAAAATTATTGGCATTGTTCCCGATTCTCCTCACCGAATGCATGCAGAACAAGTTTTTTTGCGCTGTTGTAAACATATCAGAAACAGAAAACACATATTGAAGACTACGGCATCAGTACATCGACGCTAAATTATTAACTGCACTCTACAATCGTGTACTACACAATTTCTGTGATACACCGAATTCGGCTTGTTTGCGATAGGTGATAATGGGTTATTTTCTCGCGCGCGATTTGCCAAACATGAAATATCTACAGAACATGATAATTTAATCGCGGGATAGATAACATAGTCGAAACCCGACTACACGCTTCAGGCAGCAAAGGTCAATCGAAAGTCCAAACGTCATAACGAACCGGCTCGGTTTCCAATCACGCTAATTTTGTGTTTGCCAGTTCAAGCGGACCATGTTCTATTTGAGGCACACATTGCGACTGTCTAGTGTCTACCTACCGGCACGATGTGCACGGCGCTAATTGCGCAATACGGTTCGCGTTCTATATATAGGTATTCAAAATTGACATATTCCATTGTTTAATTAGAAGCCACAATTTCAGTTAACAGACAACAGTAATATTTCACGTATTACATAAAAAAGGCACCTTTTGTAAAACAACTGAACATTATATAATTAAACAGCGATTCCTGTTACATCACACTTCGAAATCACTTTGACACAATAACAGTAAATTCTTGACTGCACGTAGACCTCCAGATTTTCATACTGATTGTGTCAACGAAGTATCTTTTACATGCCATATTAGCGCTCGGAAATTGCAGATTTGAAACCTGAAATCCAGAACCAAAATTATCATAGCTGCAATGAAAATGGATTTCGGAAACAAAAACATCGTGCACGCGCGCTCAGCGTGGCTCGCTGCCGGTCTTACTTACTCTGAGTATCCGAGGCAAAAGACTTCCTAGATTTTGAGTTCGCTGTATGAAAGCCTGCAAAATAATAATGAGTGAAAATTATAAGGGTTCGCGATAGAAATCATGCACATGTTAAACTGGCAGTTTTTACGCACTCTGAACATCTGAAGATTTTCCTGATTTAGAATTGGCGGTATGAAAACCTGTAAAATTCAAAAGTGTTAAGTATGTTAAGTTGCCTAACAATAAGTGCGATGTTTCCCGATTAATTCATAATTACCAAAAAACCTGAAAAACTAGTTCTCTATCTGGAAATCGATTTTGCTATATACATACGGCACTTACTTTGAACATCAGACGATTTCCCTGATTTGGAATTTGCAGAATGAAAGCCTGTAACGTGTAAGATACAGTAATCAGATTTATGTAAACAAACACTACCCCGTACTCTAGTATATCAAGTTACGTACGTCTAGTACGTCAGTTCAGTTAATTTTCCAAATTTTCGAAAAGTTTTGAGTATACACGCAGAAGAGATTACTTACTCTTCAAGTCGCTGCTCTCTGACTGGGGCGGAGCGGGCGTTTCCTGTGAGGTTACGGCGTAACCGTTGGAAACAACGAACGACCTTGTATCCACTGATATACAGTCATGGTATAGATCCGAATTGGAGGATAAATATCCGTTCGACATGGCATCCGTATGATAATATGACGATCCGGCTATGGACATGGGACCAAAGGAAGCGATCCGCGGCATGGGCGGGGCATCACCCCGGACGCGACGCTGTGCGGCGGCTTCTAATTTGGACACTGAAAATATCGAAATTATTCACGACGCATCTGGAGGGGTGCGCAATCATTGTAATCAGAAATACAAAGTAACAGTACACTTGCTAGGTATTAATGCTAATGATTAGTCTAGCCTGGTCAGCAAAAGCATACGAACTGTTGTAATATTATTTTATTGTCAAACGCGTAACAAGCAATACAGAACAGAACCGATAAAATCAAAGCACACATAAGGAAACCAGAAAGTAGTTCATTTATTAAGACTTGCAAAACTCGTAAAAAATTAATCCGTAAAAAGATTATAAAATTTTTAAAAGATGTCGTAAGGAACCGGCACGTTCAATTGTATGATAATATTATAAGAATACAGTCGACATACATAATGCTCATTTACACCAGTTACACAAGAATAATTAACCGTTCCGCAAGAAGGACGTTTGACTTTCCCTTCAGATGAACAGAAGTATGCAAAATCATTCAGATGTGTTCGGCAAACCACCGTGCGAAGTACATTACACTTTGTCACGTCCACTATACTTACAAACATTATCCACATCATCCGGGCGCATGTCAGCCGCCGGCTGCTCGGAATCGTTCACCGACGGGAAATTTGCGCCATCCGGCTGGTCGTGATAAGGCTCGGGAGTATCGTGATACAGGGCATCCTGAAAATGCAGGAGTGATCCATCCGGAGTAAAATAAGCCGAACTGCTAGTGCGGGAGGAAGATGACTTTCCCGAGCGTTTCTCCACGCTGAGCAGTAGTGCATTATACTTCTGCGTGATAACCTCTAAGGTTTCTTCGGCCAGACGAGCTCGATTCCGCTCAATGCTTAACTCATCGTCTCGCCTCTGCAAAATCATAAAATAATAATACACCTAAATATATGTGTGTGTAAATAATTGCATGCTCCGTACTGCATTTATATACATGTAAATAAAGAATATGTTGTATTAACAATAAGTAAAGCTTGTAATTAATTTACCAAGTTTTGTATGTTATTCAGCGCATTTAACAATTTCTTTAATTTGATTTTGTATAAATCCTAACCAGAGTCAGACAGTACAAGCATTCATAGAAGTATGCATAAGCCGGTATTACTAACTTGGTTCTCCTGTTGTACGGCATCACAGAAATCTTTGAGAATGAGGTAAGCTTTTTCAGTGCATCCGGTGACATCCTGCAGATTCTGCGTGACATTGCTATTCAGAAGACGCGGCTGAATATTTCGCAAGGCGACATTGAAAGATGTCAGAGATTCCTGAAATAAAGCAGCACATTTAACAACCCTTTTTTTGCCCAACACAGCCGATGGGATATGCAAAACCCCTGAAGACACCGTCAAACAACTCGTTTACAAATACCTCTAAAGCACGTATCCGCTCTTTCGCTTCTTGAGATAAGGTCAACAGTGTACTGGTGGAATCGGTGACAGGACGCCCGTCTCCAATGCCATAACATCGGTTTGCGTACGCAATGTGGTTCTCTAGGGCAGCTATCCACTCCTAAAATTCATATTGTAAATTAAATATTGCGATTTCAGAACAACATTTTTTAGGTACATCGAAAAAGTATCAGGATCAAATACCATGACATAAATCGTTTCATATACGGCCAATAATGACATTCTCTCGAATCGTTATTGTTAACAGTGCTTCGTGATTTAATAAACAGCCGTCGATGGCACTGACAGCCGCTGGTCTATCGGATTCATCACTTATCTCCGTACTAATAGACCTTTAGTGACAAAATTTTTCCTTCATAGTTCCGTTCTCATCTATTTATTTTGCTTACACGAGCTACCGGTTGTATTCGCTACGAGTAGATGCTGCTGACAAATAAACAGCCAGAACAGAGAAAGGAAAAAATCGTGTTAGAGCAAAACATGCTACGTAGTACAATATTGCAAGTACAGGAGTAAATTTATTATTAGAAGAAATATTCATCGTTCCACGCATATTCGTGTGTCAAAATTCTCAAAGATGCTATTTAATTATGGATCTATTATCTTCCAGTGCGATAACATCGGGAAACTTACCGGTCGTTTGTTAGCACCAGAAGTAACCGGAACCCGAAACTTGAGTCGCTCACCAGTTTGCAATCGCAGTTTGATTTTATATGGACTTGGGGTTTTTCCAGTCTGTCAACCAAACAAACACGGTGGAAATAACCTTAAGAACTTTGCTGTGACTCACGGTTTCGGCAACGATTTTTAAGTATTTGAATTTAATGATTTGTGCCCTTTCGCACATATATACACTAATAAATTGGTTCCAGCCCAGCCACCCTTAATGTGGCCAACTTCCGAAGCCTAAATTATACAAGTAAGTTATAGGCTCGACATGTTTACACGACAAAAAAGCCTGCGCAGGGCATATGTATAATCTGTCTGTACAACGCAAAATAATTGTTAATTAATTCGCGATTCACATTTCTATAGACTACAGATAATTAACCGTACGTAAGAAGCCCAATCGAAAGTTGTTTTTTTAGCAGAATAATAACATAAAAGTTCGCATACCACGATTTCCGCAAATTCCAAATGCCGGTAAACAGACTTCTTTAATAATCCTCCATCTGCCTGCTTATCGTCTCTGAGGATAAAACAGCGGAAATGCAGCCAGCTGTTATGTAAACAACACTCGACCGACGGAGTGGCGCTCAAATATTTATCGCGTATACGGTATTTTGAAATACCTCTTATCAGCCACGGATATGGTCCCGCGATACAACTTCACCCAACATCTTCGACTTCCAAAAAAGTGTACCTGTCAGAACAGGAATTATGAATACTTTCCGATGACAGCAATATCAAAAATAAAAATTAGCGGTCACGTGTAGAGGCAATGTATTTATATCACAAAAACAGACAGTATAGCTCATGTTAACAAGTACAGTAGTTCGAACAAGTTAGATAGATTGGCACTGCAAATCTCACCCAAATATTAATGACTGGTATGGCAAGCCGAAAAAAAGCTAGAGAATTCACTAGCTGCACGAGTTAAAGAAATTTGCTTGCAGCTGTCAGTTGCGTAATTCACATCGATTGTGTCGCAGTTAGTTTTCTAAATTAATCGCAATCCGTGTTCTATATTAATCACTTTGACTAACAGCAAATCAAAAACGTGTGTATTTAACACGAGCCGGAATTCACGTCTCACAGCCATTGAAACACATAAATAGATTGTAACTGACCTGTCTTAATGGACCTTCAAATGGCCGGCACGACATTATTGATTCCGCTTCTTATTAGAATCGTCAAAACAATAAAACATATAAGTCGATGGAATAAATCAAACTCATTTTTTAGTCCGATCGGCTAAGTGCACCGGAACGCATGCAAATGTGCCTGCGATCAGTCAACAACATAAGCACAGCCTCACAGGTAAATATGGTTCTGTAAATAAGGCACTGCAGTGCTTACTACAAGTCAACTAGTGCGAGAAATTTCATGGTTGAGCACTTTTTGGATGCACTAGAGTATCGGACCATTTTGTCAATTTTTAAACAAATAACAGCTGCACTCGTATAAACGATTAAACTGGCTACGCTAAGCCATAACTTTCCATTTTACGCACGTTTGAGCGCATTCCATTTCTCAACTCCCACCGTAAAATTTCACGGGCCAAAATTGAAATTGTATAGTTGTGCATACTCGGATATCGCAGATTATACAACTTAATCATACGTCTGCCAGCCAAAAATAATTGTATCGCGCACAGACAAATGTCCTGCGGTGAAGACAGTTAAACACAATACTTAGCACACCGAAAACCGGTTAACAGAACAAATCCATATCTTTTAGCGATTAAGTGTAGCGTGTTAACCAACAATGCCACCGTGTACGAAAGCTTCGAATAAGATCGTTCAAATCTTAACACTCCAATGCGTAACCATAATCCTCGATAAACAGTCACCGGCATCTTTCAGGACAGAGGCCGTTGATATTGTCGTAAATGGCCAATGCGCACTTGCATACTGCGCAATGCAAATTTCACAACTGGATGGCATATGGAGCGGTCTCCACAATACTTGATCAAAGTTGCACAGAAGCATGTGCGCTTCCTCCCAATACTCATCGCTCCTAACCAGATTAATAGCACCGCACTGCAATGGGGAATGAGGCCAACTATAGTGATTGTTGTTAGTGGAATCGGATGAGATCGATTAATAACCATCACACACGCAGTCCTAATATCAGAGAGTTCATCCAGCTGTCAAACCGAACAGTAAACTCAATATATCACTGAACAGGAAGACAAAAACGCAACGTAATCACAAAAACTAGCAGAATCACATTTAATGAGATTTCAAAGCAACGTTTTTGGCCTTTCGGACCCATGATATTTTTAACAGACTAATAAAACGCTAAATACAAAATTAACAACACTGCAATTTCACATCACATTCCCAAAGGATCAGCAAATATCACAATGAGATCAATTCCAATCAAAGGGAACAAGTCGAGAACAACGAACGTATCGCAACAATGTGCAACCATGACATTCCATGATAAAACTTGGGACTGGTGAATCTTCCAGAAATAAATTAATCAGCATGCGCAATGGGACTGCAGAAAGGACGGCAAATGTTAAACAGCTGCTTCAGTAAAAAAAGGCTGGTATTAATGCTGCCCATAGTATATGCACTGATATTTAGAATAGTTTACCGTTCTAAGAAGTACTGTATCGCAGAAGCATACGACGATAGAAATACACTTAACATCCAGTACCGAGCCCAGCTACTGCAATTTTCTCAATCGGAAAGGCAGCGCCAGTTAATCCTATATTCTGATTGTGAAATTAACCTAAATCAAACTAAAAAAATGGCAGAAAATATTTTTATCTGGCCAGTAAACACACTTTATCCGTTTAACGCACATTTGGAAATTCAACTTACAACACCAAAAGAGCACAAAATTAACGATGATGTAGGTTTCAGGAACTCGAATAAAGTAGTCAACACAGTTTCGTCCACTTCCAGTACTCTCACCTTTGACCAAATTCCGAATTCGTCGAGAACGACGCGCTATCCCTGGGTGTACTGTGATGCAGCCTCTCACGTCTTCTTGACGACGACAGCGCTTCCGCTTTAGGTTCTTCGTCCAATGTAGTGGTGGATGTTGCCGAAGACTCCACCACCTTCTCGCCAGTGGCAAATAAAGCGCCTGTGTACGAAGACTGAGATTCCTGCCGGTCAAGAAATCCGCTAATTCCCCGCGCAATATCCATATCTGGAGTACTAGGAGTGGGTAACAGACTGTTGGATAACGTGGGGAGTGAAGTGGGTAAAGGCGCGACCATCAAATTCGATACGGACACGCTGGCCCGTTCGGTAGTGGGCTGTAAAATGCGCCGGTAAACTTGAACAACAACCAGTAATATGCAGAGCATCACAGGACCAAAAACAGCTCCTTCGAGACCCATAGTCACTAATCCACCGGCCACGCTTAATCCAAACATGTAGGGATGAGTGCTGCAAAAGCAGAAAATAATGTGAATACTGCAAAATTTAAAAAAAATAATCAACTATATTTACAGAAAAGCAGCTTCAACTTGGTAAAGAATACGCATTACTTAATTACGTACACGAAAAATAAATTTGAATCACCCAAACTTCAACGTTTCCAAAAATATTTATCATTATAATTATGAAGTGTGCCAAGCCATCGCTACGAGTTCATATCAGAAGACGTACTAATGCTCTACTACTGTAATTTCTTACGTTTTCACATCTCCATAAATCGCAATGTCCACAAACATGCTGGGCGTACATGCCATTATCACAAGAAGAACTGCGGGTACGTATTCTCCCCGAATAAACCAGAGCTCACACACCGCGGGTATGGCCATTACGTATGGGGGAACCAAAGGGCAAACCGCTAACATTGCGGCCATTACGGATGGAATAAACCTGATGTAAACGCTGAATAATGAAAGTAATACCCATGTGTAGAATCCATAAAAAGCTGCCATTTTGAAAGAGGCTGCGAAGATATCGCTGCAAAAAATTTTTACTTTGAATCAGAATTTCATGAACAGAGACACATTACCTACCTGATTGTCTGTTCGATAATTTCGGCAACATGGCCATATTCCGCAATTCGGGGACTGATCATGCCAACAAATTCCAGTGGTCGGTACGAATCCTTGCTCGACACCAGCAGATAATACAAAGCGGCAATGTATACAAACTGCAAACAAATTCCTTTTCTCTTTGTACAAGTCGTGATAACATTAATACCGTTTCAATTTCAGTGGTAACTCACAATGCACAAAATAAAATGCATTAAAGCTGAGAAGTACATCACAATAATCGAAAGGATGGTGGTCACAAGGGAAAACAGCATGGAAAAATTTCCTTTGCAAACATTCCACACTGACTCGGCAATCTGGAAACAGATCCATAAATTATCCACTACGCTTCGAAACTGCACCCTACCAGACTGGGCTTACGGATGTCAGCGTTTCCAAATTGTCCTTCACGTAAGAGCTGATGTTAGACCAATCCAGGGCACTAGCAGCCTTATGCCAAGTGTCGTTAAACTGCGACCAAAAATTGAACAACCAACTTCCATCTTCATCTTCCGAAGTTAGCAATGACGAAAGAGGATGCTGCAAGGAGCGATTTCCCCAAACCGAAGACTGGCGAAGAAGGGAATGCGGATGGTCAGCGTAATCATTACGCGGCACATAAAACCGATACACTCGGTCAGCGATAGCTAGGATATCCTTTTCGATTAATGCAACACGAGTAAGGTTTGTGTCGGCAATAGCGTCCCGCATCTGTAGTACAGAAAGAACGGCCTCAAACGAAAGAGGAAACGGCCGAAACCTGAGCATCTTACCGTGCCAATCATCCAGTCACGAGCGTACATGTATACTGAATCCATAGCCGACTGAACCGTCTCCTGCACCTGAGCGCCTTCGGGAAGCCATTCAAGCAATTCAGGATGCTTTACGATTGTTTCGTTTAAGAAATTTCCCGATAATCCTACAAGGTAAACCGTTTCCTGTTGGACCTGCATCGTTGTAATGATGCCGCAGATTCCCATGGTTATAAACATCATCAGCACCAGCATCAGGCTGACTGTCTCGTCGACACAATCTTCCAAAACGCTCATGACCTATAAAGAACAGAATGCATAAATACGTATACAAGGTACTACAAATAAAAAAAACTTATGCCGTCAAAATTCAAAGTTCAGCTTATCATAAGAAATCATACAAAACCAAAAAAAAGTACCAAAACACTGAATCAACAGAAAGCTATGTATGAGAACCGGAAATTACAATTAGTACATAAATTACTCATCAATCACAGTTACTCATAAATCAGTTAGTAGTTACTCATAAATTACAGTTAGTACAACTATTCGCAATTACCTTATGATCACCCTGCTTGGCCAACCGCATCAAACCTCGCAGCGGCGTCGGTGCTACAACATCTTTTCTTGTCATAACCCACCGAACACATTGATTCCGCAAAGTCCAAAAATATTCAGCTAGGGCTATCCATGCTCCGCGTTTCTGCCCCACCGTCCTCACCAGCCGATAGGCGACAGGTATTAAAATCACCGGAATCATGTAGTAATGTGACAACACTTCCACCAAAACAAACATCCAGAACAAATACAGCATGTATCTCGTTCCTTGAGCTGCATCCTGATTTACGGCAAATAATTTCAACTGTCCGGCTGCGGTCAGTGCGGAGGGTATGGGAATCGGGCTGGCCGTCTGCTCCGCCGGTGGCTCTTCATCGTCCGATGTAACACCTTCACCGCCACTATGATTCGTCCCGATCAAGCTATCGTTGACTAAATGATAGAAGGACGAAGTGAGCACTTTCCAGAAAGAATCACTGATTTTATCGGCATCTTCCGTTATCTCGTCCGGGGAATCGACAGTCTGGTTCATGGTTTTCATGGAACGCGAACGGAGGATTTTTCCTTTGACCACCTTCATTTCCGTCACGAAGCCCAGACACAAAACTACACCAGTGACGATTAAAACCGGCGCAGCCATTGAGCCAAGAAGGGAGCAGAGATGGAGTCCCAACCATATCCATAATGGCCACGCTAACATGCGAAGCGTCGCGCGGTGTTGCGGAGTCCACAGAGAATTCACAGCAACAATGTATGGAAAAATTAGGAACCAAATCTGGAAAAACAGCAGGTGTTATTGTCTTATCCATCAAGAGGTTTATGAAAATCGACGACATATGCATAAAATTTTGAAAACTAATTTCAACATTCAATGAACTCGATAAAATAACTTTAATCATCATTTTGTCAGAAGCGCAGTTTACTTAAGCAGCTCTTTCCTTATGAACTTTAAAGTTTAGACCCTAGAAATTCAGTACAATAAAAATTGCCAACCGTAACTGGAACAGCACTCAACAGCTGCAACTTACGGCTTTGGAGCTGAAAAACCCCAATATTCTTCCAAACACTGCACTGAGCTTCATCAAAAATTCCATGTGATTCCATAAAGCAACTTGTCCAATTAGATACCCGGCCATGACGACAATTCCCCAAAATATCTTCACATAATGATTAAGCAAGAACTCCAGCACTTCGGCTCCGAAGTAATTAAATCCAGCATCCACCAATTTAAATGGTGTGATAACAAGTCCCACCACCAGCGGAGTCCGCGAGGCCTTCATACGGAGAATCCAACCGCGAATTCCATGTGCCAAGTAGGCTTTCAGTGGAAACAATATAGTGCCACTCAAGGCTGCCCATGCCAGGGGTTTGAGGAATGTCTGGAGGATGAAGTACACCTGGTATCCGACGAGCAGAACCAGCACGAGGAAGAACTGCCCGACAGCAGTGAAGAGAGCCTGGCGAAATGCCACTTCATGGCCGCTGCTGGCCTGGGCCACCAGCGCGACAAAGTTGTTCCATGATTCTGTTACGCGCGAGTGATGGCGAGTGCGGACGGTAGGCATTCGCGAGACGGATCGCTGCTGCTGATTAGAAATGGCGGCCCAGTGTGCCTAGTGCCTACTGTGGATCGACCGATGGAGTTAAGCACGGCCGTAGAAATCAACAAGGCGAGTCCTAAAAGTACTACGCAGATCGCCCGATCCTCGCACTAGCATTTGCGAAAGCCTTTTCGTTCAACTCAAGAACATTTCGGCAAAAAAATCCTATAAGAATAGAAGCAGCAATTGGTAAAACACGGCCAACAGCAAAACCTTGATATAGACTCATCAGTCTCAAGTTGAGACTGATGATGATGAGACAGACTTGTTGAGATAATGTCAAGAAGGCAAAACTCACGTCAGTACTCGGTATTAATCACCAACGGAAACTTTCGGTAACTGCTGAAAAAACGAAAGCTTTCGAAAAAAACGCATGTACGATTTAAGACTGTAAGTTCTTGTTCTGGCAGAAGCGCACAAACACAACAGGAGTAAAATTTTACAAAACTTGTCTAGCAGAAAAATCCTGTAGACTTCGCAGTTCGAACACGGACTTTACCGTGGGAAAATGCCCTACCCGGATTATCGAGTAAGTTCGACACGAATCACCGTTATCAGCTGTGCGACTCGCTCACATGGAATAACTACTGTAGCCAGTTTGCAAAGTTAATTGCGTTTGCCGTTTTGATACTACGGTACTACCCGTAGTTTTTTTCCTGGTGCCTCACTTAACAAGAAAAATTCGAAGACTTAGGAATTGGAAGATTTCTACTACCTTATTTAGTAATACAGTAGCAAACGGCATTTGGGATTTAAAGTACATTTTTTTAGATTCCCTTTTCGCTACTGGCTAGTGGCTAGCGGCTCAACCTAAGGCCGACTTGTTTTTAAGAAGACTGACCAGCGGCCATCTGGATGAGGTTCATATACTGTACTAAGTAAATGGCTGCAAAGCCAGTTTCTAATACATTCCCATTTTATTTCCTTGTCAGGAAAATGGTTTCTGTCTGCTTTTTCTCGCTTTGTTGAAATTTAATCTATATTTCCGTTACTGCAGTGCAGTTACTTGGAACAGTTATTATGGAAGACTTATAGACCGATTATACTGTACCTGCCGGTTTTTTGGCATCGCACCATCCATCCTAAAAACAGCACCTGTCATGGCTAACTTAGGACAAAATCTAACTGATGTCTTACCCTAGCGGCCACCTGTTCCGCTGTTGTGCGCTGACATGTGAGCTGTTTTTGTAAAAACCGAACTGTTTTGTAATGTTCCCATATATTGTGTACAAAGCATTTTCTCTTTACGAACAGTACGAAGTATATATACCATTCTCTTACTACGAGTACAGCTAGTTGCGTAGGTTGCACGATGACGATACCCTTTAATAAAGTTTTGAACAATGATATTTAAACAAGCAAACTCCAGAAAAACAATAATGCTGGAAAGTTTTGTTATTTAAGCAAGCCAAATGCAGTTGTTCAATGCCCAGCGTCCAATCCAGTATTGTCCGTACATATCCAATTTCTTCTCTTAACACTTCGTTGACTAGCAGTTTTGAGCAACGCGGCTGACTTTCTTGGTGGAAGTCAGAAGCATCCCATTGGTCAGCAAGATCTTCTAACCAGTCGTACTTTTTGTTTTTATGAGATTTGGCCAATAACACTGCCCACTGAGACAAAAGAAATTCATAAGCACGTGCGCCAGATTTACTGGCGAAGAGAAAGAATGCTTTAGATGGGATGTTCTGCTTATCTGCTAATTGATCGCAGGCTCGCATCCATTGTCTTTGCTTAGTCTAAGCTGACCCGCATTCAACCTTGAATCACAGTGCCTTTTATTGCCCTAGCGGTATGCGCGCGCCTGATTGTTAGCGGCTCTGGTCGTTTTCCATGTATACCTTTCAGTCGAACAGCGGCATCATTGGGTAGTCTTCCCAAACTTCCCAATGCGCCTCATTTTTTTGTAAGCGATCGGAACCTCATATGTCGCTCAAAATCGACCAGTTGGCTACTAATAGTATCCAGTACAGGGCCTGATTTTTTCGATATCATACATTCACGCAGTTGAACGGTGTGACCATTTGAACGTCCATGTCCCAAAAACATGGTGACTTCCACCATCTCTATCCTGGACTTCCGGCTGCATTGACCGTGCCGAAAACAGCAGCAAAAGAAACTAGACGCTTTTTCACTCACACAGCCCAAAAACTGCTGTAAAAATATTTTTTTGAAATTAGTTACTGAATTAATAAGACCAACTATGGTGTGAGTAACCACGCTAGTCAACGAAGTGTTAATTGTCGCAACTGCGGATGCCCGAAACGGCAGTTACGTACTGTATAGTGGATGACGAAAATCTTGATACGTTTACGTTTTTGATGTGATGTCAATCACAGTCAATGTTTTGACTTCATTTTCACATCAAATTTTTCTTTTTCGAGTTTTTCACTACGTTGAATAAAAATTCTCAAACAGTATCGGTACCCTTGATTTTTAGATTTTGTATTCTTTTACTCAAAGCTCATTATAGTTGACATCTCTTTTAAACCGACTTTTGTTCAGCTAATAAAAGATGGCTCAGGCAAAAGCAAAGAAGTCCGCGACGAAAGATTCCCGACCGGAGGCTTTCAAAGCTGAGGAGATCTTGCAAGCTGTCGTTATCGCGGATAGCTTTAACGAGCGGTTCAAACCATTAACGCTGCAGACTCCTCGAGCTTTGGTCCCGGTTTGTAACTGCCCCACCATTGAGTTCACTTTGGATTTTCTGGCTGGCAATGGTGTAAGCGAGATTTTTATATTCTGTCGAGCCAACGCGGAGAAAATCAGGAAATTCATTGAATCACACTGGAAATGGGGTCCTATGGGTCGCCGTCACAGAAGCGTCTCCGTTCAGGTAGTTTCTGGAAACCGTTTTTACTACAAAGTTGAACACAGTGACATATGGTATGTCAATGTGTATAATTTTTTTCCAAATTAATAGCATTTTTCGTGTTTAATTTGTCTAATTTCGAATCAGTAAAAGGTATACCTAAAAAAATTATACGGACAGCTTGATTGCCTGCTTCTGATTGAGTAAGCCGTTAAAACATCATTTAAATCGAAAATGTTAGTCAGTTAGTGCACTTACAGTTGCAATACAATTTCAATTTGCTCAGTAAAACGGAAAATTTTCAGATTATTATGTCAGAAGATTGTTACTCCATGGGCGATGCACTGCGTGAAATTGATGCAAAAAACACTATCCGTGGAGATTTCATCTTGGTTCAAGGTGACTTGATCGCCAATGTGGATATCAAGCCTGCTTTGGATGCGCATCGAAAACGCAAAACTTTGGATAAAAACTCCATCATGACTGTCGTCTGTCGGCAAGTTGCATCGCGACATCCGGCTCGGTCTCAGGAAGATCAGGTTGTCCTGGCGATAGAGCCGCTGACCAATCGTGTTCTCCACTTTCAAAAACTTGGGACTGCCAAGAAAGTTTCGTTCCCTGTTGAGTAAGTTTTCTAAAACATTTTTGTTGTTTTCATTTTCAGTCTGCTGCCTTGTTCTATTCAGAACCACGCTTCCATGTATTGTATTTGTGCATAGGTGTTAGTAACTGATTGAAAGACTTTGAATAGCTTCTGTAAGAAATGCACAGGTTTATTATTTTTTTCTAAAAAGTCTTATACCTGTACAGTATTTGAGCTTGGGTAGCCGAGGAATGTTTTCTGTGATTTGTTTCGCAGTACAAACAGTCGGAGCCGCGAGGGAAACATCTCACAGTAACTTTAGTTGCAGGTACAGGATAGAGCAGCACAATGATTTTGTTATGTTTTACAGTATTTTCGAAGGACGTGATGAATTGGAATTCCGCACCGACCTCATTGACTGCCATATTAGTATTTGTTCCGCATCAGTGCCTCCACTTTTCTCAGATAATTTTGACTACCTCACCCGGGACGATTTTATCCGCGGCATTTTAGTTAACGAAGAAGTGCTTGGAAATACCATCTACTGCCACTTGTTGACTGCCGGTTATACCGCTCGCATCTCTAATCTCCACATGTACGATGTGGTCAGCCGCGACATTATTGCTCGCTGGGTGTACCCTTATTGTGCTGATTTGGGCTTCCCGGAAGGTGATGCATATTTCTACAGGCGGCACCATATCTATCTACAGAAAGATGTGGAGTTAAAAATGGGATGTGTCTTGGAAGCGAATGTGTTAGTTGGACGACAGTCGGTGATCGGTGAGAACACTCGTATTCGAAACTCGGTTATAGGGAATGGCTGCACCATTGGGCGAGACTGCAAAATTGAGGGATCGTATATCTGGGGAAACTGCGTGATCCAGGATGGTTGCGAGCTGTATAAATGCATAATCGCTGACGGATGTGTGGTGTACAGCGGAAGTGTTATTGAGTCTGGATGCATTCTGAGCTATGGAGTTAAAGTGGGGCCGGACGCGCTTCTTAGTGCTGGCTCGCGTTTGTTCGGCGAAGCTGATCTGCAGATTTTGCTCCAGGAAAATTCAGAGGTATATAGTAGTGTTTCATTTGAAAATTTTGTCGCTTGTCTTTTAGTGGTCATTTTTTTCTAATTTTCAGGATGGTGACGTTACTCCAAAGGATCGGACATTCGCTACGGTCGACGAAAAGGTTCGTGGTTCTTCCGGCTCGCAATCGTGGCTGTTTACTCTGAATGAAATAGAAGACGAAGAGGAGGACATTGCACCTGGTGGTATTAATTATGAAAAGCTTAGTTGGAAATGGACTTCTGTAGAAAATTTAGACGATAGTTGGGAAGAGGATAGTGAATCAAGTGATAGTGATGGTGACAGCGTGGATGATGTGGACGGACCAAAAACCACGGGCGCGCAGGAGGACATTAAAGTTTTCTTTCACGAGATATCCGATTCATTGTTACGGGCGGTGGATGAAAAGGTGAATCCGGATAACGTGATTTTGGAAATTAATTCTTCCAAATTTGCTTATAATGTGACAATGACGGAGTTGAATAAGCTGGTGGTGCGAGCGATTATTGAGATACCTGAGCTGAAATCTCTTAAACAACGGACGGAATTAAAAAGCGTAAAAGATGCGTCAGCACAAATTGTTTCTGCATTTGAGACGTTGCTTCCGGTACTGAGGAATTATTATCGCAGTTCTGAGTCGCAGATGGACGCCCTGTTGGCCATCGAGGAATGTGCTGTCAACTATCTCGATTTACCGCGACATCAGCCATATGGCAACTTGGTGATTTCCTGTTGCCTGAATATTCTGCATTTTCTTTATAATAACGACATTCTAACCGAAGATGTAATACGTAAGTGGTATGCCGAGCCCGAAAAGGCTCAAGTTAGGCGATTCCTTCCATTTTTTCTCCATGAACAGCAGCAGCATTCACCTGCTGGTCGGCGTCGACATATTAGTGGCGATTTGAGTGATGATGAAGTGAGTGGGCTTGTCAAAAAAGCGGAACTTTTGAAGCAGAAGATTGCCCCGTTTATCCATTGGTTAGAAGAAGCGGAAGAGGAATCAGATTAATTGGGTTGAGCGTAATACAATTCGTCTGATTGCTAAACATACGAATATTAATGGTGACGCTATGGATTATTTTTTAACAAATTCTGCTCTTTCTCACTTTGTTTTCGTATGGTTGTTGCTGTCATCAGCTGGAAATTCGAAAATTCGGGGGCTTTGCGGACATGTGCTGCCTGAGCCTGCCTCAACGTTTATTAAATGGATATTTCTGTACAGTGTTCACGAAACTTTGGGACTTAGATGCCCCTTGGTGACGCATATCTTCGCTTCAATCAGAGGTTTTTGACGAAGTCGTCTGGCCTGATGCCGAAATGACAATACTCGAAATGATATTACTCCCTCGTTGGGGAATTATTTCCGTGTTATTATTTTATTATTCATTTGTTCCGATGATATTCTTCATTTCAGCCAATGAGTGCACAAAATATTTCGGGTGTACTTTCGACATGTGTGAAAAAAACCAAATCGTTTATGAGTAAGAAAATTATTTGTACAAACAGAACGCATGTTAAACGCAACCAGCAGAAAGAACTAAAGGTGCAGTGATACATACAACAAAAAAATATCCCATAATTTGGCTCGTACATGCCTAAGTATGGACAGTATGTGCAAGACTGCACGATCCAATGATAAAGCATCTGCAGCTGTTCCCCATGCTGATCGCCTAAAAATCTTCCCGCTAATTCTCACTTCCCGACATATCACCTCCATGATCACTGCGCGTATCCGACATGTCCATCTGAAACCACAAAATGGTACTCTAAGCGGATACGACTCATTGTAAAAAAAGGTGCCAAGTTGACTCGACAACACAGTAATACAGGACAAAGTATGCTACTAATATGCAACTCGCACCGGTGATGGTGGTGGCAGAGGAGATGGTGTGGCGAATCGATGGGGTGACTGGCGTACGCGTGTTGGTGCCGGAGGGACATTGAAAGGTACCGGAAATGTAGCTGAATGCGAAGGAATTGGTGCCTGATGGCCAGAAGAAGTCACCCGTCTCCCAACTCCTGTGGGACTGGACATGGTGCGATTGCGGCTGCTGCTCAATCGCTCATTGAATTCCCTGCTCAGGAAAAACAATGATGTAAAAACCAGTCCATGGCATTGCTGACCCAATGCATGAGTACCATAAAATCAATGATCACTAGGAGCTGAGTTAACATAAGGCATAAAGTGTGTTGAACTATGTCCGAATTTTGATATCACTAATAAACCGTTTTATTCCTTCCGCTCATCCACTAACATTTCAATATATCGACGGCTTAACAACCTTTCAATATGCAATACCCTTATCGACTCACCTCTCCGTATCGATCTCCAAACTGGATTCAGATTCCGATAAGTTCCGGCAGATTTCTTCTCGCCGTTCCGCTTCTTGCTGCAATCGACGGCGCAAACGAGTATTTTCTTCCTTCAAGTGTTTCTCCTCCATGATCAATAGCTGCATTTTTTCTTCGTGATCTCGTTCGGTACTGTCCAGAAGATACTTCATCCGATCCACTTCCGACTTGAGCAACTCAACTTGCCGCTTGTCTGGACTGTCGGGGGATATGCGAGCCGGCTCAGCGCGGTCGCTACCGGTATCCATACTCGGCGGCGACTGCTCCAGTTTCTGCTGAAGCGATCTGCAAAAACGAACATTCTAAATGCTCCAGCGCAAGACTTTAAATAAGATAAATCTCGCACCGCTTTTCTGCCTCCAGCTTAGTCATCCGGATCCACAGCTTATTAACTAGAGCTTCCTGTTCTTGTTCCAGGGAATTCTCCAGTTCACCTTTCTCTCGACGCAGCTATAATTATATGCAAAATTATGCAAATGAGCGCCGGAAGGCAGTGGAAATCAGACACCGCACCTGCTCCAATGAGTGCTGTTTCGACTGAATATCGTGTTCCAACTTCTCGACCTTGCGCATCAGCTTGTTAACCAGACATTCCTGTTCACGCTCTAAGGTCGATTCAAGTTCCACCTTTTCTCGTTGAAGCTGTACACAAATGCCAAATTAAAATCTATCTACCCTGATACTCCTGCATAAGCCAGCAATTTATCACTCTCGAGCCACGAAGCAAATGCTATAAGAGCATTCATAAACTGCACAGAAAAACCGATCAACACCAAGGTTTTTAAAAAAAATACACCGTTTAATTACAGTGTAAACAAGGAAAGAGAAAAATTATAGATCCTTGCAAGTTGTACTGACCTTCATTAATTTACGGGACAAATCATTTGTCAAACACTCTTCCTCCTGCTCGTAATTCTGTGCCAAAACTTCCTTCTCTCGCTTCAACACCTGGATTTTCTTCAAAAGAGTGTTACTGATGAATTCCTCTTCCTGTTCTGCCTTGGCTTGCTGAAAAAAAAACGCAATTAATACAAACACAAATTTGGGGCTGATGGCCAGATTTATGTTCTGTACATAAAAAGGCACTCATAATGCAGTGTTAAAAAACCTTCCCAGAAACCGTACCTTTATTTACTTTCATTTTATGTTGTGCTATCTGAATTCGCACTTTACCATAAAAATGCTTGCTCGTATTTGTCACAAGTAATTCTTGTTTATTCATACGGGTACCGATGATATTTTCTTCTATCGCACTGATATTATTGAATGATCACCACAGTATCAATTATTAATCGCCAGCGGGACAATGATAAAATGTAATTAAAAATCTGCAACCGCAACCGATCCTTTGAAACAGAGCAGCGAATGGATTGGCAAGACTTGGCGTATCGATTGAAGCACTAAAGTACCACTACCCATCGTAAGCCTGCATACTTGCAAATTTGCAACGCAGTATTGACGAAAAGAATTATTCATTCATTCATTCCATTTAGCTTTCTGAGTCCTGTAACATTCTAATGAAAAGAATGCACTTGACTTGTGAATCAGCCGGGATTAGTACACGTTCCCAGATTTTAAACTGGAACGGCAAGCTTACTCATATTATGAGACTAACGCCGACTGTATCAAGATTCAGATCTATATTGCCACGAATGGGATACACCAGAGCCGGCAAACCAGAAAAGACTGGCCAAAACCAATATTATATTCTGAAAGCCCGTAGTCGAAAACCCGGCCAGATAGTGTTCATTTCTTTTAAAACCTCTCCCGCTTCCAGCGCCACAGGGGAAGAGTTTCGACTACCTTCACCAAATGTAACTAAATTATTACAATAATAATTATCATCGTGGTATTTTTAACCAGGCAATGTTGCCACGTAAACCAAATAAAATATATATAGTTAAAAAATGAAAGTATTTTTCACTAATTAAAATATCAGAATCAATTTAATTAGCAGACCGTTGGCGTTATTGCGACAAGAACGACTACAGACTGTACTTATCAACGTTGTCATCGAGGACAATTTCTAAACAAGTGCCGGCCGAGCAGCGATAGACCGAACTACCGCCACTGTTCAGTGCACAAGCCCGTTTCTGTTCTAGTTAGAATAGCCCGCTAAGCCAGTGAGCGACCGAACTACCACTATGGATAGCTATGTGAGCGGTTGACCGAGCTGTCATTACTGTCCGATGCCGAGTGAACGAGTGACCGAGTTACTGTTACTACTGTCCGGTGCAGAGAGCCCGGTAGGGGAGCGAGTGACCGCGCTGTCATTTATGTCCGGCGCAGAAAGTCCGTTAGGTCAGCGGGTGACCGAGCTGTCAGTGGCGGGTGTCACTACTGTCCAGTGTACAAAGTCCGTTAGGTCAGCGGGTGACCGAGCTACCACTGCTGTCCGGCGCAGAAAGCCCGTTAGGGAACGAGTGGCTGAGCTACCACTACCGTCCGTGCACAGAGCCGGTAGGTTTGCGGGTGACCGAGCTGTCACTAATGTCCGGCGCAGAAAGTCCGTTAAATCAGCGCGTGACCGAGCTACTACTGCTGTCCGGCGCAGAAAGCCCGTTCGGTGAACGGGTGACCGAGTTACCACTACTGTCCGGGCACAGAGCCCGGTAGGTGAGCGGGTGACCGCGCTGTCACTAATGTCCGGCGCAGAAAGTCCGTTAGATCAGCGCGTGACCGAGTTACCACTGCTGTCCGGCGCAGAAAGCCCGTTAGGGAACGAGTGGCTGAGCTACCACTACCGTCCGTGCACAGAGCCGGTAGGTTTGCGGGTGACCGAGCTGTCACTAATGTCCGGCGCAGAAAGTCCGTTAAATCAGCGCGTGACCGAGCTACTACTGCTGTCCGGCGCAGAAAGCCCGTTCGGTGAACGGGTGACCGAGTTACCACTACTGTCCGGGCACAGAGCCCGGTAGGTGAGCAGGTGACCGCGCTGTCACTAATGTCCGGCGCAGAAAGTCCGTTAGATCAGCGCGTGACCGAGTTACCACTGCTGTCCGGCGCAGAAAGCCCGTTCGGTGAACGGGTGACCGAGTTACCACTACTGTCCGTGCACAGAGCCCGGGAGGTGAGCGGGTGACCGAGCTGTCAGTGGCGGGTGTCACTACTGTCCAGTGTGCAAAGCCCGTTTAGGTGAGCGGGTGACCGAGCAACCACTGCTGTCCAGCGCAGAAAGCCCGTTTGGGAACGAGTGGCTGAGCTACCACTACCGTCCGTGCACAGATCCGGTAGGTGAGCGGGTGACCGAGCTGTCACTACTGTCCAGTGTACAAAGCCCATTAGAGAACGAGTGACTGAGTTACCACTACTGTCCGGTGCAGAGAGCCCGGTAGGTGAACGAGTGACCAAGCTGTCATTATTGTGCAGTGTACATGAGTGACCGAGCTACCACTACTGTCCGGCGAACGGAACCGGTTAGATAAGCAAGTAATCGAGCCACCACTAGTGACCGGACATACACCACTGGGCACAAACCAATTTCCAGTGAAAAGAGCCAGTGAAGTGATGAGTCACCAAACTAGCGATCCAGTGCACTATCACTGTTTCGAATTTCACACCTTATAGACTGATATTTCGGCTTTCTTTGCGGGTAGGGGATATCGTAAAATTATCTGAATATACAGCCAAAGGGAATGCTTTTCAAGGTTGAGAGATCATGAACTGATCTTCATAGAAAATTCGTGTTTGCCCTATTGCATGTACCGTATGTTTCGACGAATAGACTGATATTAATCTAATAAAATTAATATTCATTCAAATTCAAATAAAACGGTCATGGACCACAAGAAACGCGGAGGCGAAGCCGAGGCTGTTTCTTGTAATTATTATGCCGAAAGCATATCAAAATTTGAAAGGAGATCAATCAGTCATTAACGCAGACAAAAAAATGACACTGGTCCACGCGAAAATTTCTATAAGTATTAACTGCCAGTTATTACGGCAATATTCAAAATCAGAAAAATTATTTTTAAAGGCCAATGTCAGAAGTATGATCTAGATTCTGAACAGAATGAGAGAACCCGTAAACAAGGGCTCTGCACCCCTTCATTAACAAAAACAAGATATATTAATAATTTAAATTCTCGAACGAAGAATGCCGCAAGTGTCACTGAGATGATATATAACGTAAATCAGCTACGGGAAATAAAGTGCGAAAACCTACAAAACAAACTTACAATCATGACGCTCTGCTGGCGCAGTGATTTGTTCTCCTCCTGGAGAGATTTAATGCGCAATTTGTGCGTATCCACTTCCATTTTGAGAACGCGGTTCTCCTGCTGCAGCCGTTCGATTACACGCTGCAGCTGTTCACGCGAGCTAGCCGACAAGGGGACCGTCGACAGCGTGACCGTCAGATTACCGCTGCCATCCCCCATCTGGGGCGCAGGGAAATTCCGGTGCAAAATGGGAGTGGTGGCACCCGACATGGATCCATCCAGGGACGACGTGTCCGACCATTCACTGGCCGAATCCAGCTGATCAAAGTTATTCGCGCTAATGGACCCCGACAGACCAGCATTGCCTACACTCCCCACATTCATCATGCCGTTTGCATTGGCACCCGTCGGATCAGACATTGTATGACTACTTCTGAGTTCCAGGTGCAACTGGAAAAAATCGAGACGCTAATCATCAACGACTAGCAACTAACAAGTAAAAGTGCAATAGGATTTATACTGCAGTGTCAATGACAATGCCACAACCTGCACGACTACCTTGTCAATGGTAGTTCCACTTGTAATACTGGAACCAACTCATCTACTTATAACTAAAATATAATTAACTTTACTAAATTATTATTACCAGTCTTAACTCTTACAAAGCGACGAGAAACAGAGAAGCCCAATAAGTTGAATGATGTCTCGTTCTTCCGGATGCGATAGGGTACAAGGTTGTGACGCTCACATATCCAATGAAAACCTCCTGCAATCACAAGTTACCACCTTCCGCAATGACAAAACTGAAGATTCAGATATAAAGGAAATACGATAATCAAGGATTAATTCATGGATCAACCTAGAACGTCTCAATTCTTCATGGACTCATCAGTCAATATCCCTGATTTTTCGTTGCTCACTCCTGTGATTGGTGAGTCCTCGAGAAAATTTATCATCAAAATAAGTAGAAGCTGAACCACCTACGTTTGGCATTCACGTGCGCACGTCAGCATGGTACGTAAATTCCCGTACGACCGGCCTCCATCATCCCAGATTTCTCGGTCTAGGGAGGGTAACGTGGGATCTGCCCCGGTTTGGACTAATAATAAAATACAAAATTTTGTAGCGCTCATTATACGTAGATTTTGTTTTTGTCTACGGATGGTTCAAGGTGCAGACTCTGTAATAATTGACCTCAATAGTTGTCGTACTCGTACTCATAGTCATATTAATACACTGACCAGCTGTATGCAGTTGCACTCTTTAGTCTTGTCACTCTTGTGTATACAGTCTTAGCATAGAAAAGGAAACTGTAGTCTGCACCACTCTGTGGCGTACCGTGCGGGATGAAAGAGCAAAACTCTAGGGAAATGTTGAATAAATTTAACTTCCTTTATTACTTATCTGCAACAGCTAATGGTGGCAATGCTAGAACAGATTGCCCGGACAGCAACCGGAAAGCTGTCAAGAAAGTGTGGAAAGGCAGCGACGTGCTGTAATAAAATACTTCACCGCAGCACTCAGTCGGGCGGTGGTCGGTGGGTAAAGACTAAAGAGTATTCGTTAGCAACCTGCACATGCCAGCGTATTAGGGAAACAACTTGTTTTTCAAAAATAATTACGTTATAAATTTGCAAATTTTACACTGGATACATTTAAGTCAAAATTTAAAGCTAATACTCGTCCTTAAACGGTAGGAGTCCTTGACGGCTATGACGGGCTATCGTCTGTTACTTATTTATTCCGTCGCATACATGAACCCTTGGGCGGGCGACAACCTAAAAACGATGCGTGCCACGTTGTCCGGCTCGTTGGATGCTCACTTGCGATTAGTGATGTTTTGTCAGTTTATCTGAAATTTGCAAACAACATCTGGAAAGATTCGTTGATTTGGATATGTGATACTATACGGACTGAATTTAGTTTACCAGACAGTTCTTTGGGATTGCTTGGTTAGAATGGGTAATGCGCAGAGTGAAATCAACTTGAAAGGAGGACCTGTGGGCTACCATGTGCTCAAGGTAAAAATTATGTCTGTTCTAGAAGAGCGACTGACAATGAGTGTTCTTTTCGGAGTCTTTTCTCTAAAATTGGCCAGAAAGTTTGTTTCCTTTTCCGCTTCACATGTTCTGTTTATGTGCGATCATGCTGTTTCGATACAAAAATGGGCACTGTGACTGCTGATAATGAAAGCAGTGACCGATTGTTGACAGTCGGAGTGATGGCTAACAAATTACGAAGTTTTCAGGGTAAAAAATAACTTCATTATGTAGGTTCAAGACGATTCACCTGGCTCCAAAGCAGGACTGGAGCCATTTTTTGACTTTATTACAAGCATCAATGGACAGCGCTTGCTGGAGGATGACGAAACTTTTAAAGGCACATTGAAGAATAACGTGGATCGTCCTGTGGAGCTGGAGCTGTACAATACAAAAAGTCAGAATATTCGTAAAGTGATCCTAATCCCATCCACTTCTTGGGGAGGCCAGGGATTGCTTGGGGTATCCATTCGGTTCTGCTCCTTTGAAGGAGCTGAGCAGAACGTGTGGCATGTTTTGGTAAGCCTTGCGCGTTATAACTTGAAGTTTATATTATGAAGTATTAATAATATTATTATGTTTTATTATATTATGAAGTATTATTATTATGCTCGAAGTAAGTACTGCAGCTTTGTGGGCAGTGTGACATTTTTTATATTTTACAGGAAGTTCATCCCGGATCTCCAGCAGCGGCAGCACAGTTTCGTGCCTATTCCGATTACATTATTGGAGCGGACGTGTTATTGAAAGAGTCGGAGGATTTATTCGCCGTTATTGAATCGCACGAAGGGAAACCATTGAAGTTGTTCGTGTACAATACCGACACTGACACTGTTCGAGATGTGACGATTATTCCCAATCGCAACTGGGGTGGTGGAGGAAGGTAAAGCACCACGCAGGTTTATTTTCTGTTTTATGTTAATTTTTGGATTTCATATAATTTATTTCTTTATCAGTGTGGGTTGCGATATTGGCTTCGGCTATCTCCACCGGATTCCACATCAGGCGAAAGACGAAACTGGCGGCGGAGAGGCCGTTAAGAGTAACCAGCATAATGTGGGCAAAGCTTCGACGTGTGGACACGATCACGCCCATCCGCACGATCATTCTCATCATCACGGCCACCATGACCACAACCATGATCATCATGATCACAGTCACCACGATCACGGGCATGATCACCACGATCACGGGCACAGCCATGCGCACGGCGCCTGCGGTGGGCATGATCATGATCATCATGCTCCAGCCAAACAGGATTTGTCGGGAGTGACCCGAGGCATAAATGGATCTGTCACTGAACATGTGCATTCTTCATCCTGTTCTCATGGACACGGGCCGCACAGTCACGATCACGGGGATTCACACGCGCATCACCATCATGAACCTGCGGAAAGCGCATCTCTGCTCCATAATTTTGCCAACCCTGCCGCTGTGCCAACAAATACTCTAGTTCGTGAAGGTTTGTCACTTGTCTCGCGATAATTCTGTAGGTAGCGCCTTTGCACTGCGCACAAGATTTTTTAACATTTTAATCTTACTTTAATTTATGTTTTGGTTAATATGACGCATAGAAAACGCTGTGGGCGGAAGGACGTACATCTGTTCAGCGCAAACATTAATTTTGGACATTTAAGACTTTTTCTCTATCTTAAGATTGTGTCCGAGCACTATATATTTATATTCCCGAACAGACAATATGATGTAGTTTGTTGCTTTAATTTTGTTGACATTGGTACTTCTATAAGGTGTAAACGTGATGTTACTGGGCGTCTTTGAGTACTTCGTTCTTAAAAATAATTAACATTATCATAATCGTATAAGTTCTGGTTTTGCGCTCAGATTGGTTGAATGCCTATTTGTTTCAGCGCCAATGACAGCGCCAGCTCCAATCAGTCCAGTTCCCGAACCTGCCAAAGTACAACAAACCACGGCTGCTCCGTTGATTGATTTAAATCCTTCGCCTCAGATTCCGGCGGGATCTTTTAGCATTGGAAAACCGATGTTTCCACCTACTCAATCTTCCTATGCCACTTCGTACACGACCCCGAATTACTCTTTTGCGCCTCCACCGGTAACGCCTCCACAGATGAACAGCATGCCTGGCCAGTTTCCGCCTCCAATCCGTCCCAATATCGCCAGTTTTCCCGTTTCCGTAAGTGGTTTTCCACCCATTACCGTCACTTCTACTATCCCAGACCAGTCTGCGCTAACGAATAATGTACTATCGGCTTTCCAACTGCCACCAACAACCTCGACACCTCCCAATCTCATACCTTTTTCATACCAACCTGCCCAGAATGTAGCCACATCTGCCACAGTAAGTATCTGCTAATGATGTTACGAACTCAAGAAGAAACAAATTAGTAGCGGTAAACCGGAAAACGGTTAGTGTAGACCGTGCATCAGCTTATCTGGAAGCACTTCGTGATTTGATTTTAAGAACTCTGTTTCATTGCAGCCAGTGAGGAGCGGATACGGCAATCCTGACCTTACTAGGACAAATGTGCCTTCAGACCAGCATGGATATAGCGCTTAACCTCAGCTAATAGCTTAATCTTTCAACGCGTTTTTACTACCAGATTACAGCGTACGCTATCTTCTATGGGTTTTTAATTAAGTTGTTAATTTACCTGAATTATAAATTTGTGGTAACATGCACTCGTTATTGAAGGTTTTTATTCGGAGTTGCAGTCTTGCAAGATTACGAAGCATTTTCCACAAGGAACGTTTATTGTTGCAACTGACACGATTTCGTGTATTGTACTCTTCGCATGAATTTATTAAATAAACATATTTTGCAGATTGTTGTAGTAGTTAACTGTTAACGAATTGTTACAACGAAATTGTTAATTGTTACAACAATCCACATCAACAGACAACAGATAAGCTGCACTTTTTAAAATGCCGAGGAATGATACGAAACACAGCAACATCAAGCAGTCAACTTTAAGGGAAGTCCATAATTCTCCGCAAAATTACTTAATTCCATCACGAAGCCAAAACTGATAAAACTAACACTAAGTCCATAATAAACAGCGAAGTATATTTAGGCTGGTATCGCAAAAATTTTCATTCACTTTTCACCTTTCCTTCTGGATAACTTGTCCTGTTGAGATCAAATTTTGCAGAAACATTACGTGCGGCTGTATCGTCTGTCGTCTCACTTTTATGCAATTTTTTCATCAAAAAGTAAATATCGGCGATTGCCACTACGCAGCTGACAAGGATGGCCACTAAAACTTGCGCAATGAGATGGTCGCCCACTGCTAACCCCGTGGCGAAGTAGGCAAAGACTCCAGAGCCAATGACAGTTATCAGACAATTCACCACCGCCAGCGTCTCCGTCTGGGCCACACGCAAATCCGCAGCAAATCCCGATATACCAGTTCCTTTGGCATTTTGATGGATAGTTTTGGTCATGCGGGCATATTCCCGTGCCGCAGCATCATTCCGTATTCGCTCGACTGCTGTCTCATTGGCAAAGTCGCGCTTCGGAGGCTGCACGCCCTCAGCAAAATACCACTTCGCTCCTTCCAGAAAATCGTTGTTGTAGGCTGTGGTGGTTTTCGGCGTCTTACCACGTTCCCTGCGCTGGCTGGCATACTGCGCTACCTTCTGGATAAATGACACGGGAATGCATTTCGGGGTGGATTCAATGATCGAGCAGCATCGTGATCGCAGGTCCGAAGGCGCCTCTGAATCTTGGCTGATTCGCTGAATCCAGGAATTTAACTTTGAATTGATAGTCACTTGGCTTCCGCTTTCTATATCTTTATCTTCCATTTCCGCCACTTATGATAAAAGAAACTTACTGTGGGTTTGCTTTTCAGAAAACTCAAACAAAAATGATTATAAATTTGAAAATAGAAAATTTAAGAAGTCTATGTATAATGTACCTCGTGATTAACGATTGAAGCATGACGCTGCATGAGCTCGAGACGGCGGCCACATTTATTAATTTGCACCGGCCACGCGTAAGGTAACCCAGCCGTCCAGATAGCACATATCGCTCGTTTCAGAACCGAGGTTACGTCAGTTTTGATTTTTTCCTGCTGCACGTGTCAGCATTATCGCTGGCATTTACTGCTGTGTGTAAACAACAGATAAAAAACAAACGAATTCAAAAAAATTCGTTTTGAACCTATCCGACGTCTCCGTTCTGGGGAAAACAGCCAGAATTTTTTGAAATTGTAATTAGCATTATCCCTTGATTCCTCGAAGATTGCGCGTTCCTGCCAGAATTTTATGCTTTTTTTAATTTTTCGCATATCTGATGGTCCCATGCTGATTGCACTGAGTCGGTTGCCAGATTTGACACCCCCAACTTCGTTGGGCTTTTGAGGCCGCTTTCTTTGATCGTGATATTCCGATATCCACGCAGATATGCAGCGTCTTAAAAACTTTGCTAAGGGGAAGAAAGAGGTACGCCCCAGTGTTTTATTTTACATAGATACAGTTGTATTGGAGTCTGGAGTGGCTTTAGTTTGAAGAGTTTACAGACTTCCGACGAACCTTCCAATGGGTATACACAGCTGTCGGGGACGCAGAACGGAAGTTCACACGCATTCTTTCCAGTACCCGGAAGTTCAGAAGAAAATCTCGAGGTAGCGTCTAGTGCGTCGTTTCATTTCGTCTTCTGCGCCAATAGCGGAAGAGCAGTGTCTTCCTGGTTATTACTCTTGTTTTGCAACAGGGTTTTCTGTGTCCGAGTTGTCACGCTAAATTTGGCCAGATGGATGCGTTGCTCAATCATGTTCCTTTGTGCCGTGGACCTGGCACCGTTATGCCTTCCGCTCAGGCGGCTCAGCCATCCTCCTCCTCTTCCCAATCTGTACAACGCAAAGTACACAACTGTATTTATTATGGATATTTTCTGGCATAAATTTTCTGCCACTGTCTACTTTTTTTCTGCACCTATTTTTAAATAGCAAAATATATACATTTTTTAGGGTTCCACTGGCGTAACCATAGACAGTGAAGAACTGCTGCTGAAAATCAATGAATATGATGCGCTCAAGGAAGGCAACGAACTGCTTCGGGATGAACTGCGGTCAGCGCATCAGCAGCAGCAGTCGCTCAACGAACAGCTGGAGCAGCTCAAATTGCATAACGATGAATTACTGCGCAAAATGTCCATGCAGGTTTGTTCGAATATTATTCTCTTGTGTAATCGGTTATGCTGGAAGATTTTTTATTATTGCATCGTCTATTTATTGCATTGCATGTAAGTAATTTAGTGCATTATTCTTTTTATTATTGTAGGATCGTCGGTTGTCCCACGCCAAATCGGCTAGCGATGACCAGCAATTCGAGAAATTAGCTGCCGAGCGGCTGTCCAGTAAAGCCGAAGCGGATACTTTTAAAACCAAAATCTCCGCCCTTGAAGATGAGAAGCATTCCTTAGAATCCAGCATTGCTAACCTCCGCCAAACCGCTGCCGATAATAAAACAAAACACGAAGCGGAAGTGAATTTGCTCCGCGGAAATATCGAGATACAGAAAGCCACGATTTCCAAAATGCAGTCCGAATCCGAAGTGGCCAAATCCGTCAGCATTTCATTAACCGCCGCGACCGCGGAGGTTACCCGTTTGCGCAGCGAAGCGGCTAGAGCGCGTCAACGCGTTGTCGAACTGGAGGCGAGCACGAACGAGCTTTCCTCTTCTTTATCTGCCGCACAAGCCGCCTTAGACCTCAAAGAAAAGGAATTCAAGCAAGTAGTCACAGAGAGCACTGCAACGACGTCGGCGAATACCGCACTTTCCAGTACTGTGGAGGATTTAAGAGCGCAGATTGCTTCCATGACCACGAAACTGGAGCATGAAAAGGTGGAACATGAGCGCAGAACAGCGGAAATACTGGCTGAACATGCAAAACTAGGAGATGCGGAGATTCGGGAAAAAGAAGAAACAGTTATCGAACCACAAGACAATGTTGTTACAGCGCCCAAGCAAATTGAGCGAGAGAAATCGAATGAGCAAGAAGAAGCCCGTGAAGTAATACTGCGCGCGTTGGAGACCGAAAAGAATCAGCTGGCCCAGGCTTTGCTTGAGCAAGAAACTGTTTTTAATAGCCAGCTCGAAAACGCACGAAAAAAGGAGACCGAAAGCTCTCAGCTTTTGGAGAAGTACACCACACAAATAAAGGAAATGGAGAATGTGCGCGATAACGCTGAGCGCAATCTAGTTCTACTGCAGAATGAAAAATCGAGCCTACAACAGCGGGTTACTGATCTGGAAGCCAGCAATGACAATCTTTCATCTGCTTTATCCGCCGGCCAAACGGCATTGGACCTTAAAGACAAGGAACTCACTCAAATATTAGCGGAGAACAGTGCGGTGGCGTTAACGAGTTCCGCACTGTCCAGTGCGGTGGAAGAATTACAGGTTCAAGTTGGGTCCTTGACCGCGAAACTGGAAGATGAACGAAAATCAGCAGAACTGCTGGCTGCCGAGCAGATGGCAAAAAATAAGGAGGTTCTAGAAAAAGAAGAGTCGATCATCGAATTGCGGAAAAATCTTGATGGTATGTCTGTCCAACTGGAGCGGCAGAAAGTTGAACTGCAAGACCAGTCGGATAAATTGAAACAGCTGGAAATTTCGCAGCAGACGTTGGAAACGGAGAAAAATGCACTCGCTCAGACTTTATCTGAAAAAGAAGCTGCGTTTAGTAGTCAATTGGACAGGGCTCGGGTAAAAGAAGAAGAAAGCGCTAAACTACTAGAAACGCATGTCACACGGATAAAGGAAGTGGAAGTTTTGCACGGCGATACTGAGCGCAGTTTGCTTCAGCTGAGAAATGAGAAGAAGAGCTTGGAACAGCGCTTTATTGATTTGGAGGTGACTAATAACAGTTTGTCATCTTCCTTATCGGACGCTAAAGCGGCACTTGACCTTAAAGAAAACGAGCTGAAACAAATACTGGATGAAAAAAGTGCAGTGGCGTCGGCAAGTAGTGCACTGTCCAGCACTGTCGCCGATTTGCAGGCACAGGTTGATTCATTAACCGCAAAACTTGAAAACGAACGCACTACAGCGGAGATGTTGGCTGCCGAGCAGAAGTCGAAGAACAGCGAACTGCAGAAAAGGGAAGAAATGATGGACAAACTGCAGAAAGACCTAGCTGATGCGTTGCAACAAGTGGAACGGCAGAAACTTGGTTTGCAAGAGCAGACCGATAAAGTGAAGCAGATAACTGCTTTGCAGCGCACCTTGGAAACGGAGAAGAGTCAGTTAGCTCAGACTTTGGCTGAAAAGAAGCTGCCTTTACTAGCCAACTGGAGAGCGCACGAGTAAAGGAAGCGGAAAGTGCACAGCTTCTGGACAAGTATGCAACACGAATTAAAGAGATGGAAGATGTGCGCGATAATGCCGAGCGTAGTCTGTTCCAGTTGCAAAACGAAAAAGCCAGCTTATCGCAGCGCGTCACCGAACTGGATGAGGGCCAACGTGTGGCGCTGACGAAATGTATTGAGCTGGAAGAGCAGAAGGACAAACTGCACAGCAGTATTGGGGATATCCGACGGAAATACGAGGATGCCGTGGCAGCCATGCATGAGCTGGGCCGGGAGAATCAAAGCCTGCAGGTGGAGTGCACGCGGCTCAAAGGCCGGAAGTGGGCGCAGGATGAGGAGGTTAATGAGTGTTCAGCCTGCGGGAAGCCGTTCGGGCTGACACAACGGAAACATCATTGCCGCAGTTGTGGGGAGATTTTTTGTCAGGACTGCTCGGCGAAAAGCGCCAGCTTAGTGGGCGCCAAGAAGCCCGTCAGAGTGTGTGATAGCTGTTTTGTGGAAATTCAAGGACGAATGTAGAGGAAACAGCAGGATGGACATTTTGACCGTGATGCTCAACTCAGTGCCAGTTTACACAGTCCAGGTTATCTACCGATTTTTGGTTATTTATAAATTATCCTGAATTAGTGAATTCCCTGTTTTCTAGACGATTGTTTATAATCCAAGTGGTTTTAATTTAATTATTATTATGGTTGCCTGATAAGTGCAGTTAGTTTATATGAATTTTAATATCGAAGCACATAGCATTCTTGTTGTCTTTTGAATTTTTTACACGTTAATTTATGACTAAAGTAGTTCTCGTAACCTTTGTTTTGCGGTGTGGTCCGCTTGTGCATGGCCGGTTTTCGACTCTGTCTCCCATGATTAACCGGTAAACAACGAAGCGTTGTTACTATATTTTCTTTATTAAAATTTGTATATTTGGCATGCGAGAAATGGTCATGACATCTTAAGTTCATGCAGTATTAAGTTTTAGTGCTTATGGAAGTTGCGATAATTGGTCGAGCGGTAGCGCCATCAGGACATGGTACAATCTGACATAATGCGAAAATATCATAATTAGAGACTTAGGGTTGGAATCCTCACATATTTACAAATACGGTAGCAGGAAATTTAATGTCAGAACCCTATGTTGAATTATTGAGTCATGCCAGAAGAATTATGTTATAAAATTCAAAAACAGTTTCAAAGAAAGTGACACAGTTGTAGTCAATCTGCACAGTTCAACATGTTGGCCGTTTCCACAGCGTACTACATGTAAGTATTGGCAATCTACCTTTGTCTGTGTGGAAACTTCGCAGTAAAAAGTGACGAGTTAATTAGCTAACAGCCAAAATATAAGAAATCTGTGACCTCTTTATTGCAATACTCGTAATTTCCTTACGATGGCGTCGTTCTTGCCGCACCGGGACGTTTAAGTTTTCAGCTATATGCAAAGTTTTTGATCAGAATCTAGTGCATGGGTAATTATTGTAGAACTAGTGTAGTCGACAGACTTTAAGGCCTTTGATATTTGATTTTTCTGAATTAATTCTAACGGTTTCTTTTACTAGCTGTGAAAAAATAAGAAGTGATCTAATTATCGATGTTCAAAGTGAAGCGATATCTGTTATCTTGGACCTAAAGCAGCATAAAAACAATTTATGATTTTTGTATGTAAAGGGGTGCTGCGCCAAGTTCGGGCACTTGGGTAAAATAAATTATAAAGTATTACAGTTGGTCTTTTCGTTTCTTATTTTCCACTTTTCTAGTGCAACTTTTTATGCCAAATTCAATAATACCAAAATCGGATCCTTTGAGTCTGTCAGGAACGAGTTGTGCGCTTAATAAGGGGGAGGGGCAGTGGGCGTTTTAGGGATGGTTATAACAGCCTTCATAAAAAATTCTCCAAACGATATTTTTGCACGAAATTTTTGGATAACTTTTGAGTGGCCCAAAAGGTGTCTGTTTTGGGTTACGAAAAGAATCTCGCATCATCGGTGACCGAGATAACCTCGAAACAACTTGTATCTCCCATAGACTTCTATGTTATAACGTACCTACCGAAGGATGGGGTTGCCTAGCACAGAGACGTAAGTAACGTCGAGCTGATATATTCCGTGGATGGATCATGGTCCACATTAAACGATTCTAATGTTTTAATGAATATCTACTGCGTGGGTAGGGAGAGAAAAGCGCCGGATAATTGGGAGGAAAAGCTAACAAAGCGACAGGAAAAAAAAGTGATGGTTGCCGTTTGAGATTTTCAAACTAGCTTGTCTCTGGCTTACTGGTTGCACCAATGCGTTTAAACTGTTCCTCAGTATCCTACAGAAGAGATTTTATAAAAGACGGTCGTCGAAAACTTCACTAGGTTGCAGGGCAAGCGTGTACAAAGGGTCACTCTCCACTTTAACTATGCCCACAGTTTCTCAAAGGTCACGTAGGTTTGGTTGTAATCGAACGATCTTATATACAATTCGCAAGAGCTTTAAATGACGAACACGTCAGACTAATTTAGTTTGGATCAAGACGCCAACGGAATTTTTAATCGAATTATAATTCGGAGGAAGGCACCCACGGTACATGGGTCGAACACTATTTTGAAACTGGTCTGATCTAGTTTCGGATACACTGAAATTCGGAGCACGCTCTCAGCGTAAGGAACGATAGTTTAAAAGGTAGTAGACACATACGGCAATACTATAAAAATATAATGAGTTGGACATTTGTGATGTGTGACCTGTGGCAGGTTTTGGACGAAAGTGCCCGAACTTGGCGTAGCACCCCTGTATATAGAATAATGTTTGTCTAAACAAATTTGGAGTTTTTCAACAGAAAATGTTTCATTCGTTAAAATTTAGTGTTAGACAGTTAGCTATAGCCATTTACAACGATATACACAGAATCACATTATGTATGTAACGTTCTAAGGCGTCTGCATGTCGAGTAAATAAAAATTCATTTTATTAAGATACATAGTACAACCGCGGCATAAAACTGGCTTTGCCGCCTACATGTGTACTGGGATCTGGATGCTTATTTTTAATTGCGAGGTCAATTATTGAACGCATGCATGCACACCGTGGCGATGTCGTTGCGGCACTTATATAGACATCTCCCGAACTTAAATTAAATGTCTGTGTCGATGCGGACGGTATGACGGTTATTATAGTGTAGCCAGAAGAAAAAGATTTAGCAAATGTTGCTCATTTTTCATGTCAGGCCGTGCTGGAGTGCTGTCGGTATTCCATTCATCTGGGCATGTCATCATCGCATCCTTTAAGAACACCAGCAGCACTGCGAACGTGTTAAGACTCGGGAAAATTTTCAACAGGCCGGTACGTGCAGTGTATTTGAATACTACAGTATCATCCCGCTTCGCTTGGCACTGACTGCACATTTGCTGTTAATTCACTGCATCGCTAACTGGCGAACACTTGTTAATACATTGTTAAATAATACATAATGGACAAAGGCGTAATTTCGACGGCAGAGTGGAGTGTACGTTATAGGTTTCAGAGCGGCTAATAACGATTTTGCACTTCAAATTTCAATCGTCGGCCCGTCCCTACTCGGAAGATCCCAGTGTGAGCGTATATATATTCTGTCTACGAAGACGCGTATATACGGCGAGAGTGTCCGCTCTTCGCATTCAGCCGATTAGTTGATGTGTTTTCCCGCGCGCTATTCAGTCGCGCAGTTGTTCCCATCATTCAAGCATGTGCACACACAACGACGGCCCGCGCGCTGCTCGGCACTCCAATTGAGTTTTATTTACAGTTGTCAGTCGGTATTGAAAATTGAGCAAACTGTCGGACTGTCACAGAGTTACAGGCTCTAACTGTCTCTCCCTGGCCGAAGGAAAATCTTCCTGCTCCACTTTGCGGCGTTATATTGCTGGGCGATGTCATTTTGCCGGCTAATGGCATTATTCTGATAAACCATTTACGGAGTAATATTCCGTCACTACTGGACCGAACTGGAATACCGCATGGCGCCCAAAGGGATGGAATAGACCATCTTCATGCTTTAACCCTTTTAAATCTCATCTTTCCCTAATTGCTCATGTTTTCCGGTCGGTTGACAGAAAAATGGCAGTGGGCCCCATTGACAATGGCCGATTAACTATTAAAATTGCTTTACCAGTTTTTCTGCATTGTCTGGATAAGGCATTAGCCTTGCAGTATCCATCGTTTTTCGGATTAAACAGTAAGTCGAAGATTTTTTTATCTAGTAAAAACATGATGGGGGGATTTGGTCATTTGGTATGAAGCTGACATCTGCCTCGGCTGCAGACTGGGCTGGGCTGAACTCTTGATTTTGTGTTAACTGTCAACGGTAATTCACCTAACGCATTTTATGTGTATGACGCGTTTTTAGCGTCTTATCAGGATTATCATCGATTGAGCCACTCTGAATATTTTGCATTACTTTGGTAATCAGAATAACAATTCTGGTGAAAGTATTCAGTTTAGATCATGAATGCCCGCGAAACTTGAAAAATTGTGTATATGCAGATGATAATACTAACCAAGGAGAAGGCTTTTGCGGGCTCGCAGTTACGTGACCTTTTACATACTTTGCTAACTATATAATGTTTGTGTGAATTCACGGTGTTCGGTGTCTAATATGCACACCTTTCATCATTTCATGCCAGTGCCTATCAAGTTTCATGTTCAAGACTTCGACTACGAGTTCCTGGTAAACCTTTGTTATAATAAGCCGATGACACTAAACTGGACCTTTTGCAACTGCATTCATTTCAGATATTTGCTATATACAGTAGTAGCGTCGATGCTGCTACATATAGCGTGTGTTATGAGTACTGAATCACTGATACCCCCTCCTGTACCGGAAGAGGAAGGAACTATTTTGACTAGTCGTATTATTAAATATCGAGTGATGCTGTCACGAAACTATAACTTGATTATGATTTGTGACAAAACGAGTCGTTATTGTAGCTTTGCAGACATCCATTAAAATCTCCACTCCCATACGTACTGTTAAGCTATAACTACAAATTGTGAAGGAATAATTAAGATAAGAGCGGCTGGAATTGTATGCTTCAGTTAACGATGTAGCCGTTGGAGCTGAATCAGGACTTGTACAATATGTTTCTGGTGAATTAACTCAGCCTGCGAAAACCCTGCTGTACTACATAAGCTTAACAACTTCCGTTGGCCAGCTAGAATAGAAAAAGTATCTCATGCTAATCCTTTTATGCATTTATTATTGTTGATTCATGCAGTGTATTCTTATAACAAATTTTGTAACACGCCTGTAGCCATGTACTAAGTAGTATAACAAAACTGACCCAACATAGCTATGGCTTTTTTGTTTTCTCCAGTTATGACACCGCATTAGTATAACGTCAAGTTAAATGTGAAAAAGTGTATGTTAATGGCAAAAATATTCTGACGATAAGGTACTTAAGCTTGAAATCGTTGTTTGATCATGACCTTATATTGTACTAACCACACTTTTAGATTTTGTTCGCTCAATAATAATCCGATTCAAGGCGTTTCAGTCACTGATTCGTTATTTAAATTCATAAAAACGCACAAAACAAACCAGCGAGAGTGGCATAATAATTCTATTAATAATACTAAACGGATATTAAAGACTTGTCAGGGCAGTTTTTGATACCGCGCACGTGAATATTCGATACCGCACGCACTGATTTCTTGTGGTAATTATTTCTTAATGTGTCGCAGATGCTTACGTTATATTAATTTTAATTTGAAAACATTTGTAGACAAATATTGTTTTGCAGCTGACAATACTGTATTCGTATTATCACAAGGTTTCCTTCGCGAGTAAACACTTGCAATTTTATCCTGCAGGCTCGCATGCCTCTAATCTGCTTGATCCTGGCAACATTATTGCCCCATATATTGCACCTCCGGGATGTGAGCCCCATAGTACAGTTGATCCTCTCACGGGAAATGAAACTATCGAATTCTTACCTTGCCCCGAGTGGTTACCGGATACGGAAACCAGGCTACCTTCCTATTGTTGCGGTGCGGAGGAGAAAGAGCGGCGATGCTGTGATTGGACAATATATGTTGTCAATCAGATCGGATTTGGAAAAACCAATATTGGGTACGATTACAACAACATCTACATACACAAGTATACTTATTCATCTACATATTTTGCTGCTATCACCGTTTGGGCAACCTTGTGCTCAGCTCAAATTTGTTGAGCCGATCGATTAAGCTTACAAATTATTACGCTGTTTATACACATAATTATAGCGATTAACCTATAGTAAATTATACTGTATGACTCGGGATAAAACCTGAGTAGGAAAAAATCCGAAAATGTGCATTTTTAAAACAGGTGCGTGATCCGTGCGGCGACCTGATAAAAACTACTCTAGCTTTTGCACTTTCATGATGGGTATACCGCGCATTCGTAAATATTAGAATTATTCTGAAACTTAAACTTCAGTTTTGTCTTATTTATCGCATGCTAAGTTGCTAATAGCTCAGACTTCGCGGATCGTTTTAAGACAGTTTTGACCATTGGGAGATATTATGTTATATCTGTATGCTAACCACAGTAATTTGTTCGCTTTTCCCTTCACAGATTGCTCATACTCGTGGGACTGTTTTTTGTAAGTGAATATTCACAGTAGCCCACTGTTGTTATCCTGGACGTAGTTACAGCCTGATTAAAAGGTTACATCGATTTGCAGATAGCAGCCGGAATAATATTTTCTTTGATGTGCCTGTTTTTCCGGGCGTTTGTTGTGTCCAAGTGGGAACAGCCGCAAGATGCCGAAATGTCACGGAGTGATTCCGCACGGAATAACAGCATAACGTTTCAATCATACCGGCATGATGAAAGTCTACATCAGCTGTGCTACATTGATGCGCCGACGCCGGCGCTGGCAACGCCAGCAGCATCCCGTCCAACGACAAGTGCTCTCTAAAACTAAGTGTGATCCATGATGTTACTCTGAAAACCAGGTTCAGATTTTAACATCCCTGTGCATTTTTCTTTAATCAATAAAACAAACTGTGCATCGATGTTTATTCTTCTAATGACAAAAAATGCCCGCATCAATGACCGTGTGGATTTCATATGGAATATGCTCACTTTACAAAAAGGTCTCGACTTTCCAATGTACACAACGTGCACTGCATTGTGCTTTGCCGATCACCAACGGTATTGTAAAGTGCCGTGTGTAGATAAACCCGGCCTCCGTGGTTTCCACCGGAAGCATTTTGCAAACGCGCATCGATAAGTCTGCTTTTTTAACAAAATAGCACATTTATTCCTAGCTGCACAACAGGGATTATCCGTAAGCCATTCGAGTGGATATCATTGAGTTTTCCTCTATAAATTTTTTAACATTTCTTGAAAACCGTAAAGATATTCAAATGCGTTGACATATGTACATTTGCAGTTTTAAACGGTTATTTAATACTAACGCTTGTCTGTAAACTGTAACACTGTCTACCTAAAACATAGTCTTTCGTTTTTCGCCGTGCTGTACACTGTGCGCAGATTAATAAAGCACACATTTACTTCGAACAATTACAACTATCTGTAGGTGTAAGTACACTCCAAAGTTTAGGTCTACTCTAGTGTACAATTGTACAAGCGCGCGCTTTAAAGATCCACAATCAGCCTTGTAGGGACATTATCGAATCTTTACTCCCAGTTTTTGTACAGCAGCCTCTTCTATAGCTTTATGAACAACGTTAGCTTCTTCCTTCGTCAGAGTTTTTTCCATATGCCGATAAATAATTCTATAACAATTGCTCGTTTCCCCCGTTTTCGGGTGCTTAAACTCGTCGATCAGGCGCACTTGTTCGACCAATTCCCCACCCAAATTCCGCACCAATTCGTAAAAATCATTCTTTTCGAATTTATCACCAATCCAAAACGCAATATCATTGATGCACTGCGGGAACACACTGATCGGCTTGTACTTGATTATTTTGCGGATATTGTCTACATCGAACTGCGACAAGAATCCCGAATCGGTCGACCAGAACAGACGGATATCCGGAATTTCGTACAACCGCATGGCTAACCGCTCCAAACCCACTCCGAACGCCCATCCAATCTGGTCTGCCACGCCAGCAGAATTAAGCAGCTTTTGTTCCATGATGCCGCACCCGAGCAATTCCAGCCATTGGTTTTTAAATTTGACCTCCAGTTCCCACGACGGATGAGTGAAGGGAAAATAGGTGCTGTTCCACCGCATTTCCAACTTCGGTCCAAAGAGACTCCCTACAGCACCCTCCAAACAGTCTTTCAGATCTTTCTCCATCAAATCCACAGCGGGCTGAGTGTGGGTTTCTTGTTTATCGGGGTTGCGTTTGGTGGGAGTGGTCTCGAAAATTTGAAACGACGGATCGGGAGACAGTTCGTGCGCATATCTCAGACGCACACCCTCCATCTAAACACACAACCAGAAGTGATAAAGCACAAAATATACGCCTGCAAAACCGCAAAAGCAGGAAAAACAACAACATTTATGCAAGCAGCCAAACAAAAATTGCGAATTACACTAATAACTATTTAGGTGCTATACCAGTAATGGCTGACTCCAGTGCAGATGTAATATTATTAAATAATAATTCTTTTTTTAATTAAGAGCCGGAAGTTACCGAAAATTGCCGTTGAATAACATCAAGAAACATGATCTTAATAATCTTACCCTAACAGGCCACATTTACCGCTAATGTTTTGCAGAAAAAAGATCGAACACTCCCAGGAAATATTTTTGGCGAAAAAAGTGAAAAGTAAAACTAAAACTTCTGAAGTATACGTTTTGCCGGTAATGGAAATTAAACCCCGATACAGCAGCCATGTACTGTTTTATAATGCACTGTGTATCAGAATGATTGTATCACAACCAAATTCATAATTCCTGAAGGTTATTGAAGATTGAGTCTCAGGAAAGGCACAGCTCGATAACCACAGCGAAAACCCACCTACCTGATGGAACACCGGGAAGTGCGTAGAATCAATTTCGTCCCGCCGATACACATCGCCAACCGCAAGGAACTCACGCAGTCCACTCCGCATCAGATCGCGCTGGTGTGCGGATGTGTGAGCACGGAGCATGTGCTCCTTGTTAATATAATACGAATCACTGGGACGCCGGCTTGGATGATCCTGCGGAACCAGGAGGCAATCGAAGTTCTGCTCAGTGGTCACCACTGGCTCGACATTGTCGACAACAGCAAAAGCAGGCGAACGTCGGTTTGGTGTCTGGTATTTCCAGTGGAAGTACGAAACCAGTCGCTCCTTGATCAACCAAAGCGGATGATTCTTTTGTTGGTAGATGTTCTTGCCAATGTATGCCATAATCCGGGGTGTAATATTGGTCCACTCATCCCGAGGAAATATACGGGAGCCGATTTGAATGGGACCGCTCTCACTTTTCTCCGAAGTCTTTGGTGAAGGCTGTTCAGATGCCGCGGCAGACGAGGAGAAACTTTGTACAAAAACTCTGCGCTGGCAGCATCTTAGAAGCCACACCGTTCTGAAAAAATGCATTTAGGGGCTTTAAAAGCATGTGCTTATTGAAAACATTTAACGCTTTCTAATAAAACTTTTTTTGTGAACCGCATAATGCATTTACAAAATAGCCGTTTTGTTGTGGTTTTGTTGTGTCACACGAGAGCAATACTATAGTCCGTGCGCCAACACGAATTACCTACAAAGTTCACCCTTTACCTACTTACATCGAAGCTCGAAAAACGCCTGATTGGCTGGGTTTGGATGTAAGTCCATTTTTGCTCGAAGTCTGTCGCGGGGCGGCGACGAAAGCCGTTACACAGATGGGCGTACCTTGTAACGGGTCTAAGCGACGCCCAGTTACTTACAAACTTCGCGTTTCTGCGATTTTTATTGGTTTGTCAGCATTTTGAGTTAGATCGAGGCTGCCCACCGCCAATAGTAAAATTTGAAATCACGTGGTTCAAACTCAGTACTTTCAACAAGCGTTGGGGTTTCTGATGTGCTTTTTTATGAACTCCGCGAGATTTTTTAGAAGTCAGTCTGTTAGCATCCGTTATTTGTAGTTTTTTTTTGGCTGTGGCTAATACGCATCCATGAGCGAGAATTCTGAAATTTTGCTTACGGGGACAGGCACCGGAATGGTGCCGCAAGCACTAGTTCTGTCAGGGGCTTCGGGTTTATCACTGCAGGCTTCCCTGGTGTCTGCTGGCAACCCAGCTGGAGTTGGAGTTTATGGGCTTAGAATTCAATCGGCCACTTGTTCTACATTGAATAAGGCGTACAGGAAGCCCAAAGGGAAAAAGCGCGTCAATCAAGATGAGGAGCAAGACGGAGAGAAGCCATCGCGTAAGCAGCAGCCGCCCAACGAAGAAACGTTAAAAAAATTGCGCAATATCGTCGAGGTAAACCCTTATAATCATACATCGAAGGAATCCCATGACGCTTGGTGTAAAGTTGTTTTGCTCAGCCGTGAGCAAAAAAAGAACAGCGAAGGACAATTGGTGGCCGACGCAAGTCCGGTGTTATCAAAAGAAATTCTAAGCATTAAAGCCCTGGTGCGTCGGAATATGACGAGATACAATGAACGCCATGTGCGGATTACTGGCACCGAAGAAGAATGGGAAGAATGGGACAGATTAATGGAGCAAATAAAAGAATACTCTGAATGTGTGCCATTGTCTACTCGGGATCCCGAGAAAGCAGCCAGGGAAGCCGGCCTTCAGGCGCGTACTCGCGTTACTCAACTCGGTATGAGAAGTGGAACAACAAAAGAAAGTTGGGATATTGCTGACGAGGAACAGGACCGGGAAGATTTTGAAATGGATATGGGCTTGACGGATCACCCTGATGAGCTAGCTGCAAAGCTTCAGTTTGACGGTAAATATACTAAATCTATTTGCTTTTATTTAATTCAGAGTGTTAAGTTTTTGAATTCTTGGAGAATTTGCTATGCAGTTGCTTACTGCATTTATACAGCACTGAAGTTTTGGTGACAAGTCAATTGTTAGCTTAATAAGCTTATAACAACAGATAATGGCAGAAGATGAGCTGGCGCAGTTTCGTGATGATGGAACGGTTGATGTTGTTACGGCTAGCCGTAAGAGTGGGGTACCCCAAAACGCAGCACCTGTAGCAGAAGACGAGACAGAAGCAGTTGCTGACACGTGCGACGCGGCTACCCGCAATGTCCGGCTTTCCGGAGAGCGATCAAGTATATCGGAGCCGGCATCGCCAGCAGGGGACGATGGGCCAACTTTTGCTCGTGACGTGGTGAATAAAAAAGCAGCAGGCCACAGCATGTTACTGAAAAACGCTTCCAAAGCAGATGCATATACCTTGGCAAAAAAAACTCAACGAAAAAAATTACCGGAAAAAGTACGCCAAGAGCGAATGGTGACCAGTCGGCAGCAAATCGTACAGACGTTCACAAGCCTTAATAAAACGGTGGCCAGAATGAAACAGGGTGATTCCGAAGAACGGCGTTTTGATCGTGAGGAACGTGCTAAAGACAGGGAAGCAGAACGCGAGTCGCGCCAAGAAGATCGCGCCCTCCAGTGGAAGTTGGCACAGCAGGATGCAGAAATGAAGGAAAAGGACCGCTAAGAGCGCATCAAAAAAGAAGAGGATGACAGAAACGAACGCAAGGAAAGTCGAGACCAACAGTCCCAACTTCAAAAATTGGAAATCGAAGGCCGGAATAAACAACAGGAGAGAATGCTAGACATGATGGAAAAATTTGTCAGCAAATAGCTGTTTTGCTTTTTGTGGTTGCATTTTTTTCTTGAGTTCTGGCTAGCCAGTTGTCAGTAGGGAAGCCTACCGTTTTTTATTAACTGTTGTAGCGCAGATATGTTTCTAAAGACGGCGCATGCACGCCAAACTTTCGAAAAACAAGTTCAAAGCCGTACATACATGTCAAACAATTTGCGAGAATTGCAGAAACTAAATAAGCTTTTGCAGATTGCTGCCAAAACAGTTTCTGATTTTCCCGATAATTTCCAAAAGCAAATTGCGTGCAAATTCGTTGAAAGCCTAATTCCACAATAAGACGGCATCTGGACATTACTAAATTAAAAGCGATTTCTGCTTCACTGATGTTGCCGCCTTTGTAAGGGCTTTGCACTTCAGCGCTAATGCTGTACCCCTTATCCCCAAAAATGCAGTATTTCTTTCCCCAGATTAAATTTCTCAGCCGTAGACGCTGCCGTAGTTTTGACGCTCCCAGCATATGCATGTCGTGGCGGCGCCCTTCACATGGACCATACATGTTCACAATTATTCCATCCGGAGCAACTAAACTTTGAAATTTAATTACGTGGCCGCGGTGATGTCATGAGTAATATTCTTTTTGCAGCCTCCCAGGTCGGCAAATAGCCCGCGCAGTTCCGTCCACAAATGCCCAACAATTATCTAAAAATTGAAAGAATCTGGCTATCCAGATGAGCAGGCATCCCTGCGCACTAATAGATGCAAAATTGCGTACCGTATCTGCCGCCAGAAGCGCGATGAACAGCAGCTGCATAAACTGCAATATTGTCCGCTCTTAGCCATGGCTGCCCAAGTGATCGCAATAAATGGCCGTGTTTCTCGTGGATGATGTTTATGGTTATGTTAAAAATCCGTGATAGCTGCGAAGCTTCTCTCCCAAGGAGATCCGCACAATCACGCCACCGGTTTGGATAAGCAAGGCGGCGCAAAACAACTGCCAGAGCAAATTCCCCAGAGACTTGGCATCGATTGTCGCAGCTAACTTGTTCCGGAATTTGAAGACAGAGATACAAGTGGTGAAAATCTTCGTAGGATTTAACCCGGAAGAAGTGCTGTAAACGATCGCGTGGCATATTTTTCAGATCCAGCTCATGACGGACATAAAACTTTTCCAGTTCCCGATCCAGTTCATCAGCAAAATATAGAGCGGCTGCATATACCATCCATTTGATTGCATTTTTTTTAACTTTTTTCCGCTTTTTTATAACCGGCCTGCTGCCCTGAACATGCGCCCTGGCTACCCAGGAAAACATGGTAAACGGCTACCCGTTTAAAAAACCAAAAAATGTTTATTCAGACTTTTGCTGCACAGCCAGGGAAGGTTTGTTTTTGAGACCGAAAATAAAACTGCGCCTTTTTGGGCGCCCTACTTGGGTGGCAGTCACCATATGGCTACAGAACTTTCTACCAAATTTATTTCTCTTTTGTTACAAAAGTCGTTCTGAAAACACTGGTCCAGATCAGAAGCCTATAACAACCAGCAAAAAAAGAAAGAACCAAAACAAAGGTGATTAACCTTTGTGGAAACACGAGCCATATCTGTACTACAACATTCTATCAATCTATCAGAAACCAAAGTCGGCTACCCGACCGCGCAGGCTTCCCTGCAGATCCTATTTCTGGCCACGCATGGTGTAGACCGCATCGTCCCATTCCTCACCCTTACGCAAGTCTTCGTAGGCGCGCTGATTTGCCATCAGATTATCTTCCCGCTGCCAGCGCGCCTCAGTGGCCGCGTCTTCCATAGCGCGAGTTTGCTGCAGTACGGTGTCTTCGTGGCGGCGCCGAATGTCTCGGGCAGCACGCTCGTCATCACGTGCGCGACAAACTGCGGCATCCTCCAGTGCACTAGCTTCGCGAATGCGTCGCTGCTCTGTATTCTTCATATATAAAAACTGCTGGAAGCCGGGCGCACGTTCTCCATCCCGGCGGGTTGGTCGTCGGCGCAACCCGCCTAACTGCGCTGGGTTCCCAGCACGTCCGACTGGCAAGCCAGCACGGCCATTGCAGCCACCTGTAGATACAAAGCAAGACTTGCTGCTCAGTTACTTCGCCTGACAGAAGACAGTACTTCTCACCCAGTTCATTGCCGACACCGCGATTAGCTGGGTACCCAGCAGCTGCTGGCAAGCCAGCATTAGCATCAACAGGTTCTAAAACATATGGCCAAACATGCTTAGTATTAAAAAACAACAGCTGTGAAAAGCAACCGTAATATATCTTTATTTAAAAATTTTATTTTCTTACGGGCTTACCTTGTCGCGGAAGCACTCGCCCGAACCTACGCCGCACTGGATTGCCAGTATTCTGAGCTGGATCGCCAGCATTGTGCTCGATATTCCCCGCTCCATCTGCAAAATATTGCAAAATGACGCAGTATTTCCTTTTTATGAACTTATGAAAGTTTAAAAATACCATCAATTGACTTCACTGCAGTCTCATTTGGATTAGCAGTATTCTGGATGGCCAGTACATTGCCAAGTGCTGCAAATTAAAGACGAGACGGTCATCAAGGTGGAGCTGACTTATATGCAGAAGAAGTGGTACCAGGCCATGCATGCGTCGTACCCGATTGCAGTTTTTCCAAATCTCCCACAAGAGCCTGCTGAGACTTGTCCACCGAATCCAGCATATCATAACTGGACGAGCGAGAAAGAACGGACACACTGGAAGCACGGCTCTGCATGACTGAGCGAGGGATAAATTCGAATTTCTGAACCATTGTTGTGCAAAAAAACAAATCAAAAGTATCTGCGGGGTACTTCAAAAATAATGTTAAATAAATTCACAAGTCTTGATTTAAAAAACCACAGCGAACTTTTACAGATTAAAGCAGCTTTCGATTCTACCATGTGCGTATGTAAACTGTAAAGCCGTTTGCGCACGCGATGTGGCTTAACATGGACGCACTTACACGCAAGCCGTGAAAACGGGCGCGGTTTTGCATACTTTGTAGGTAAACGCACGCCGAAATCTTTGTAAGTAAGTCCCTGATGCGCCTATGCGCAATTACTGTACTATTTACATAGTATCGCTCTCGTCACACCTTTTCTATTAATTTTAACGGTATTTTAACCTGACCGCAGGAACGGCGGTTGCCTTGACCTTACTTTTGTCCAATCGATTTTTTCTTTACGCCTTTGTAGGCAGGTTGTTGGTCCAGGATTGGTGTATTTTGTGCGTATTCAAATGATTCATTCAAGCAACCGCAAGATTAGCGACGCTACATCTTGTGCTTCCGCTCTTCCAGTGCAGGGCTCTCTCGAGTTTCGAGCCGTCACCGTCACGCAAACGATAAACAATCTGAAGAATCTGGAACTTCCAAATTCTGCTCAGATCTTGGCTGGTAATTGTGAGGCATTCTTGTCATTAATTATTGTAAGTTGATATTTGAGTTTACTGCGATTGCTTGATGAGTTTAAAGATGCACGGTTATGTCTTGCCCATTCTGTTTCTGGGGCTGGGACGAGCTGCTGTTGTGCCAGCACTCGCAGTAGCCGTAACTAACTTGTCATCTTGCAGTTTGCGCTTAACAAACGTGTTTTCCCGCTGCCCAGGGATTGCACTAAGATTCCCTGGTAATTATGGGTGATAGCGATGATGAATATGATCAAAAGCGGTCTCGGGGACGCCGTGGAGATGGCGACAATGATGGAGGCTGGAACGACAGGTCCGTTCATTACCAACATTACGAGCGCACAGCTGTTTTGTTTGCATCGGTTTTCTTTACGTGAGTGAACAGCTAAAGTTCAACAGCTTATAAACCGCGTTGTAGGCGCCGCGATGGAGGTGGATGGCAGCGAGGTAATTATTCGCGGAACAACCAGGGATATGGCGGCCATCGCAAGCAGTTCAGTCCACCGGATCGCCACGGAATGGGACAGATGAACAAGAGACCACGGAGAGATTGGTGAGCGTTGACGGCTAATGATGTCTTTTTGAAGTTTATAGCTGGTTTTGATAGGGATGATGGTGATCGAGACGACTTCGGTGACCGGCGTCAGTCTGGTGGACGAGGCGCGGGGTACGCTACAGTTTTGCTGTTACTGTTTCTATGCAAATGTGTTTGCTAATTTTGCAGTCTTGATGGCGGAGAAACTCCCAATGGTAAGTTGCCGATTGTACAACTATAATACAAGTAATACGACGCGCCAGTTTCCTTATAAAATGAATAAAAACTCTTGTCGACATTCTGACGCGAACTATCGATTAACTTTTAAATGCGTTGATAGTTGAAATACATTATAAATTCATCATTTTAAATTTTACATGTAACGTGTTATAGTCATATACGTTTGAAAATTTTTCATTACCTGTTGTTACAGTGGAATTGCTATCGCTTACGTTGCAGGTCCAACGCAACCCGCACTGATGAGTTTCAGACAATTTATGGGTACTCTGGACGAAAATGTGGAACAGGATGAAGTTAACCAAAAATATCGCGAATACAAAATCGATTTTAAACGCCAGCAGATCCATGAATTTTTTCTTGCCCATAAAGACGAAGAATGGTTAGCAGACACTTTATCAGCGCATTATTCTTGCTTATTTGTTCCATATTGCCTCATTTTGTGGTGTTTATTAGCTTAACAGGTCAGGCACAGACAGTGAGAGTTGGCCGAGAGCAGTCATTTGTACATCCTTTCTCGCATATTTTGAGATAGCTATCATTGCACTGCAGCGTTCGGATATTTTTTAAATCCGCGCTATTTTTCTACTATTCCGACTTTCTGAACTTTTACTTATAACTTTGCACCCATTCGCAAAACGTCCCTAATCACTGTGCACAATGCAGTGAAGGTTTTGATAAACTTCTGTCGTTTTGCTTTGATAAATATACTTTGCTATTGTGAAAATGCTCCAAAGGGTGGTCTGTAAGTATGGATGCTTTCTGACATAGTGTCACTTGTTAACACATATTGTGAGATTCCCTTTACCTTACTCCGTGTTTTTTTATAGGTTTCGGCAGAAGTATCATCCAGAAGAAAGCCTAGCACGTAATCAGGAGAAGCGGATGTTTATCCAGCAACGGTTGGATGCATACATGCATCTTTTGAAATCTGGACGGGTTGCGGATATTATCTTGGAGATTGAGAACCAGAAGGATATTATGCGTTTTCTGGACGAAGCATTAATTATTATGGAGGGAGGAACAGAAGAAGATTTTAAGTTGTTGGACGAAAAAGTTCCCACTGAATCTTCTTCCGACAAGCCTGAAGATGAAGATATGAAAGAGGAAGAAACTCCATCAGAACAGGCGGAACAGTAAGAAATCGGAAATTTACATGCGGTTCTTTATTTATTTATTGCTTATTGGCTGAAAATGATTTCAGATCTTTAATTTCATATTGTTTATTTTATGGATTATTTACAGAAAGGAAGAAAAGACGCCTGGAGAGGAAGGTCAGGAACCGGGAGAAGAACCCGAGTCGAGTGAGGACAGTAAAACGAAGGAGAGTGACAAACCGAATGCCCCCACAAAAAGAAAAGTTTTGTATAAAACTACCTCCATCTTTTTGCGTAACCTTCCACCAAACATTACCAGAACTGAAGTAGAAGCGGTAAGTCTTCACATTTAAGAAGTTTTGTTTAGATTAGTGTTTCGGGAACGGATTCAATTCTTCAGTTAATTCTTTAGGTCTGCAAGCGATTTCCGGGTTTCGTCAAAGTTGCCATAGCCGATCCGCTACCGGAACGGCGTTTCTTCCGTCGTGGGTGGGCCACATTCGAACCAGATGTTAATATTAAGGAAATCTGCTGGAATCTGAGCAACATTAGGGTAAAAACGAGTTGTTGTTTGATTGGTGCACTGAAGACAAACTGTTGTATTGAAGTGTGGCTTGATTTCAGCTTAGAGATACCGAGCTCGGCGCCATCGTCAATCGTGATCTGACGCGCCGGGTGCGCTTTACGACTGGTGTTACTCGTCATAAGCCAGTGGTGCGCAGTTGCATTCAGCTGGCCGCTCGGATCATACAGAATCTGGATATTCAGTTTGGGTTGTGGCTGACCGACAAAGAAAAAGCTGAAGCAGAAAAGGTATGGTTGAAGGTGGTGAAGTGCATGATTTGATTTTTGGTGATCGGTAGTAAAGGTTTAACGTTGAAACTAAGTTTATAGTTGGATCTTTGTATTATGTAGGGCTTTATGATAATGGCATATATTATGTAGGGCTTTATGATAAAATCCCGGAACCCTATTCTGAAAGACATCACCGACTACCTTATCGAAGAAGGCTCGGCTGAAGAGGATGAGTATGAAGGTTCACGAAATAATGACCCCGATAAGCACACGGACAAGAATGACCGAGATCGTGAAGAAGGCGAGGAAAGTTCTGCAACCATTGAACGAGATGAAGAGCTGGATAAAGTATTAGATCGTTTGCTTCTCTACATTCGCATCGTGCACTCGTTGGATTTCTACAACTGCTCGGATTATCCCCTGGAGGATGAAATGCCAAACCGCTGCGGAATCATCCATGTCAGGGGACAGCCGCCTCCCCACAAGGTCACAACGGAAGATGGTACGTAACATTTTGATATGATGCAGTTCGTTTTTTCGGAACATGAATAGATGTCGGGTGTCAAGTTACAACAAGCGGAAGTGTGTTAACGGAAAATCCGTTTCAGCCAATACGTACGTGAAAGGAATGGAGAACAAGTTAAGTCAATGGTTGCTTCCCAAGCAGAAGTTGACGAACGAAGAAATCGAAGAGCTGGGTGTCAAAGATGTGGATAAAGAGGTGGAGCGGTTTGTTGAATCTAACACGAAGAAATTATCGGAGGACAAATGGCTCTGTCCACTGAGTGGAAAGAAATTTAAAGGGCCTGATTTTATTCGCAAGCACATATTCAATAAGCATGCCGAGAAGGTGGAGGAAGTGAAGAAAGATGTGGAATATTTCAACAATTATCTCCTGGACAGCAAGCGACCTTCTCTCCCCGATCATCCATCGACTAGTCGTCAGGCTGGCAACCTACCGCAGGGCGGAGGCAATCAGGGCGGTCCGATGCCTGGTGGTCCGCCGGGCTTTGGGGGATTCGGAGGACATCCGATGGCTGGACGGCTGGGTTTCCCGCCGGATATGCGGATGCCCCTGCCGTTTCCTGGACCGTTTCCGCCGCCCTTTATGGGCATGCCCCCTATGCCGCCCATGGGCATGCACGGTGGGGATTTCTTTGGTGGTCGGGGAATGGGTCCACCGCGAAATTTTGGCCCCAGGTGAGGCACAATACTACAAATATGGTTTCTTGTTAGTTGCTTTACATGTATTAAAACCGCTTTATTTTTGCACGATGATTAGTATTTAGTACTGTATTTCGGAGAATTTATTTTGTGTTGTAGAGTGTATCTCTGCTGCAATTACAAGATTTCTGCTTTTGTGGTGACCTTGTGCTGATTGTGGTTATTAAATCTCGCTCGTGTTTTACGTGTAGTATCGCTAATTCATACACGATTGTTTAATACAAAAAGTCTCATATGCTCCTAACGGGAATGACGAATGTGCTTTTTCATCATGTTTTGTCAATCGTACTTTTCTAGGCGAGATGGAAGAAACGTGGTTAGCTATAAGGATCTGGATGCCCCGGCCGATGAGGATTTCTCATAGTTCTTTTTGTTGCTTATCGTTTTTAGCTGAATTTGCAGTATGCGTATGATCTTATGCGCTTATGCGATATTACTGCATTGTTGCGGTTTTAACGATTATGCCCGAGCATCCGAACTTGTTTATATGGGCAGTCATCAGGGTAATGGGAAATAATCACTAGACTGTCCCTGTTATTTCCAGCATATTTGTAACTTACGCTTTTTGTTCGTCTGTGCAAACGTTGGGTTTTCACGTTTAGCAAGGTCATTGTTGTATGGAAATGTGGCGATCCTTTGCATAATGAGGAACATTTTAAATCTTTATTTATGAAATGCGAAGTAAAAACTCAAGGCGAGCAGGCGTGAGTTCTCTCGAGCATGACGTGCATGTGGGTAATATGAACCGATTATTACAGCATTACGTAAACCGAAAAGCGGCTTTAATGCTTCGACAATTAGGTAGATGATAAAAAATGCCTGAGGCGCTGCGCGGCACGGTATCATTAACGAAGCAGATGTGTACCACTTTTTTCAGCCCCAGAACGCATAATTTTGTAACTCACCTGAGCGACAATGCATTGTAGCCGTTTATGATTTACCTGCTAAGATGTCGCAACTGGTTGATAAAATGAGCACCCTAAAAACTAAGTCCTTTTCTGTGCAAAAATATTGCGATTTATTTTATATATGGTTTTACAAAACTTTAAGGGATATACGGAGAAAAAGGAAAGGTCAATCTCAGCCATCCTACGTTTATCTAATACTTATTGTGAAATTTCTGGCAGTGTTAGCTTTGTTGCTTTTTTTTGTCGTATCGGTCGTAACCGTCTTTGTAAATGGTATCCGTCTGGGATTTGTGCGCTCCATTTCCGGTAGCCAGGATGACAAAAGTGATCTGCAACCTGCCTGTCGCGTTAATAAAGAACTGGATTATCCTACCTGTTTGTCTACGGGATACTGTTGTGGAGACAAGGAAATTCCGATGTTTACACCGATAAAGTAAAACGTTATTTTTCTACAAAGAAATCAAGCTGCGACAGATATTTATTTACTTTTTTGGTAAATTAACTTACCTTTTTAGGAGGAAAGTAACTGGAAAACAACTCTGCACCGAGACGATTAATGTGGTATATATGGTGTGCGGAAGTGAGAAAATCGGTTCTGTCCCAGTATCCATCAAATCGCTCGCGCTTTTCACACAGTGTGCAATAAATATAATTCTATTCACGGAATCATCCCGCGTCAACGAATTAAGTGCCGCTGTTCAGGAAGTTATCACACCTTTTCTTCAGCATCAGCGTATCACCTGGGAAGTTAAGGGACTAAGTGGATTCATCGATGAGGACAAAATCAACGCGAGTGTGCTAAATCCCAGTGCGACATATTGCACCGGTCGGCTGATTTATCTTCCGGTCAGTTACAACCAAAACCGTATTAACTGTTTTTTAGATTCTACACATTATTATCACTACTGTACTATAGTATTTGCTCATATGGTAATTACGTTTTGATTATTATGGTTATGCAATATGGCAGTCCCGCAAAGTATTTTTCACATAATATGATCACAATTAGTGTCTTTCTAATTTTTATTCATGAGTGAATTATGTGTCGGCTGTAATATTTTGTGCTGCTAAATATTGGAAGCAACCGTTTTTAAGACAATGCTGGAGGCAACGGATGCTATAATCTACTTAAATCCGGATACGATTTTCCTGGCTCCTGTGGAGTATCTGTGGGAAACCTTCTCCGAAATGCAGAGCAACAGTCAAGTAGCGGCTATGACAGCGGATTATGAAGATCCAGATTTGGGTTATTATAACAATGTGTACACTGTGCCATTTGTGCAGCCATTAGGTACGCTTCAGTACAAAAACCGGTTTACATAAGAATGTCGTAAATGTATGATGAGAACTACAGAAGAATATGCTACAGCAAAATAAGCAGATAACTGGGCATGCTTTACGTATTATTTTTTGATACTTATGGTTAATTCAGTGTGTGTTGCATATTCAGGAATCAATGCCGGAGTCGTCTTAATGCACCTGAAAAATCTAAGACTGATCGGATGGGATAACCACATGCAGCTGACGTACACATCCACCAAACATCAAATACGTCGCGGCACACAGGATATGTTGAATGTTTTCTTCCTGCAAAAATCATGTATGAAACAAGTTTTAGTTATGAATATATTGAGTCAGTTAAATATATACATGCTCAAATGTTCCCTTCACTGCAAAAATTTAGTAGAAATACAAAACTAAGAACAAGAGCCGCTACCGTGTTCCTTTCGTTTTGATCTTTTCGAATTTTGCAGCACTGTTTAAACTGCTTTCGTGCGAATGGAATTTTCGACATCACCATTGCTATCGAGATTACTGCAACTGCCGCAATGCAAAACGAAACGGAATATCCTTAATTCAACAGTCGTCGCATTATCTTCAGAATGGGCAAGATGCTGATAAACGGCATTTGACAGCAATTCATATCGCGCTTGTGAAAGTAAGTAAATTCTAGGGATTTACAGTAAGCACGGCCCAAGACAAAAATAAAATGCGGTGTGTATATTAACTAGCACTGCAAAGATCAGGAGAATAATGTGGTGGCATGAGAAAGATAAAAAATGATGCAGTGAATTTTTGGATTTATGTCTTGTTTTACGTTTCAGTACGTCCTGGACGAGCAGAATCCGGAAGAAACTCTTTTAATGCCATTGAGGACAAAATTCAAGCGTATTGCCGAAGCCGGTGTGCACAATTGCGACCGCGTTTTTAATAATACGCTTAATTTAATGCATGATTATTTGGCTCAAAAGTATGGAAATAATCGAAAACGAAAATATGGATGATCGTTCGGTTTTGGATGCGCTGGCATCGGGCAAGGTGGTTTATTTTTGTGGTGAATGCAATCTCAAAATTTTACTGTGATGATTTATTTTGCACAAATACGCTTGTTGTAAAATAAATAAATAGTGATTTACCCATGACGTATGACGTTCAGGATACATGGGAACGGCAGTTACGGCACTATGAAAATTAAAATTTTGCCGTACATCTCATCTATCGATCTCTTCGGTACCTATGCCAAATTATGCTGGCTGCATATGCGTTTCGCAACCATGTAATAATATGTTTTTTAGTTGTCAGATTTTAATATACAAAAGATACGAATGTCGACTGCGCATATTCTATCACTAAATTAACAGCCCTCGGAGTTTATATTGCTAGCAAGAAGCGTGTGCGGTTGCAACATGTAGGTCAAAACACCAATGCGATGGACAATGACCTAATTTAAGAAACGCGACATCGCTCCAAATAACGTGGCAAAATATTTTCAGTTTTAAGTTTTTTATTACAGCGCGGTAGCTGAAATTTTAAAGCGAAGCTTTAGTTGTTTTTTTTAAGCAAAAGGTCCGGTACCTCAAAAGTAGCAATAATATCTTTCCCATAAACTATCCAGTATCCACCGGCTCTCTTGCACATTCTGGTACTCCCACTTATTTTATCCTTCTCTCCTTCGAGATCTCATAAACTGCAGTATTAAATTGTCTGAAATGCCTGCTTTGATTTTATATCGCAGACTTGCTAAACGGTTATTTTTATTTGGTGTTGCTGCGATAGTTTGTTTGGTTCCATTGGTCAAGTACAGGAATCGTAATCAACAGCAACCTGATGCATATGCCATTATGGAGCGACAGGAAGCGGCAGCGAGTAGTAATGGACATCTTACATCCAACGTTGTACCGGTAAATACTGAACAACAGTTTACATGTTGTAGATTTAACATGAGGTAATTTTACAACATCCTTAGCCATGCTTTTATTAGTTGAGAAACACCGGAATTGGTACGTCGCAAAACATAAAAATCAATGTCTGTAGATCGCCTATGATCTAATTACCATCGATTTTAATTATAAAGCTGCTAATAATAGCACAATTAATATATTTTTGCAAGTGGCTTCGTAAAGTTGTAATATACGTACTGTATTTTTGTTTTTGTATCTCTGCCCTGACTTTGTTAGTTGCATATTAATAAAAATGTAATACTAGTAATAATCTGTAGCGCCGTTGATACTGTTGTTGCTTGCACTTAAAGATAGATCCGCAAGCGGTGAATATCGTGTATGTGGCGTGTGGAGAGCAGCAAATCGATGATATGTTTGTATCCATAAAGTCAATTCTGCTGCTGACCAATTCACCGGAAATCACGTTCATCGTCTTCACCAATTTGCACTCCAGCCTCGAACAAATTCGGCACCGTTTTACCGAACTGGTGACCTCGAAGGCGCTGGCTCGGCTAAGTGGGAGTATTGTGGATATCTATCCTGTGGATCTGGAATTTCCGTCTGTGCATCACTCTAACTTGAACGTGGATATCAGCTGGAGAAATACAGATACCAAGTGCAAAATGCAGAAAATGTTTTTGCCGGTAGGATATACAAAAGGTCTCTTGTGCAGTGTTTTAGGGCGTACTTAAATTACCAACTGGGTGCATTAAAATAAATTCGCTTTTCAAAGGATTTTTTTTATACAGAGTACTACCAGTTTCAGTTTTATCTAAACAGCCAAATAGAAAATTTGCGGGAAAAATTTAAAAAACGTATTCCAGGATAAGCACTGCAGTACTAGTGCAAAAGCATGTCGCTGCAAAATTTGTTCACATAAGAGAAAATAATTATGGACAGAATGTGGCAGAGCTTATTTGAAAGCAGTTAATATGGTTCAAAGCTGTATTCCGCACAACAAAATTATGCCAAGCAGTTACTGTATTAACGCTACTGTTTTAATTTGTAAACAGGCTGTAATAGAAGATTTCGAGGCAATTATATACTTGGACACGGCCACGATAGTTATGCGACCCATTGAAGAGCTTTGGGTGGAATTCTTCCGAATGCGTGAACCGGAAATGCTGTCCATGGTTCTGGATGTTGAACCCTCTGAAACGTCGGTGTTAAAAAAAGAGGATGAGCTGGATACTAAAACATTGTCAAATGGTAAAGTACCCCAGGAAATACAAAATAATAAATACTGTACCATCTGAATCCATTAAATTTGTTCTCTGAAGATGGTTTTGCAAGTTTCATTTGTCTGCCTTTGAAAAAATATTGCTACGTGGTACGTATACTAGGCTGGGCGTGTCTGGAACCGACATTATACAACTGTAATTACGATATCGCTACGCAGTTTAATTTTTAGGCAAGAATTTCTTGCGTTACAGCTTTTGTGGGTAGAATAAAAGGCGATTTTCGACAGGTCCCGGTGTCCTCTTGATGAATTTAACAAAAATGAGAAATTTTGAATGGGAAGAAAAACTTATGCACACGCTGCATCAACATCATATCCATCTTGGAAATGCCAATCCGCAAAATATTTTGGATACAATGGTGCAGATTGCGCGGAAAGGTACGGATGTGACACATTTAGGTGTTTATGTAGCCGATAACATAAAATTTTTTATGTTTTTACAGAAATGCGTTTATTATCCTGCCAATGGAATTTCCGCCCGTTTTACTGCAAGAAAGCGAAAGGCGGTTGTGATTCTGCTTCGTTGAAAGGGTTTGCATTAGTTAACGGAAATTCCGGGTTATTTCATCAAGGAAATGGAATATTTTCCCACATTTACAGTATTTTTAAAAATGTAAGAGTAATTCAATGCACAGCGTGGTCAAATACACAAAACACAGATAGCGTCAATTTGTTAAATATCGTATCTGTTATGATAATTTACGTCTAACAAAAAGCAAATCTTGCAGTTTGACCCACACCAAATGGACATCTTCGAAAACTTTCTGAAGCCTATGAAGAAAACTTTGAAAACCGGAGATTTTGCGTTGGAACACTGCAGCATAGTTTTTTCTGCGTTGGCCACTTATATGGACGATAGTATTACCCGGCTTTACGGAGCGGCTGAAAGTTTTGCCATGAAGGGTTATTATTCACAACAGCATGAAGATATATAACCGGTGCCAGGTCCGGTGGTAATATGTTGAATCAAAATTGCATGTTTAACTGCCGTAAATAAACAATACGCGATGGTTCCCCTTTTGTGATATAAAAATATATGAACTCGTTGAGCATGCACTCATACGACGATACAAGTAAAGGTGCGCGTTATATTGCGTTGGAAGTCATTAAAAATTACTACAAATATTACTTAGCAGTTGTCCAGACTCCATTGTGTTTTGTTAGTTACGTTTCGCACTCGATTTTGATGATTTCATTTAGTCACAAATAGGATGAGGTACGACGAAGAACAAACTAACCAAAAATTAGTAAAAAAAACCTCATTTCTTCAACTTCATTTCTTTTGTAAAGACTTAGTATAGAAGTATCAGAAGTCGTTATTAGACACAGCTGTTAGTGCAAAGGCTGAACAATTTATTTCATTTGAAGTTCAGAAGTTGAATCAACAATCAGCACCAGACGGGAATGAATATACTTAACAAAACAACAAACAATGTCGTATACAATTTCTGAAAACATGACGCGGGATAGTGGTACCTTTGCATCACAGCCTTCGATTGTTGTCAGGTCAATCCAGATGCGATTCCGGTGCGAAATAGTGCGCTATGGTACTGCTATTATTATTGTACATAATTTTGACAAAATGTGAGCATTTTTCACCTAACATTGACACAATAAGCGTAGCTCATGGGGTCAACTGTCTGGTCAGGGTAAACCAGCTAAACGGGGTTTTATGAAGTACACTTTTTTGGATTTTTTTTGCGCACTCATTTTGCTTTGCTGCTTAAAACATACAGGAAACAAGTAATATTATTATGCACAACGTTCTCCGCTTTTCTTTTTGGGATAATAAATACTTGCGTTTGTTGGTTGTTTTTCATTCGAGTAAAAGTAAGTACTGGAACCGCATCTGTACCAAGTACAGCTTTGACACATGTGGAGCGCGTATGAATTTTGATCCTGTCCCACTTGAGAAGCAAATTGTCAGGTTTATTGTACAACCACAATATCTAAAGCCATAAAGAGTCGCAATGCAGATTCAACAGGTTGTTTATTTGATCATTTTGTTCACATTCTGCTCGGTGTGATGTTGCATATTGCAGCCACTACACCGGCTTCTGCAGTGCCTGTGTACAGCTGATTATCACTGGACAAGCTCTGACTCCTGCGCATCATCAGCTACTCTGCACATTGCTATTATATCGCATTGTGCTGCAAGATGTACGGGTATTGCAAAGATCAGTTGTAGCATCTCTCTACGCTCTTGAACAGTTGTCCCTTGCCTTGATCGCTCTATTTTTATGATATTATGCACAATGACCGTTGACATCAGAATCCCGCGCGAACTTGAATCTGACAGCTATCTTGTCAACTAATATTTTCCGTTACGGAGTATAACCGTATTGGTGATTTCCAGTTCCGCTTCGTCTTTCAAGTTTTTTTTTGCGCAATGGACATAAGAGCGCTAATCATTATTGCGGTGACCTTTGCGGAATCCTTGTGTCAAGGTAAGATAACATATAAATTTAATGTGCTGCAAAATTTCGCATAGTGTAGTGTTCGCATTTCGCATAGTGTATTTCGCATGTGCACAGCCATAATGATACAATACATTCACGGCGAATTCAAATTAAATATGGAGTGTAAATATGGCGTAAATCAAATAAAGTATTTCTTATCAGTTCTCAAGTCTTACATGTAATTTCTACTCTTTAGATGCAGAGTTTTGGAAAAAACAAGCCGATACTCTAATGCAGGATCGGTTTTCCCAGAAACCAAATACAAAAATAGCGAAAAATATTATATTATTTATTGGGGACGGATTGAGCGTTGCGACATCCACCGCAGCCCGCATTTACGACGGTCAAAAACATGGTTCCACCGGAGAAGAAAACCGCCTTGTATATGAAAAACTTGATCACACAGCCGTTATCAAAGTGTGTATGACAACTGGGATAAAAAAATTTATAGATAACTCATAAATTTAAAAAGTAGGATACACATATGTGTATTAATTAAACTGCACCGAATTATGCAACTTACATATATTTTTAAAAAGCTTTGTTTCATTTAAGTATGTATGCTTTGATTAGTACTACGAGAATAACCTTTTAGTAACTATTTGAGAGAAAAACTTACATTTTTGTTATTGCAGACATATTGTACAAATAAGCAGATTGCCGATTCGGCGTGCACAGCAACAGCCATGGCGTCAGGAGTAAAGACAAAATCTCGTGTTATTGGGCTGGATGATTCCGTCCTCCTATCTAATTGCTCCTCCGTGACGGACACTTCCAAATTGTCCAACATTCTCAAGTGGGCACAAGATGCCGATAAATCGACGGGCATTGTGACAACAACCAGGATAACGCACGCCACTCCAGCGGCGTTTTATGCGCACGCGGCTGACCGCGACTGGGAAGACGACAGTGCCATTCCCGATGGGCATCGATCTTGCAAAGATATTGCCAAACAACTGATCGAAGATCTTCCGGGTCGAGACCTCAAAGTAAAAACATAATTATAGCGTTTCTTGACCATTGCCTAGCTATCGCATGTCATATATATTCTGTAACTACTCAAATTCTATAAAATGTACAAATAAGCTAATTGTAACTTGTAAGTACTGTATATAGCTTGATCACAATAACGTAACGGAATGTCACTCGACTTTAATTTTCTGCGTAGCACATCAGCCTTCAATTATACAATTACTGCAACTTCCTATCGTTTAGTTTCACTTTCTGCCTAATTTAATCTAGAGTGAGCTAAGTAATATCACTTCTTGCTTAATTTAATCTAGAGTAATGTAAGTACTAAAGGCATAATTAGTGTGACTACGTAGTTTGGGTTATATAATTTAAATTAACTTATAATCAGATCAGCCAAATTTACGATGTTTGTAACAGTGAAGTGCGCTACACAGGTTATACTGGGCGGTGGACGTCGGCACTTCTTTCCCAAGGATGTCATCGATGTGCAGTACGTGAATCGCACCGGAAGAAGATCTGACATGCGCAATCTGGCCGAAGACTGGGTGGCGGACAAATTCAGGAAGAATTTTGCTTACAGCTATGTCTGGAAGAATGAAGATTTTAACGAAATCGATACGGAAGAAACCGATTACCTACTTGGTAGGTTTGGTTAGATAATATGCATCGCTGTTAATTAATTACTGGGTAGTAATTTAATTTAGTCCAAGCTGAAATATCTTCGGTACAGTTCTGCATAGTGTTTAATGTACAGTACGTAACACAGACTAGCGCAGTATTCGTTAAGAATTACCTAGTTTAATGTGAATTTAGCAAATTTTTAAGGACCGACCATGACCATTAGAGAGGGGTCATCGTCATAAATCATAGACAGGATGTAACACAATATGCAGATGAAACTATAGGTTACTTTTCATACGTGCACTTATGGTTCAACCCAAACGGTAACTGGTAAGCTACTGTATGTTTGTGCAAGCGTAATGTTGATAGGAAGAGTTGAATTATTTGCAAAATAATACTCTGTAGATAGTAATTAAGAGATTTTACCGAAGCCGTTGGAGCTGCGAAGCTGTAAATTCACTAATCATGGTCACTCTACCACATTTCTTCAAAATTCAGAATAGTTACAGCGTGCACGAAGAAATATATGTAAATTCGTATTATCACGATTTTATATTAAAAATTGTATAAAGAAGTGTAGAAGCAAGCATTATGTAGAAGGATGTGTTTTACATGTTAGTTGAACTGCAATTGCAAAAGTGTATTTACAAATTGTGTTACTAATTAATAGGTCTATTCGACTACAGCCATATGAAATATGAATCCGATCGTAACACAAGTGCTGACGGACAACCCTCTCTATCCCGTATGGTTAACACCGCCGTACGGATACTGCAAAAGAATAAAAAGGGATTTTTTCTTATGGTCGAGGGCGGAAGAATTGATCATGCTCATCACGAAAACCGCGCACGATATGCACTTGAGGAAACCATTGCGTTCGCAAATGCGATATCAACAGCCTTGAAATTAGTCAGTCTGGATGATACACTGATACTTGGTAATTACATGGAAATTAAAATAGTTAGATAATCACATCGACAGCTTGGGTGGTATACAATTTCTTTTTTGTTTTGTTTCAGTTACCGCTGATCATGCCCATTCGTTATCCATTTCCGGTATGTGACCGCTTCTTAGCTGGCGCAATACATTATATATATATATACTGCCCAATAAAAAGTCAAATTTTTATATAATTATAATAAAATTCAGGACGATTTGAGTCAAATTACTTTGTTAGCTAATTAGGTTTACCGCCACATGACCTTCTGTGTATGTATATATTACATCATGTATTTGATTTAAATTTATAGGATATTCCAATCGTGGCCACCATATACTGGGTAGGTTTTTGTTTACTAATTTGTAGACTGCTGTAAAATCAGTCATGATATTGTGTTCTGCACTTCCGGCTACACATGGAGGCTATTCATTCGTACAAACCTGTAATGCAATTGTTTTACCAGATCTAGCTGGAACGATTTCCGATGTGGATGCGAAACCGTACACGACATTAATGTATGCCGTCGGACCAGGCTACAAACACCAGCCGAATGGGCGTGAGAATATCACAACCGCATCAACCAGTAAGATCGTTAACCACATTTGTTTTGGATACTTCGCTGCTAATGATGTGAACTGTAGAGGAAAGGAATATAGTAGTGATAATTAGGGATTAGGGACAATATACCTATATACATACATATGTGCATTAGTGCTATTTATTATTACAACCATCATAAAAGTTCTAAATACTTTTAATGCACCCGTGAAGTTCATATTTTATGCTCTTTGTATTAAAGAGCTTAGAACGTATACTGCACGATAAAATTTAAAGCGTGCTTCGTTTCATCTGACTTGTATTTATGCAGCAGTTTCTTGCTACAAAACGCGTTTAATTACGGCGGCTTCCGGCAGGTTTCTTATAGCATTATTCTACTATCTGTACAAAAGATTTTTGATAGTACAATTCTTTATCGAAGTTGCCTACGGGAAAAATGCAGTAAGTCTGCTAGCATCTCGTGACCGCCGCACTTATTTTTGACTTAATTGAAATTTGTTTAATTGTCAGCATCTACATGAGCAATATGTGGCAGGCTTATTCCAGTATATTGTCGTGCACAACAACAAACGCTATTGTTGTAGAGGAAAAATCTTACAAGCAACACAGCACAGTTCCGGCGACATCCGCTGCCCACGACGGGGAAGATGTAATGGCGTACGCACAAGGACCAATGGCTCATCTCGTGAATGGCGTTATGGAGCAGAACTCACTGGCATATGTAAAATAGCTGCACATTGATACTTTTATGTGTCTCCACAGTTTGTACTTCCAAGCGTGCGTATTAGGGTGCTCGAGTATTTGCCATTTGCATAGGTTATGGCTTATTCGGCTTGTATCGGACCGGCAAGAAAAACACAAGCCTGCTACCGCCGTCGGCCAGAGGGCAGTCCCACAACGACGCAGTCCAATCTACCAATGGCTGATCAGCCGCAATCATATGCGGGACCGGATGCCACTGTGCCGCACGAAACTAACGACTTTCCTTTACCGGTTTCGGAGCAGAAGATAGTAGGAGAAAGTATGAATTCTGCCGAAGGAATGATCTGTTCAGCTATAATTATGATCCTTTGCTCATTTTCTGCCCTCGTGAATTCTGTGACACTCGTATGAAGCGTTTTTTTTGCCCTATTACTTTGACTGATGTATAGACCGTTATTATGATCTTTTGTACAGTTTTTCATGCATGGCGTTGTGAGAACTACAGTATAGATTAGTGCAGCATGTAAAAAGTGTATTTACATTCGGATTCTTTATTATTCCTAAACTATTAATTTTCTAATGTGGGTGGCTGTTCGCTGTCGTAGAATTTACCGGCATAAGTTCGCGCATTAATTATAATGAAACATTTACAGTTAAAGTTGAATGATCTTTCGGCCATCAGGAATTCTACAGCTCGTAGACTCGTTTAGTCTCCTACGCATGTGTAACTGTATTGTTGTCAAGTGCGGTTTTTTTATAGAAACGGTTTCTTTTGTGTTCTCAGATTTGATACCCCAATGAAAATCGTCCTATGCAGAAAACATTCCGCCCATAAGGCGTAGCGCCGTACATAACAGGTGTTTATTAACAAGCGGAAGTCAGCTGCCGTTTGCCGATAGGCTCACGTCTTCTGACAGTCAAGTGCACTGTATCGTATTGGACCGCGTTTGATTGATTTATCGTCATCGAGATTTACTGTTTACACTTTATCTTTCAAAGTCTTCGTTTAGTTTCAGTGGACAAGCGACTTTCTTGGGAAAATACTTTCCTTCTGTAATTTTAATAATGTACAGTAATTGTCTGCAAACAGTATGCAGTGACTTCATCTAAGCTTTCAAGGTCGATACGTCAACTTCATCCATCAACGTTGTCACTGGAATCTGTACAGTACAGTATGCTGTATTAGAATAAATATCTATAGAAGTAGTCGTATTGTAGGGTAGTAATCTAAATTTGGGATATCTACCGTCCAGTGAATAGAAGATCACAACTCACAAGTCACGAAGAAACCTGCTGGAAACCCACGGGACAACGGCAAAATATATCGCGGTTGCTTGTCCATTATAAAACGGCACCATGGGAGATTACAGAGATGCAGAAGAGAATTGCAGCTGTGATGTGGGGATGGCGAGTTCCTCGCTGGATCTCAAGAGTAAACCACGAGTGCTAGTCACGGGATTTGGCCCGTTTGGTACGGCATGGCAAACCGCTGTTGAACTGTCATGTTTGTTTTTCTTCCACATAGATATTCTTGTCTCTTTTCAGGGGAGCACACAATTAATGCCAGTTGGGAAGCTGCCCAAGAGTTGAAATTATTCACGGATTTGACCGACGCCGTCGATTTAATTGTGGAGAGAATTCCCGTTGTCTATTCCGATGTGTCTTCCACCGTTCCATCGTTATGGGAAAAATACTCTCCTGATCTGGTCATTCACTGCGGCGTCTCGGCCTTTATTGCTTGGAAGAACATCATTCAAGTTGAACGAAAAGCGCATTCCTTTGGCTATCAGCGTAGGTTATTCGTTTTTGATTTGTAATAATAATTTAAACAAATACTTTTATTTTTATGGTTTATAATGAATTTGTGGCGTATTCTTAATGCCTTAGCGTAGGACCACAACTCAAACATAAATGTGCTCATTTCGGATGGTTTTCTGAAAAATTTAGGGAAAGAAATTTGTTTTCATCAGAATACTAAAATAATGTGCTAGTAAATTACTGTAATGCTTGTAGTTGTAAAATAACTCAATTCTTGTCGTCTAATTTGCTTGTTACTTTTCCATAAAAGTTCAAAATTGTTTATGAAAATCCGATAAAATTGCCAATTATTGCCATTTTATTTGTGCGATCGTGTTGATCATATCACTCGTGACAAACAAGAAAGCAACGTTTGATAGTTGAAACTTCAAGGAAAATTTTGCAGGTCCGGATGTTTGTGCAGCTGTTCCTGTCAATGGTTGGTGTCGTGAGGATCACGGAGAGCAGTGTTTGCGAACGCTGATTGACCTGGAGACATTGGTGGCCGGCGAAGAAGGACGATGCGAGGATTCAGTCCTGTCGTGCCAGATTTCCGATGACGCTGGACGTTATCTGTGCGAGTTCATTTACTACACCAGCCTGACGATCGATCCCACTCGGACCCTGTTTATTCATGTTCCGCCGCTGTATAAGCCGTTCAGCCCGCGGGAGATTGGTCGCGCTGTCAAGAATGTCATCCTTAAAGTTGTGGGAAAGAACACCGCGGTCGATGCCAACGGAAACGTGGCTGTGGCCACGGCAGCTGTTGCTGCGCGAAATTAACCTGTCTGGCTGGTTTTCCATGGTTTACGTCTTCTGTTCGGTCGTTGTTTTGTATTCAGTTGCATTAGTACGGTGGCATTTTCGTTATTAAGATTTTGTGATTACTATGAACTGGATCTTTTATAGTTGATGGATTATTCAATCAAGGTCATGATTTTGTGTTATCGCAGTAAAAAGACTGTATTAAATGTAATAAATGTTCTTTGCAGAAACGTAGTAGTGAATTTTGCAGTAATGAATAAATGACTGTAGTAATAAATAACTAATAAATGGTAGTGTTGTATTAACAAACGTTTCCAGTGGTAGATTAATAAATGCAGTAGTGAATTTTTATTAATTACACGCTGCATCCTCACTGTGCAGCAGTGGATTGTTATTCGGCTTTTGTTAAAAGAACGCTTGATGGAGAGTTCAACGATCTTTCTTTATTCCTGGCAAGAATATTCGTCACTAGCACATGTCATAATTCACTGCAGAGCAAACTAACAAAATATTCGGTAAAATTGTGTACCGTACACGATAAATTCGCAGCTCTACCCGCAAACATAACACCGAAGCGAACAATTTCAACCAACAAAACAGATTAAGTTGTGCCAAACGCAAACCACCAAAGCAAGATTATGCATAATGTCATTAGATTTTTGGTTTACTGAGCATCTTTAGGATTGTAGAAAGCCGTCTGCTTCTCAATCGGATTGTAATAGTTATAAACGACAACATTACTGTCCTGCAGGTTGTCGACATTAAATTTGCGATATCCGGTAAAGATTAGACACCGCTTGTCTTTGGTTAACTGCAAAGAAGCAAGGATAAGATACCGACTCATTTCATTTTTCACACCACAAAACGTTTTAAAACCTCGTACCTTGTCAAAATAGAATGTCAGTCTAGTGTGGTCATCATCGATATCCACACGCGACAAATCCTTTACGACAGCAGTCAGTTTCTTCACTTCTTCCTCGTCGACCTGGTATCCCGATGGCAAGCTAGTCTCCATAACGGCCATGTTGCTGTCGTTTTGGCCTTGGTAGCTTTATACAAAGCACCAAAAGGTCAGCAGCTGTATATACTAAAGAAAATGCACAACAGGGTTTTGCCTTAAGCCGTATACATACTTTGTGCAGAACTGCAGGAGGAGTTCGGTGGCACCCTTTGTGATTTTGGTCGTGACGGCAAAACCTTGTTCGTTGGAAGTATTGCGAATATAATAGATCCATGACACTTGCACCAAGGCAGTACCCTTGCCGGAAGCTTCCACTATCACGCGGTTATAGAATTTCTTAGGCTGTAAGAAGGATTCAAATAATTAGCATGAATTACCGTAAAAGCGTAGCAGCACACAGTGCTAGCGTACCTCGGCAGTTTGCAAAACCAGTGCATTTTCATCCTTAATGGTGAAATCACTCTTGAAATCTTCAGCGGTAATGTGCACAGTAATGTCACGGTCTTTGCTTAGAGCGAGCTGTGCAAACTCCGAAATGGCTTGCAAGCCGACAACGGTGTCCTTCAAAATAAAAAAAAAACTTTAAAGATAGGCGCTTCCCCAATTCCAGTTGTGTTTTTGTTAGTATTGCTTCTGTTAATATTGCTTCTGCCGCTCTATATACAGATTCGTTTTACAGTAAATGAATATTGTATATAACAGTAGATAACCCCATCTACACTAACCTGCGAAGTTTGGTATCCACCCTGTTCGTTACGCTTGGACAGCAACCAAGCCAAAATCGGGAACCCACCCTCGACATCCTTCTTGCGAATAGCCGACAGCAGGCCATAGGCGGTCATTTCCACATCCTTAGCGGGTAGCTTATATTCCCAATGATATTTACCGAATCCTTGAATTTCAATTTCGCGTTCCTTAGCCCAGTGCTTAGTGCCATTGGCCACAATCGCCAATGCTTCCAGACGGCTGCTCGTGAACTCCAATCCATTACTACCGGCCAGTTGAAGAGCGTAATTGACGATAGACAGTGCGTAGGGATCCGTATCGATACCCTTAGTCTGGGCTTCCAGGAAGCGGGTAGCGTTTTTAATGTTCTCGGAGTAGTTACCCATCGACTGCGCTTCCAGGAGGGTGATCAGGACATAAGCGGTCAGTGCGGTGCCTTTGCCGGCACCACCTTGCAGCTCGCGGTCGAAAACTTTACCCACTTCCGGGAAAGAACCATTGTCGGCTTGCTTGTCAGCCAGCCAGTCCAGTGCGCCCTTGATGATGTTCTCGTCGATGGTGATGTAGTCCTTGGCCTGGAAGAAAGTGCGCGCGACGAAGGCGGTGAGGAAAGTGGATCCGCTATTATCGGAATCTCCGAATGCACTGTATGACTTGTCGTAGTGCTTGAAGGTCAGCTGTCGTTGGTAACCTTAAAACCAAAAGGATATAATTATGGCGATTTAAAAAAATGTTTCTATTCTCAAATATACGGCAACTTACCGCTTCGTAAATTGCGCAGCAGTTTCTCACGCGTCTGGTCATCCAAGCGGTCAGCGCTCTTCAGGTATTTCATAACGAATACGTTGGGAGCAAACAGGGCCATGTTTTGTTCACCGCAACCGTAAGGTAGTCGAATCAGGTTATTGATTCCATAAATGGTAGGTCCCAAAAGGTCACCTGCATTACGGCTCATTACGCATTGAACTCACACAGGTCTTATCTATCATTTGATATTAGTCTTGTTTATCGTTTGTTTTTCGTTGTTTTCGTTTTCGAATGGGAAAAATACACTATTTGAATATTTGTATAACATTATATGCTTACCAATGGATGTGAATACCAATTTTTCAGATCCTTCAACGCGCCCAGCGTCAGGCAGGGGAATCAGAACATCACTGGAGAATGAATTCTCTTTCCTCAGATCGATGAACAGAGGTGCATTGAACTGCTGACGAACACCTTCCGGCTTGACTTTCAGTTTGCGGACAAGAGAATCTCCAGCCATCTCGGCAACAGCGGTGGCTTTGATGTCAATTTCGCCCACAACTTCTGGTTTAACGGGGAAGGTAACGGAAAGAGATTCCTGCGACTTGACGGTGATCTGTTTGGTTCGAGGAGCAGCGGTGAATTTGTTTCCGTTGGCATCCTGTCCGCTGACATCCAGCGTTACTTGAACATTTTGATCTTGGGCGAGGTAGTTGAAGACGAGAACTTCTAGTTGGACGGTCTCACCGCGGATGATGCTGAACGGCAGATTCAAAACGGCGAAGAAGGGACGGAAAACTCTCAGCTATGGAATAATCAGCATGACGTTATGACCTTTCACATCTCACAGAAATATTGCGCAAGTTAAGTTAAGCGCACATTATCTGCGTTAACAATTTATGTCGGCGCTGTGTTTATTTTCGTAATATTACAACTGTATAACATCGGTATGTGACCTTTGTTATAAGTGACCTAATAAAAGATTGCAAATTACCTTTGGTGGATCCTTGGTAATGCCGAGGCCAACTTCGTTATTCATGCTGAATGCAGAGCACACCCAGCTGGTAATGGTGTCCGGAATGTCACGGGTAATTTCAATCGAGCCATTTTCACTGCAAGGTTGTGCTTAAGAAATATGCGGCTTAAATACAGAAATTCGCTTAATTGTATACCTGTTGAAGGTTTCATACAAGAAGGTCTCCCGGAAATCTTTTCGGAGACGAGGCTCGGGCTGGGAACTGCCAGATTGAGTTCGTTTGGACGATCCACCAAAATTAGCGGATGACTGCATGGCCATCGCGGGAGCAGCCATCATCATGCCGCCCTCTGCAATACTGTCGCTTTCATAGTCTGCCGCAGCTAGTAATCGTAACAAATCCCGGTTAATTTAAAGCAACAAACACAGCTCACAGACCAGCGCCGACACCCACCGCACTTGCGTATAATCAGAACTCCTCCCCTACGCCTTGTAAATGACAATAGGTAACATTATATACGTCCAATAAACAAGTTATTAAAAAATCGCACGAGTTAAGCGCAAGCAGTATAGTACGAGTATAATGTAAGCAAAAACAATCCCCGGAAACCGTACCAGTACTCATTGGAGTAGTACTATAAATGGGAAACGTCGACCACGGAAATCCTAACACATAAAGAAAGCGACATGCAAGCAGAGAACAGGGTGCACAAAAAAAGAATGCGCAATTCACAAGCCGCATCCTGCAGGGCACCCAACCACAGCGGCTCGTGCAATGGCTCTAAACTAGCGCAAACGCGCACAGCTGCAGCCACAGAATTAACAACCCTTCTGCTTTACTTCTAAAAAATCTGGCACATATTTCGCACTTTAGAAAAGCTACTTCCTCTCTGACTAAGGTATCTTTCAAATATCTCCTCATCTCCTTTACGAGTAGCACTCGACGTAAAGTCAAAACAAAACGCATTCATAGTAATTTCGTACATAAAGGTTAAAGGCATAGCACGAAGCCACGAACGATAGTGCATCCCCAAGCAAAGACATGCACGGCCAGCAGACGTTGCGAAGCTAGAGCCTTCAGCACGTGCAGTAAACAATTTCACATAGCTTTGAAACAAAAATCCGTACCAGGGGCAGATCTTAGTGAGTCGAGATATATGGGCGAAGGGGGAGGCCCGTAGAGCCCTGCAGGTTAATGCATGCGATAAAGAATTCATGCGAGAAAGAAAAATGACTGGCAATTCCTGGCATCAAATCCCATCTTCTTGCGTAAGTATATGCTTTCAAAGAAAATGCCGTGTACTGAAAAATCGTCAGGGCCACCCAACCCGCTTTCCGGAAAGGTGGTAAGGACACTCCCAAAAAATAGCGATAGCTGTTACGAAAAAGGGGACTGATTGGTAGCCATTCAACCCGCAATAGCAAATTAAAAGGATGGGAGAATGCTGGGTTAGTGATCGTACGAGCACGAGCACTACTATGGGGTTAGTGCGAATAGTGTTCTCCGCATATACGCACGAGCAGATGAGCCCCATGATGCTGGTCGTGAGCGCGAACCACCGCTGCCGCCTCTATTACCGGCAGAACTGTACATCACTCCGCGGGTGGCGTGGTACTCGTCCACATCGGGAATTTTGGGATTGCCAGGGATGGCCGCATTAGCCAGCACAACCAAACCAGCTTGCTAAAAAAACAGTCAACGCATGAAAAAAACAAATAAAGAAATACGTCAATGCGACAGAGTATAAGTTAAGAACGAAGAACTTGAAAACTCAGCTGCTTACCTCAAGGAAACGGAAGACAGAACGTCCACCTGGGAACTTATACCGGCTGGATCCGAATGCATTGTCAAATGACCAGGTATCGTAATCGAATTCACCAAACGAGCTTACAATCTATTGCACGGAACCGGCATCAATAACTTTATTTGATATGTTTAATTTTGTTTTGTTTAAACTCACATCTGATTCCGAGATATCGTTCCCTTGCTTAAGGAGCAATAAACTCTGATCCATAGCCAATAGTCCCACAAATGATTTCGGAGCGGTCTCAATCTTGATTACGGCACGCTCGCCGGGTTCGGCATAGTCCGTGCGGTTCTCAGGATGAACCGTGACTGTCACCTGCAAGATAAAAATGCTATAAACTTCACGCCACTGCAAATGCTAATGTCGCTTTGTAAACTTACATTGTTTTGGATGAGACCAGACACTTCAAAATCGATTACGTTTGCAACCACTTCGCTATCATCTCGAATGTAATACGCGAGCAGACGAGATCGGGGTGTGTAGTTGCGGTCCAGAGGCAATGACACAGTAGCTCCCGAACCACTGGTAGCGATGTTTCCTTCCGCGAGGATTTGCCCTTTATTGAAAACCTAAAACGGTATAAAATTTACAATAATTATCTATTTACATTAAATCACAAACGATAAGTGTTATGCACTTGTATTAAGAGATAAAACTGTGTTAGCGGAAAGCGCCGGAAACCATTATATGGTACGGTAATGATTAATCGTATGTAGCAGATCTAATCACAGTTCTCTCCCAACTTCCACCACATTATCGGTTGCTACCAGAAAGTAGATTAAAATGCTACTGTGAGTGAAAACTCAATCGCGACTAATTCTTTTTTCAACTAGCGTGCAACGTTTTTGCCGAAATGCGAAAGAGTGAAAAGATAAACTAGAAAGAGCAACAAAAATTAAAATTCTCGGAAAGCGTAAACGTCAAGTGAGGTCACGTCTTACCGTGTAGTTCAATTGTGGGAACGAGTTGGTAAGATTTATGGCAAAAACAGCGGTGTCACCCACGGAGAGATTTTTGGATTGAGGGAATATCTGCATAAAACTGTTGCTGGGCGAATCGTATCCTGATACCGTCTGTGATGTCTTCACGCGTCCTAAACGAGCGCGGAAGAACAGACTGCGGGTTTCTTTGGAGGGTACAACCGTCAGATCCACACTTCCATTAACCGGCACGGTAAACTCTTTCAACTCCTCATCGAAGTATCCACTGCCCCATGCACTGGTACTCTGGCTGACCTTGACAACCATTTTGCGCGTGGTAGGAGGAATAGGACGACCATCCCATTGCGTAGCGGTCACGGTGATGGTGTACGGGAAGCCGGGTTTGAAAGTGTTGGTGGCTTTGATCATGTCCAGTTTGTAGGCTTGGCGTTTCAGGCTGACGGATTTGGACTTTGCGCTGCGGACGGTGTGGGTAGTGCCCTCGGTAACGTTGGCGCTGACGGAAATGGCGTTATAGTCGCTGAAATCTTCGGTACGGTTGACGACGTCAGCCACGTAGACGGTGATTTTGGCAAAACCATTGAAATCCTGGGATAATGAAAAAATGGTAAATACAGCCCTCATGAATTTCTTTTTTATGACAGCGATTTGGAAATAATTGACAATGTTAACTAAGAAGGCCAACTTTCCATTTACATTAGACCTGTTTTACAGGTGATCTACAAATTAAATATTTAGTGCGCAAAGCTGATGACAGTTAAGTAAAAATGGATCGATGTGCTGCTTGTTCTGCCACCAGACAGTGTCTGCATGAAAGTCAATGTGAACATAAAAGTTGCCATTTTAATTTATCACCTGTATTTAAAAATGTTTATATGTTGTATGTTATTAAGGCTTCGTGGATTTAATTCTATAGCTGACTTTTTTAATAAACAGATTTTTACTAAACATTCTATGTACTGTTCCATGTCTTTTACCGAAAGTTCGTATGTCTTGGAGAGACGGAGATCTCGTCGAGTTTCCCATTGATATCTGGATGGTCCATCGACTTGAATGAATGCTTTGCCTTTAACCGGCTGCCCAAAAGTGTAGCTGTTCAACGAGACATTTCTTATTGGAGTAAATTTTTCACAGTTTATGCACCTCTTCCGCATTTCGCGCTTTAACGGCCTCACCTGGAATTCAGTGTAACCTCAAAGCTATCTTGCATTTTGATTATGTATTCCGGAGCCTTCAACTGAACATCAAATCTTGGCAGCACTGTAACCGAACAAACATATGGTAGGAATTCACCAAAAGACGATAGAAGTATTCAGTGTGTGTACAGAGTACAGTAGTTACGTACCATACTCTTCGACGGTAAAAGTCTTAGTGGTCACTCTGTCAGGCATCGCGGTGACCTCGATAGTCCACGAGCCAAGAGGGGCTTCCGATGCCAGCTGCAGCTGACCTTCGAAATAGCCGGTCGACACGGCCGCAGAGGGATCGCTCTTTGTGGCTGTCAAAAAGAAACAACACGTCAAAAGCTAATCCAAGTACACATAATGCGGCTTACAAATACAGCAAGGATACCCTGCGTGTGTATTGTCACAGACGTCATCGCTTACCATTTGCACTGTTCACTTGAAGGTTCTGTTGAATCAAATTACGCTGAGGATCCTGATAAGACAAACAACCCGATTATCCTTAAATAAATGCCATCAATGCCTATGCGTGTGCACGAGTGCCGATAATAGCGAAGAGAAGGATTGTTGTGCAACCCTTCAATGGCGATTAATCATAATGCTATCATTTTTACAAAAACCAATTCAATATTTTCTGCACAGCGGTACGATTTACCCGGACAAATTAAATTTGATATGGACGTGAAGTATCTCTCGATTGCACTTGGAACGAAATTAGCGAGCTTTTGCAATAAATTAAATAAAATGGATAAAATATTTAAATAAAATCCATTAAATAAAATGGAAATTTTATATCAGCTGACGCTTATCCAATTTTTTTATTTTGTTTACAAAAAGCTTAGGCAACCCAGTAGCTTTACTGCAAAAATTAACATGCCGCTTCGATGCGGCACAAAAACTGACAGAATTTGGTTGAACCTTTAACGAAATTAAATCAAAAAGGTTTCGTCTGCATATATGTAACATCTCTACTCTAAACTTCGAAATCAGTAATTAAATTTTGAAAATATTGTATTTTGTTGTAGGCTAACAGTGACAAGAATTCATGAAAAACATTTATTTCATTTTTACTCATTTGCAAAATGCCGTAAAATGCTTTTTACAACTTACATAAAGTTTTACATCCAGGGGGATCTGAACCGGTTTGAGAGCCAAATCGACAGCCAAAATTCGGTATTTGACGGTGTCGCCTAACTTGTACAGTGGCTTATCGGTTTGGATAAAAATCAGATTGCTGGTGCGTCTGACGGTTAAGGACGCTTCATCAGTGAAATTATGACCTTGTTGATCTTGGCCTTTTGCCTCTAGGACAAAACTTCCGGTATCCAAGTTTTTCACCTATTGAACAACCGTTATGTAATGCGCCGATAGGTATAAATGCCGCACCTGGATGCTAATGGATCAACAATACATTATGCTAATGGATCATTAATTCTATGTGATTAAATGGAGCAATAACAACATAACGTGCCAAGTTACAGTACTTACATCAAGTGTAAATCGTACGGTGCTTCCAGCTTCGACCTTTCCAGATGTTGTCACAACGGCGGTGTCATTCTGATCCTTGATTCCCCAGAATTTTTGTTTAACGGTTAAGGTAATGTCTACAGGAGACGAGCTGTTGGTGATGGTGACGGAGATGGGATATTGGGAGAACGGCTTGATGACTACCGGTGCCGTGATGTAGTATATTATCCTAAAAAGATCCAAAACAGGCACACATTAGGTTTATGCACGCATACATATGTTCGCGTTAATTACGCATTATTACGGATACGAGTAAAAAAAAACAGTAAAACCAATAACCTGCAGTAAATACGACCGATATTGTTCTTCCTGAATGGTAATTGCATCCTATCGATACAATTCGGTAAAACTGCATGTATATATTCAATTTTATTTGTCGTGAACGAGAAGAACTTCTGCAAAAGAATGCTTTGCGCAGTTTGCGGTTTTATTCGGTTTTCTTTCAACCAAAAATTTTTGGCTGCTCAGGATAACGAATGCCAATTTTAGGTTTACATGGCTTATAAGTTAAAAATTTGCTGTTTAAAATTGCAGTTACGTGCAATACCTTTGCGCCGACACATTACACGTGCAACTAAGTTTTACGTTAAATAACTGATCAATTGTTAATGTTTTGACCGGCAAGTACCGGCATATACTCGTAAAAAACTGCAAAGTTAGCGTTTTTTGCGAATGTACTGCGAAGGATTTTCCACTGTAAGCCATCACATGTATGAATACAGCAAATTACCAAAATAAATAATGATCCCGTTTTAAAATAACTATGGCACGCCGCACATCATTCTTACGTTGGTAAATAAACTGAACTGCATTTTTTGTAACCATAATTACTAACTGTAACAACCTTACTAACTGCAGATCCGTACCCATAAGGCCATAAGCTTTATCAGTTCAATCAACTTCATTGTGTACAGCCAACATACCTCTCTATGAAATATTGAGAAAAACTTACGATCTGTCGACGGCTTCTGGATCTTGTACAAGGTCGATTTGTGTTGCATTTTCTTGACCCTTGGCATATGCAATGCAAGTAACGAAAAGGAGAAGCAGTCCACATTTTGTGGAACCCATTTTGCAGGGCTTGGAAATCCGGATCCCAGAACAAAATCAAACCAGTGTCTTGTGGTTGAGCATGCGCCACGAAATTCCCCAATCGACGGCAGTAAATCTGGTAACCAGTGAAGTAAACAGTTGCTGAGAGCGGCGGCTATGTCTGTCCACTCCTTGAGTTTCCCAGCTGGCTATCTGTCACCACGATGACAGCTGCAGCAAAGTGTTATCACAACACCCAGAAGTGGAAATACGCCTTATCAGCACATCCGTTTCCACCTCGACAAAACAAAGAACAAAATGCTCGACTCGTGCTAAAATTTTTAAGTTTATATATATTTGTGTGCTAGCAGCTGTATGTGTTAACTGTTTATCATGCAACAAACGCTTCCGGCCACCGGTAAAAAACGTCTAACCATACGCCGCGCCCACCGATTTCCAGCAAGCAAATCGGTTCGGTCCGGCCACAGGCGGTAAACAAATGAATAAATTGAAATTGTATGAATCGGACCGGTTTCAAAGAACAAATAACTGACGGCGGCTAGAAATCCAAGAAGCAGTTCGAATACGTGTTTGCTTGACCGCTTGATTATCTTTGGAATTCTAGACTACAGAGTATTAATTTTGTAGGAAGCGTACCAGAAAGCGAACGCCTGTAAAATTCTCGCCACGTCAATATATCGCCTAGTAAGATTTATTATCAGATTTAATTATGATATCGATGCCAGCAATCGGTTGCTGGTAGCTAATGGCAAGTTCAAGATGTGTACCAACAGATAAAGAATGTGTTTATGAGTCAGGGTACAAAAATGATGCCAAACAGGATCTCTGGAGAAAAAGATGATGACTCTACTTATGGTGCCTAGCTATAGCAAATACTCGTACACATTGTAGCAAGTAATCTAGCACTAATATTAATGTAATACATATCTTCAATCAGCCATTTTCGGTGGATGCAGTATGATGAACATGCCGCATGAAATTTAATGTACCGTACCGTCATTTAATGGCGAGAAAAACAAAGAATATTCAGTTTAATAAAGCCTATGCCAATGTCTTTAAAGCCAGACGATACTTGCGACAAAACCAGAGGCGCTTCGAACTGCAGCGCGTTGGACAGGTCACTGCGGCAGCCTGTTTTCTGACCTTTTTAACCATCGGAAATTCTCGTAACATCACTTGTCCTTATTCCTAGAAGTAGTCACCTTTGCATCACTTCTACCGATTTCCACTTAATTACCGCTTCCATAATAACCTCAGATTTTAATTAGACTGGTATCTCTGCACGATTATTTATATTTTATGAGTATGCAAAGTACTACCGCAAATCCGACCATCCGAGAAAATAATACGTAAATTAATTACTTTTATTGTTGTTGCCAAGTACTGTACAGTGCTTTTTATACATCAACGTACAGCTTGCAACCGCTCGCGAACGGCAGGCGCATGATGGCTTTATCTGATCTGATTTTGAATGACGGCGCCGTCAAAACAAACGAAAACGTTTGCAATCTGCAAACAGCAAACAGCAAACTCTTGTTTTTTTACGATGCAATGCAGGTTATGCAGCTACAGAATTTGTTGCGAAATTCCATCAAAATTGGGTTTATAATTTCGTCTAGCTTTCTTCCTCGTTTTGCCTTGAATAGTTCGTTAAAGTACAATAGCGTTTGCCTCAACCCAAGTCAGCTAGGTATCCTTTTGGTACGTCGCGCCAACAGCGACTGGTGTTCCTCCAAAGCCACAGCCATGAGCAGTCCCAAATATTTGAGGTACAGTGCCTATACGAGTTCACTAACTACTGTACGATTTACTTAATTCAACCGCAGTTTATGATCAGTGGTTGTCAGAGCATTTCTTTTCCAAAATTATCCATATTAGTCAGGAGGAGGCTGCAAATGTGGATAAGGAGCTGTTCGACGCATACCAATTCTCTGTCGATCAGCTGATGGAACTCGCTGGACTGAGTGCTGCTACTGCCATTGCAAAATCCTATCCTCTTACGGAATTTGTTAACAAAGACCGTGTTCGAGCATTAGTGATTGCCGGGCCTGGAAATAATGGCGGGGATGGATTAGTTTGCGCGCGACATTTGAAATTGTTCGTAAGTGTTCGTAAAAAGTATTGTTCGTAAAAAGTATGAATCTGTATGATAGAAAAAGGCAGAATTTTGGTCGCAAATGGATTCGGAGCTATTATTAAGAGTATTTTCCATTTTTTACAGCACTTTTTTCAGTTTGCTTTTTTAGGGTTATTATCCCGAAATTTTGTACCCCAAACCAACAGATAAGGATTTGTACAAGCGCCTCGTAACTCAATGCAAACACATGGATATACCATTTCTGAAGGAAATGCCATCAAGTGATAGTCTGCAAAGCTCATACGAAGTGATTGTCGATGCCATATTTGGGTTCAGTTTCAAACCTCCTGTTCGGCCAGAGTTTCAGGATATTTTGGAGATCATGAAATTAACTTCCGTGCCAATCTGTAGTATTGATATACCATCTGGTGAGTGTACAATTTAAATTCAAATGGTGTAAATTTTTCAGTTTGCAAATGTGGGATTAGGTGTTTGTATTAATAGTGATATTTAGGGTAAAAATAAATTCTAAACCAGTTAATATGCGAAGGCGCAGATTATCGGGAAGACTGATGTAATGTTTTTTGCATGGTTTGTTAGGGTGGGATGTTGAAAACGGTAATCCTGATGGTATTCAGCCTGCCTGCCTTATTTCTTTGACGAGCCCTAAAAAGTGTGCGCAACATTTCAAGGGGAAGTTTCACTGGCTTGGTGGCCGGTTTGTTCCAAAGTCATTGGAAAAAAATTATCAGTTAAATCTGCCAGAATATCCCGGAACAGACTGTGTTGTCAAACTTTAACATTGTGGATGATTCTTGCGTTTTCGAAAGGTTTAATGGTAAAAGCATGGCAAATCATACACTACGCCTTGGTAAAGCAGTATCTTTGCGGCTTTTGTTGCGCATCTAACAAGTACGATAAGTTATTGTAATAGCGCTGGACTTCGATGTTTTTTTTCGGGTTCCAGTTTTTTGTTTGCCGACTTTTTTCGACTACCTGAATGCTTCAATAAATATTTGAATTTAGGACGACGAAAGTTGTTATTCTGCAGTAGCAAATAAAATTAACGTTATGTGGAAATGCAGTTACTGTATTTAGTATTACGAAGAAGGCGCTAGTTTCTGAAATTCTGATTTATTTTCGGTGCCACCGCCTTCACTCTCGTAAACCATTTTTTAGGAGAACAGGTCAGAAAACGCGATGCTGATCTTTTGCTTGTACTTGCTTATACATTTGTGAACATTAATATCAATCTCTACAATCCTTAAGCAGCATTGTTTGCAGTATTACGTTTTTAAAGCCGATTATCATATTAATTTTCTAATCGATAGTCCACATTATGGGAAGGGAAGCCGATCATGGGCGTGAAACTAGAAGACGAAAATTGTGTAAACGAAAGGAAATTATTATTTACTACGAAATACTCACGAGTCAGTACTGTTATTTACGATTACTGACTACCTACGCATTGTATACGTAGCAATAATAGCATAAACTACGGTCATGGTCTTTCGGTCTTGCCTCTTCGACGGGCACTCGAGAAGACTATGCAGTGACCAGTGACCACTCACAACGCTGACCAAATCCTTCAGGCTGCGCATATAGTGCACACATCGATGATCGCTCGATCCAGTCAATGGCAAGCATGCTTCTATCAGGTCTATGGATACTACTGTAGGTATTTATCGTTAGTATTTACGAATACCTGGCAGAGGCAGTTATTAATTCACCAGACCAATATGATTGCTTACAGCAAACAACCGAAGTTAACCCACTTTTGCATAACTAGTATCCGTATGTTGATCTTTCTCAACGTAATGTTGCAGATGTATTATTGTTGGATCTTGAAACGGCCAGCAAATCGAAGTGAAACGGTGGTCATTGCAAGTTGTCAGCTGTCTTGCATCTTGTACGAAATGTTGCAGTAGGTAGGTGATGCTTGTGAGCACTATTGCCTGCAGCTTTGCAAGTGCAACACTGGGTCGTGGCATCAGGGACGCCATAAAATCAGGAGGCCATTGTTGTATTATATTTGCTCTGTTTTGCCCATGCTTTGTATGCTGCTGGATGCGGCGTTTGTTCGGTTTATTATAACGCCAAACCTTGGATAATCTGCGGCAGCAGAGTTGCTAATTGCATCTGACCGATCGCTACTGCATTTCTACCGTCGTACTTGTGGATCAGCGCAAACTTCACGAAGTATCTGGCTTCTCGGATGATTTTTAGCAATTCATTCAGTCAATTTCCAATAAAAACTCTGGACCAGTCGATCAAGTAAGTGCCAACATCAAACCGTATATGGCACCAATGAAAGGATGGTGCGTTTTAGTCATGGACTGCAAACGTCTGGTAGCCACAAAGTAAGCATATGTACGATAAAGGAAGTGTGTATGTAATATGTATGTAATACAATATAATATCTTAGTCTGTATTCCCAAAACTCGTATTTCTTGCCTGTTCTTAACTATTAATTTATCGTTGGCAGCGTTTTGTTCGGTTTTTATAGACAGACTTCGTGTGAGTAATATCTACCGTATATATTTAGAAAACGGTAATGGTGAATGATGAACATTGTATATCACTGTTCCGGTGAGGCTAATGGTAATAGCTAACGCGCTTATCAAAGCAGAGCGGCGATCGGTTTTGCATTAATTTTTATGATAGTCAACGAATATGATGGAATCATGGAAGTTTGAGAAAAGTTTAAAATTTACAATTAACCAATTACGACTGACACTGAGCTTTTATTGTGGTTTGTGGAAAGTCTGGTTAACAGTTCAAGTTGAATTTATCTTTGAAGTGGTTTCGGTCTGTATAGTAACTAATTCCCACAATTACTACGTCGTCCAGTGCTCGCTGCTTACTTATGAAAATTAATCTCGAAAAACAGCGATCATGGGTCCGTTCGGCTGATGATCGGACCAGTTAACCACCGTCGTCATTGTTTTTTGTAATTGGTGCACTGTTAAAGAATGTTGTACTCTTTAATTAAGGCATCATGTTTGGCGAGAGATTACACCGTGCAGAACAGCCTTGACAGTGATTTTCAACAGGTATTGAACCGGTTAGGTATCTGTAGCTACTGTGTGCCTGGTGGTCCGTGTCAACCAGAATCTGGCGCGTGTCGCTTATAACCAGAAATCAAACGGTCTAAAAAATGAGCTCAATGCGTAAATGCAGTACATATTTGTATCTTTTTCGTTTGAGCAGTTGCGTATTGTTTTTTTTCTCAGGGAAAGCGTGAATCGCATATCTGGCGGTGTTGCAAAATGAAACTATCTGAGGATAGCGAAAGGCAGTTCCATACAACAAAATGGGATCGGAATCATATCGTTTGCCTTCTTTTTGCGGGAGTTAGGAAGTTGGTTTGACCTAATCGGTAGGTGTTCCGTGTTACTTTTCTGCCGTTGACTTATGTGTGCAAAAATTTTGTAAATTTGGTAATTCGACAATATAATTATGGAAAACAGCAATCGAAAAAGAACTGCGTAGAAAAAAAACCGCATTTATTTTTCAGACCTGTCTGATGCTTCAAAGAGTGGTACAGTACAGTAATTTTTGCTTCGGGAAAAATGTAGATGTTTGAAGTGTAGCCTTCTTGTTTCTGGTAATATGGTAATATCTGAGTTCTTTAAACCTTTATAATTACTTACTTTGGTATTAAACATGTGCTACCGGTAGTAATACAATCTGCTTGACATATTTTATTACGCAGATAGCGAAGTGCTTCCGTTTTGCAGGTTTATTGTCGATTGTGAAAGCGATCTACCGCACGATGCCGTGTCTAAAAGGCCCACCATCTTTCCCACGCGTTCGTGCGAGCTTTCTCATCTGTAGCGTGATTCAATTGGTAAGTAGTGAATTTCTGTTTGTTTCCTGTTTTTCTTTGTCTCTTGATTGTTCAGACGCGGTAAATTTCAAAGCTTTTTGGTTACAGATTGCAGTATTCGAACGGCAGATATTTGATTTTATGGGTTATATGTGGCTGGCCATTGCATGTAATTTTTTGCATGTAACGTGCGTTATATTGGGCATATTCGGGTCGTTACAACATCGTACCTGCTATGTTTTGCTGGTAAGTTCGGACTGTTTGTATGACCATGGATGTCATAACACCAACTGTATTTTTATACAAAGCTGACATGTTTGCACTACTTACTCAGTTGAGCACACATTATCTGTTTTTTAACAAAAGAACTCTTACAGAGCTGTATATGGAACCTTTTGTGGATCGGCTGGAACATCTTTGTTGTTTGTTTGAATTTGGATGCCGGTGTATTGCGCAAGGTGTGAATATGTACTTTTATTCTTCAAATGGTGTTTTAATTGGAAGCTAGGATTGGAAAAATCGTGCTGTTTAATCTGCGGGAAGTTATGCTTCTGCTTTCCTGCTACAGGAAATGTCTGTGCTGAATTTGGGAACGATGACCACCAACTGGTGGCACGTCAACGGGCCCGGATGTGCTGCACAATATAATTACTCGGATATCGATTCCATTACTTTCCGAGCGAAAATAATTCGCGTGGACAGTTGTCTGCTGGAATACCAGTTTGTGGAGGTCATCCAATCTGTTTTCCAGTTAGCACTCAGTGTAAGAATAAGAGCTTTTTAATAAATACACCTGTTAGACCTGTTAAGTACACCTGTTAATAAGTATACCTGCCAGACAATAGTAAACACAGATGCCATTAATTGGACAAAATTATGAACTGTACAGTTAACTTTTCATGTTTACCGAGTACAATGCGGTTTTTTGTTCAAATTTTTGGTGCGAAGTAGAAGTATTTAGTGTGCCCACCCTTGCAGTTTTGTTATTTTGATGGCTATTGCCTGTAAAAGACGATACAGTAAACTGTAACTACCGCTTGTTTTTAAAGCGTTGTTTTTGATTACTTATGTATCATACTTGCTTTGCGTAATTATTATCTTTAGAAATCACAATATTTGTAGTTTAGAACTAATGCGTTGCAGTGTCGCCAGTATTCTTGACACCAAAAAGTGCAGTCGTGATCTTTGTTGGAAGTTGGAACGTTTTCATCGTGTCTGTTATGACAAGTTCTAATGATTATGATATTTTTTACTTAAAATGGTTAACACTGCAAGCTGCTTTATGCGTTTATCTAATCTTGGTAATCGAAAAGTCTATACAAGTGTTTCATATTTCAAGATTTACTTCCGCTTGTAGCTCACGAGCTTGCTTACAAATTAGTTAGATAAATCATCGTAAGAAGGAAAGAAAGGAAAGCTAGCTAGACTCACCTAGCTAGCAGCTGGAGTTTCCATTGTTCAAAGTGTATGGTGTACCGATTGCGCAAAGGTTCTATAAACAAATGCTAATGACAAATGCTTTTCAGTTTTCAAACAAACGTTACTGACAAGTGTTTTTCGCTACCAGACAAATGTTTTTAAAAGAATTTAACAGACACATGTTTCTGACAAACGTTTTTTAAAAAATTTAACAGACAAATGTTACTGACAAATGTCAGAAACAGTCAGACAAAATGTTCCTGAAAAATGTCAGAAACTTTCAGACAAATGTTTCTGACAGATGTCAGAAGCCTACCACCGCAAATCTGAGTGCGGAGTCACTGCGGACTGTGTGGTTGCGCACTGCGCAATGGCAAAATATGTCAGAGTCCGTAGTCGCGCTTCCGGTGCACGAGACGGCAGTTACAATCACATCAAGACATTTGTCAGTAGCATTTGTCTGATAGTGAAAAACATTTGTCTGTAACATTTGTCTGAAAGTTTCTGACATTTGTCAAGAAACATTTGTCTCTCAAATATTTTTTAAAAACATTTGTCTGAGGGTAAAACCATTTGTCAGAAACATTTGTCTGTTTAACCTTTTTAAAAACCATTTGTCTGGTAGCGAAAAACATTTGTCAGTAACATTTGATTGAAAATCTAAAAAAGATTTGTCATTAGCATTTGCTTGTAAAACCTTTGCGCAATCGGTACACCATAAAAGTGTGCAGTCTCATTCACACAAATTTTGGATTTGTGTTTGTAGATTGCATCTGTGATATTATCCGGAATCCTGCTTCGTCTTTACCGTGGAAAAGGTGATTGGAAACTTTGCAGAATTCGAAAGTAGATTGGTTAAAATATTTGAATGCCATACTAAATGTCTGGAGCTGGTTTTCAGATGTCAGTGCTCTGGAAGATGAACTGAAACCGCACCCAGTGCCAGGATATGCTCTGTCGCTGCAGCACTCTGTCGTGGAAAACGGCGATAATTTTTACGCCGCCAAAGTGCCACCTACAGTTTCATATGACACTGTAACACGGATCAACCCTAATCAACGGTCACTGCGAAACGGGACGCACAAATCCAGCATCAACAGCGCACGGCAAGGCAGCAGAATAAGCTCTAAACCTGGATCGCGCGACGGAAGTGTTCCACGATCACTTATCGCCACGGATAAAGTGCGCACGTCCACTCGTCTGCCTTCGGACAGAGTATCGGAAAATAAATTTGTGGATATTATTCAGGACATGAATAGCATGGCTACTGCCCCGTTTGGACCACGGCGACCGGTGCATCCCACCATCAGACCTCACCCGTTGTATATTCCCGGAAGTGTTTCGCCCTATCAAAGTCGTGCCGGTACCGAGGTATCGTTCTGAAGGAGCGGAACCACTTACGATGGAAGCTTTAAACCAAAGATTACTTTTAAATACTGTACCTGACTTTTCTGCGGTTGTAATTTTTTTGCTCGATGAAGTACTCGTATGTCCTGTATAAAGCGGAATGAATACCTGTTCTTGTTTCACCAGTGATAGATGACCTGCGGTTGTAAGCGGTTCAGTTTGTTTTGCTCAATAATTTTCCTACATTTTTGTGCTTGTTTTGTCTAGTATTCACGAACAAATCAATTGACGCCTAACCATAAGCAATTGTGAGTTAAATGTCCCGTCACCAGGAACTGACATTACGTATCCTCTAATTTCAAAAATTGCTGTAATTGTGCTTATAGACCACAAAATAAAAAACCAAAATTTTAAAAAATAATAAATCGCTACTTTTCAACTGTAAAGGTTTAACATACGATCATTTACAATATTGGCAGCTGGTTTAACGAAAAAAGTTTTGGTTTAACTTTTTTCATGAAAAGTAATCGCGGAGTTTTTAAACAGCGCGCACCGGTACTTCAACCGTACGTGCTTATTGTACTTTCGGATCCTATCGGTAGCCAATGGCCGTAAAGCACTGGTATACACAGTATACTCGCTAGAAAATTTAAAACAGGTAAGTAAATTTACATACAGTACTTTAACTAGTACAGTATGTACGCTAATTTTAAATTAAAACCGGACTGTAGTTGCGGTTGAATTTTTCAACTCGAGAAGTCGTACTAGTACGTCCATCGCCGATTTCACTGTGCACCAGATCCACGCCGCACGCTGAGATAAGAATCGGAACCCAGAGATGCTATGCTAGTCATCTTAGCCTTGCTTTCCACGAGAGACATAGTGCGCGCATTGGACGTTCTGACAGGTATCATTCGGATAGATTTCGTTTGGCTGGAGTTTTCCCCAATTTTCTTTTCCATATCAGTCACACATTCCAGTCGAAAGGGTAGTTTCCACCTGGAAAGGTCATTTGCTTTTTGTCCCTTGGTCCACTTATTAACATGAGCTATTTAAATTCGTGGATTATTTTATTCGGGTGTGTCGGTCTGATTACAGGTGAGTGAACGGGAACGTTCTGATTCTTGTTTTCAGGAAATCTGTGATACACATAGCAAAAACAGTGTAATTCATGCCAGCACTTGTTTCCATTGTTACCCTTACATTGATTGTTCCTTTCCGACGCTAACTGGAGAATGCATTGATTGTGTTGTAGCGCAAGGCTTCTACGGTGGTGCCGGGAATGGGTTTGGCGGATATGGTGGCGGCGGAAGTCCTCAGGGAGGTGGTCCGCAAGGCGGCGGCGGCCAGTACGGTGGTCCTCAATCGCAGATGCAGCAGGCAGGCCTCGGGATGCCTCAGGGTAGAAGTCTGACCAATAACGGCAATCCCCAGATGCCTCAGCAGCCAAATATTCAGCCCGGAAGCGGAGGAATGCCCGTGATCTTCACGAATCCGCAGACGGCTGCGGCTGACAAGGCCGCTGCAGCTGGCGTACAGACGCCGCCGATGACCGCGCCAGGCCAACAACCTTTACCCGGCAGCGGTGCTTCCCCAGTTCCCGGTACGTGTGACCTTACTTTTTGCAATAATTTGAAAAGAGTACCTTTCTGAAGTCATATGATCGGATTGGATAAAATTGCTGCTTGAATTAAATAAGTTCAAGAATCTTAGCTATACTGGCTTTGTCATATAATGAAGTTTAAAAAGCAACTGTATTTGGCCACTTTGGTTTGGGCTTCGGTTCGATACTATTTTTACTTTGCAAGACAGCGAGCTTCACTGCGTTTTTGTTCTGCTTACGCAATAAATGTGTGAATTGTAATTTCAGTTAATGCTCCAGTCGGGGCTGCCAATGCCGTTCCCGCTCCAGGAGCACCGTTACCCGCCGCCAGTGCTTCGAATCCATTGTATGGAAACGGTGTTGCAGGTACTCGCGCTATATACTGTAATTAATACCGCTAAACGAACGGGTGGTTTATCTTATTATCTTGCAGTTATCGGCCTGTACGGGAACCGACCCAGTGACAGTGCATTTGGGCGCGGCTATGGCGGTATGGACGATCAGTGGGGAATTGGCGCTGGTTACGGTGGAGCTGGTTACGGCGGAGCTGGTTACGGAAGCAGTGGCTTGTACGGCGGTGGATTTGACGACTACGGAATGGGCGGCGGCCCGTACGGTCGGAGCCTGAGCGATGGTTACGGAAGCGCGGGATCCGGGGCGTCCCGTTACGACAGCGGCCAGTGGGGCGGCGGCGGTAGCGGTCGGGGTGGTATGTTCGGTGGTGGACCTGGAGGTGGCCGCGGCGGCGGTGGAGGGTGGAACTTGTAGACTTTTTCTCCTGAATGGTCTGTGATGTTTTTGTAATGGAAGATTTCCAGTTTATTTATAGAGACACTTTATATTTTATCCAATGCGAAGTAGCTATGCAATCTCCCGGTGCTTGTATAGTTTTACTAACTGGAATGATTGCGAGATGCAGCTTAAGTTGTGCCGCGTACTTCTAACTTGATTATTGAAATTGTGATTTAAAATAAGATGGAAATCTGATTAAAGAGCGGATTTTAACAATACGGAATGGAAGCACACCAGGTTCACATCTTAAATGTATAGGAACACGACAAACACCACTGATTGTGAAGTTAAATCTCACGCGTAGAAAAACATATCAAACAATAAGGTAATCTATAAATAGAACAAAAACGGGCGTTAAAAACAACATGCAAAAAATTAAAGATATTCCGAAAAGTCCAGGAACAATCAGTCGGCTTGCACGAAAGTTTTTCCACTGCAAAGTAAACAAATTCAACAATCTAACAATTAACGTATAGCGACAATCTTTTAATAATTTTTCAGTAAGCTGCAGAACAGTGCACTTACGTTATCGTTTTCTTCACTCGGTCTTTTGGTTCGGGACGGGCACGATTCAATACTTTGACGAATTCACTCGTTTTAGCCCGCATTCGGGAGTGAATATAAGCTTTCGAGCACTTGATGTGGTAATGAAGATAGTCTCGAACAGTGTGGATAAGGTTTATTGTGTTATCCCGTGCTTGCTTGTTGATATGACGGGGCTGTAACACTGCAACAGAAATACTTCTTGCTAAAGATTAATTTCGGTATCCATATACTATACCATATTACATTGCTACGAGTAAAATGCTGAACTAGGGGATTCAGAATCTAATATGACAGGCACGAGCTTCTATCAGAGAAGACATGCTTATTATTTAAAACGGATTCCAAAAAATCCCTTCTACGCGGGCAAAGCCGAATACACATTATACTCTGTACTGACAGACTGTACACTTTCTCTTTTTACGCAAGTCAGAAACTGATGTAGTAACATTCTGGACATTTCCGAAACTGCTATCAACTTTGACCAATAACATCCGAGGTAACACAATAACGTCCGAAGTAATATAACGATTACAAATATTAATGAAGAAACCTCGCACAAGTACTCTACAACTACAGCAAGAACAGGATCTAACTGTGAAGAAAATAAAAGCATCTGCTTTACTGCCTTTACAGAAAAACTTCACCCCATAACGAAAGCTACCCGTCCATAAACAAATGCGACGAAATGATTTCTAACACCTTTCATACCAAGTTTTTGGCCGAAATACAACGGATACAATGATACATACCGAAAGTGATATAGCCAATATTGTCTCCTGTTCTGGCATCAGTTCCCTGCAGTTCCATGGGCGGATCTCGGTGATTAAACAACACCTGTGGAGCGGTGGTGCTAGCCCGGCGACCTTCCTTAAATTCTTGTAGGAACACTTTCCCGATGACCACATCATCAGCAGATCGAAATATTGTGCTGAAGATAACCGTAACACGATCGTGCTGAGCCTCCACATACCTAGACCAACATAAATCATCTCACGTACAACTGCAGCACAAAGGAGAAATCAAATCAGCTGCACAGTGCATTACTTTTAAACAGGCTAATTCTTACATAGTTTCATCTTCACGGTAATGAATAACCGCACGCTGCTGGCCTAAAACACCTTTCTCCTGAAAATCGAAGTATTTCTCAAAGACCGATGCAAAGCAGTTCCGCTTCAGCAAGGCAGCCTTCGCGATGACGGCATCCACTGCGTCGGCGGGAAGTGAGACTATTTTTTCCAAGTCGAACTCCAAGCTAATATTGTAGCCTTGTTCCGGAGAACCCAAATAACCAGCATATTCCCGCTTTAAAAGCTATACAAAATGTACGACAATATAGCACAATCCAAAACGATCCACCAAAAACGAAGATTTCGCTTACCTCTTCTGCACCATGCTCCTGCAGGTCTTTGAAAAACTTTAAAGAAGCACTGAGCTATAAAAAAATTACACAATGTCACAAAACTGGTTAAACGTTATTATTCTATTCTGAGAGCTCAGCACTAGCCACAAAATTCCATAACATTTCATAGAAGCATGTAATTTTTACAAACTGGGTTTCCAGTTCCACTGACCGTTTGCAGAAACAGTAGAGTACGAGTTAAAGTATTTAAATAAATAAATGTAAGATCTGATATTTACCCGCAGTTTATTTTTGTCGCCATCGATATTGGAGATGTGAAACAGGACCCCGTCGAAATCCGCAAATGTGATGTCAACATTTTCGGGCTTATTCCTGGAAATATGCAGGCTTACAATCAATAAACAATGTGGTAAATTACGCAGTAGTAGGTACAAATCAGCTGGTTATAAAATCAGTAATAACTAATAAATGATGAAAATAAGTTAAAAAACTGAACAACGGGTATTTGGCAGACCACAACTTCACCTTACAGTTATGAGTTAATTAGAATTTCTGACTCTTAAATAAATGTGGATAAACTGCTCCATAGCACTTTTTTGCTGCAGTCTCCGGACATGCATTAGCGGACTTACCCTGCTCTTGCGCTTTCGAATTTCAGCTTGAGGGTTTCCTCAATAATTCGATTTTTTATTTCCAAAAAGAATCATGACGCTCGAACCGCTTTAAACACGCTGTATAAAATCAAAAAGCACAGAATCAGCCGGTGACAGCCACTTATTCAAAGGAGAACTTAAAACTTTCCTAGTCGGAAGAAATGACAATGCGGAGCTCGAGCATATGTTTTTTTACCAGCGCAAAACGTACTATGTCGGAAGAGCGAATTACAAACGTTTCACCATCAAATCAAAACCAGATTATATTGAAAAATCATATGTATAACAATATAAGAAACATAATCGGAAGAAACATATGAGAATAAAATCTGAAAACTACGAAATTTCATTCATGTTGTCGTTTTGGCCGTGGGGGTGGATGTGACGAGAATGGTGTATGCACGTTAATTAATGCGCACATGCACATAACGCTCGCCTCTCCCATCTCACCGGAAGCTGTTCTTCCGAATCACAACGTCCAGAATTTATTAAAAGCGCGCCCTGTCCCATCGACGATTGCAAGTCCGTTTAGTTCCAGACAATTGTATGAACAACTTTATTACCTCTTATTTGGAAGCGTCACCATAAATGGATTGCCTGCAAACTTGAAATTGCGATGAAAACCGGAGATCTAATTTCTGCCGCAAGCAGCCATCAAATCCGCACGATGGGGGGTGTGGTTACTTTTACGATGTCCTAAACGACCAAATCCAGCTTTTCGGGGCGAGAAAAATTTCGCCGCTTATGATTATCGTGCTTGCTTGTCCTACGTCTTTCTGCTTCTGTTTTATCTTATCTGTCATTAAACTGCTTTTTTGCCTTGATAAATTCCTCCGTGTCGATGTATCCTCCGGTAACTACATCTACATCCCAAGTTATCAGAACGCAGACGTTTACAAGAAAGGGAAAAGGTGCGGTTAAATTTTGAGTTTAAGTTTAACGTATTGCAATGACAACTTCTAAGCTGTCCCTAGTGGAGTGGGTTACACACCCGTACCACGATCGGAAGTGCTGGTGGTGTTAACGAATTACTTTAAGATCGCTTATGTAATTAACTCTTAACGAAAGCCGGCAACGGAACACATTGTCAACGCGTACGCACACATTTTTATTCAGCTGAAAAACATTGGAGAAGGGCAAGGGCAAGGGCAAGAGCAAGAATGATTTTAGATCAGTTAGACATTTCCCAAACCAGTCTAGAAATCCACGATAAAAGTGAAGATTCGTACAAGTACAAATTCAGATGTCTCCGCATCAACTAGCACCAATGAAATGCTCATCATTATTACTGTAACATTCCAGATCTTATTTGTACGGCTACATCCCGCACGGTAGCGATAAGATATACCTGTCTTATCAAGAGAAAATCCGGTAAAATCAGGAATGGAAATTAAGGAATGGAAAATAACACAGAAATATTGAGCAATTAATAACAATGAGAGTTACTGTAAGAACGTTACTAATCGTGGTGAATCCGGATGACGGGGTTGCTGCTCCCACGTGTTGCTGTGTTGCTCTCTTCGGTTTCCGGTCAGGTGATTCAACGGCGTGGCTGGTACTGGCGACGCTGCTGTTCTCCATTCTGACGCGGGTGCGGCTGTCCATTCTGGCGCGGCGGCTGCTGTCCATGCTGACGCGGCGGCTGCTCCGGCTGCTGCTGTCCGGGGTGCTGCGGGTATGGTTGGTATTGTCCCTGCTGTTGCTGCTGGTTACCTTGGCGCGGGTGTCCGAGTTGCTCTTCAAGCTGGCGGATTTTGGCATTCAACTGCGCAATGGTTACTTTATCGTCCCGCACGGTGGACTGATGACCTCGCTCGTCCGGTGCATATCCACGAATGCCGGTTTTTGCTATAATCTTGCCCAAATCAAGTTGCTGATACTCTCCAGCCCACATGTCTGCCATTTCGACGAAAGGATACTGTATGTCTTTGTCATTATCGGTGCCCTTCACTGTTTTATACTCGTCAATTTCAACCATGTAATTACTGATTCGCGTACGTGTCTCTTCCGTGTATGATCCATCCCAGGCAATTTCACCTGGCCAAAACGGCATGTTGATCGGGAAGTAGCGGTACGGATTGAAATAGCGCGGATACTGTTCAACCATTTCGAAACCTTGACGGTGTGAGTTGCTGATATAGCGATACACAAAACCAGAACGGTGTTCATATCGCCAGGTCCCGTCTTCTGCTGCATACTTTATCCAGGCTCCGGTGGCAAAACGGTCGAAACGCCAGGACTGCTGGTAGAAGTGGCCAAGAGACGTAGCCAGTGGTTCCGGGAATGTTACGAATTTGTTACTGTTAGTTTGTTTACTCTGACGCTCCAAAAACGAGAACATACTCTTCAGCTGTTCAATCTCGTACTCTATCCCCAGTGCATCGTAGTTATTCGGCAGGGTGCTGCGTTGCTCCTGAAGGCGGTCTATCGCGGTACCGATGTTGTTCATGTGGCGGTGCATGTCCTCAGTGGTGACGGCCCAGCTGCGGCTAATGAACGGGTTGAATGGTAAGTCGTTAACGGGGAGTGCTGTCTGACGGGAAGTTGCGGTGATGTAACGGATGCGCTCAGCGCGCGGCTGTCCTTGCTGGCGCTGGTTGCTAGTCTCGCTGCCGTTCTGCGGAGTATTGTTACTTTGCTGTTCGGTGCGCTGGCCGGATTGCTGAGTGGTACTGTCGGAAGCGGCCGGTGCGGGTGGAGATGCATGTGTGCGGCTGTTCTGGCGTGTCACTGGATGGAATGGCTCGTTGTTGAAGCTGCCATCATCATATCCAGTTGTCTGGATGTCCATAGCGTCAGGCGGCACGGTGGCGCTGGGTGTTGCTTGTGGTGTGTTTGCCGGTGCGGAGCTGCTTGTCGCCGTGTTACTGTCTCCGTTAGCGGGAGCCTCGTGGGTGTCCATTTCCATGACTGTAATCGCACACACAATATTGTTACTATTTACTGTTTTGGGTAGTTATACTTATCAGTGCTGCAGTGTTATACATCTACAGTGCACTGTGCTAATATATAGTGTCGGGATAGGCTGCTGTACACTTTTTTTACATATTGCATAGTGCATTATTTTTTTGCTGTGCACTGCGTTTACTGTGATAGTGTTATTCCTGCGTTGTTCTACACTGTATATACTTTATCAGCATTATTCCGCAGTGATACTGTACATACTCTAACAGTGTCAGTCTTTTATGTATTGTACACTGTAGCTGCTGTAGCAGTGTTATTACTTTTTTGACTTTACACTGGTTGATTAGTCTGTACTCTGTAGTGCGAATCGGATATTAGTCTGCACTGCTGGTACTAGTAATGGTACGTTCACCATTGTTAATTTTAGATTTACTAGTAAGTAGTTAGTCTTGGGTGTTGTTTAAGTACTTTTATTACTTTCTAAAGTTTTTAGGAAAGCTTCCCGGCTACGCTGTACATCTTCCTCATATTCTTTATACGGTTTTAGTTTCGATATATGGACTATTTGCGTTATTCGTTTGCGTCCTTTACCAGTAATTAGTTTAACATGGGCATTTCCGTCTGTGGTCAGCTCAGTAATCTCATATGGACCAACAAATCGGAAGGTTAACTTTTGAGTTTCTCCAACAATACGAGTCTCATCACGTACATATACTTTGTCGCCTACGTTAAAAGATACTTCTACTTTCTTATCATCGTAACGCTGTGCATTACTATCATGTACTTTCTCCGTTAGTACTTTCGCATACTCATGTGCAACTTTCCACTGGTTGCGGAGTGCTTCAAGATACTTTTGTATCGTTTTGTCCCCTATTTTCTCTGGTACTGTAGGTGTTACTATATCAATTGGTAGTAACGGTTCTACACCAAAAAGTAGATAATAAGGTGAACAATCTGTTGTAGAGTGTTTCGAAGTGTTATAAGAAAACGTAACAAATGGCAAGTGTAGTGCCCAATTAGTTTGCTCTTTATTGGCGTACAGCGTTAATTTTTCTGCAAGATACTTATTAAAACGTTCAGGTATACTATTACTTTGAGGATGATAAGCAGTAGTTACTCTATGATTGACACTCAGCAACTTTGTTAATTCAGTGAATAAATTACTCGTATATGCTACACCTCGGTCGGATGTTATATACCGAGGCAAACCAAACGGTATTATTATACTATGTATAAAGAAATCTGCTGTTTCCTGAGCGCCGGTCGAATGTACGGCTTTGGTAACAACATAGCGTGAAACGTTTTCTACCGCTACTATTATATATTTCTTTCCTTCGGTGGCGTGGAAAGGACCGATGTGGTCAAAAGACCAACTTTCTAATAAATTGTACCGTTTAATTTGCTGTAAATATCCTGACTGAGGAATACTGATGCTATTTCGCTGCTGACATAACTGACAAGCTTCGCAGTAATTTTTCACGAAATGTAGCATCCGTGGAAAATAATATCTGTTCTTCATATGCTCCCATACTCTTTCAAAACCGATGTGTGATGCGGTAGGTGCATCATGAAGATTATATAATACTTGTGCACGCATACTGTGAGGAATGCAAAGTAGTAATTTCCGGTTGCCTTTCTGAGATTTTACTTTGTATACTATGTTATTGACGATGCGGAAACCGTCAACCTTTCGCTGAATACTCTTAGGAGAAGTAGAGTATTTCTCAGAGCTGTTAATAATATTCTTAATGTTACTAATAAAATTATCTGATTCTTGTTCGTCAACGAATTTCTGCGTAGTCGGTAGTAAACACGGGTAAATACTCGTACTATATACTGGAATATCACAATCGTCTGTGTCATCAGCCGGCTCGAGTGGATTGCGACTTAATAAGTCGGCGTCCTGATGTAAACGTCCTTTCCGGTAAATTACTTTGAAGTCGTACTCCTGGAGTAACAGTGCCCATCGGTTAAGTCTGCCCTGCGGTTCTTTTAAGTTCAACAGAAATTGTAAAGCGGCATGATCAGTTATTACTACAAAATGTTTGCCAATTAAATAATGTTTGAACTTTTTGATGCCAAAGACTATGGCAAAAAGTTCTTTTTCAGACGTCGGATAGTTCATCTGGTGCTTGTCTAGCATTTTAGACGCATAGGCGACAACATGCCACCCGTCGGCATGTTGTTGCTCCAAGATGGCGCCCACTCCGATACCGGAGGCGTCGGTTTTTAGTTGAGTAGGTAATGCCGGGTCGAACGGCTTCAATAGCGGCGCTGTTGTCAAAGCTACTCTTAATTCCTCGAAAGCTGCTTGTTGCTTTTCGCCCCAGATAAACGGTACGTCTTTCTTTGTTAGCTCGATAAGCGGTTTACTCAGCCCCGAGAAATTTTGAATGAATTGCCTGTAGTACGATAATGCGCCTATAAAGGACTTTACTTGTTTGGACGTCTGGGGGCACGGGAAAGCCGATATTGCAGCTATTTTAGCGGGATCAGGGCTAAGACCGTGTTTACTTATAATATGACCCAAAAATTTAATTTTTTCAAAACCTATTTCGCACTTCTTCGGTGATATGGTAAAGCCTGCTGCTGTGACTGCTATTAGGACTTCCTCTAAAAGTTTGATGTGCTCAGTAAAGTCGCGGCCACCAATTAAAACATCATCAATATAGCAAATTACTGATTGCCACTTTAGGTGTCCTAAGATACTATCCATGGCTTTCTGGAAGGTAGCGGTACCTCCAGAAAGACCAAAAGGCATTCTCAAAAATTCATACTGTCCGTCGGGCGTAATGAAACTTGTCTTTGGTATATCGCTTTCTTTCATCCGTATTTGCCAAAATCCGGAATTAAAATCAAGCGATGAAAAATACACTGAGCCACTAAAGCTAGAAATCGCGTCATCTACGCGCGGCAGTGGCCACATTGGCCGTTGCGTAACGTTATTTACCCCGCGTAGGTCTACACAAAAACGCAATGCTGAATGCGGGTCTTTTTTCTTTACTAATACTACTGGAGCGGCCCAGGGGGACGTTGATTTTCTAATTACTCCCTTATTTAGCATTTCATCCACTTGTTTCTGTATCTCAATACGATGCGCAAAGGACGTGCGCCACGGCATCCGTTTTATCGGTTTGCTGTCACCGGTGTCGATTTCGTGTGTGACTTCGGAGCATAAGCCAAGCGGGCGGGACTTGGAGGGGAATACTTTTTCATATTTAACAAAAAGGTGCACTAACTGGTTTCGTTGTTCGGTAGTTAAGTTGGGGTTAAGGTTAAGATTTTTAATATGCTCGTTTAGTTCATCTCGGCTTATACTCGTATCAGGTTGGAGACTGTTGCATTCGACCAGTTCCTCTGCAGCTAATGTTTCTACATAACCAATTAACAAGCCTTTCTTTAATGTTACTGGTTTGTCACTGAAGTTGGTAATTACTGTACTTCCTATTCCATTTTCAATAGATACAATGGTGTTCGCTACACCAACTAAGTGTTGTAACAAGATATTCTTTTGCCCGATGACAATCGCGTCTCCGTTATAGCTGTCAGGTACAGTAAACTGTACGACTACACCGGTTTTCTTAGGGATTTTCAACTTTTTGCCGAGTTTAATGTGAGCCTGCGACCAAGATACATCGGAATGTACAGGTACTTTTGCTGAGTCACAATGATCTACAATATCAGGCGAGATGTTGAAAACAGAAGGTGTGTCGTCGTTAACGGACTCAGTAGGAGTATCGGTAGTTACTGTAACATTATGATCAAGACTATTATTTGGCATAGTAATGGTGACTGGTGGCGCTGGTTCTACTGAAGCTGGTAGAACCGATTTGTGGTCATCTTTTTTCGCGGTGCTGCAGTTCGTTACTGTTGCTGTAGAATCGTCAGACGCGGAATCACTACAATTCGTACTCGTATTTGTAGGGAAAACATCTATACTCGTATCAGGTGCATTAATCGCTACTTGTGGTGCTGGTACTTCAGGTACTACGACTTCTGGTATTTCAGGTATTGCTGGTAAGACACCCTTTGTACGTAGTAGCGTAAGAGTGAGGCCAATTTCGGTTGTTACTTTGTAATGATCGAACGAAGTTTGTGGGTAGTAGTTGTAATTTCTAGCCATACGATCTTGAATATCTTTCGGTAAAAACGACTTCTTTACTCTGTCGGGCTTTTCGAACATAATTTGTCCGCGGTGTAAATTGATACTGATTTTATGCTCTTTTAAAAAATCAGCACCAAGTATTATAAATTCATTAGGGAGGCCGCAAACGATAAAGAATTTGTGTACGGTATCTATTACTCCTACTTTTACAGTCGTACTAGTTGTGTATGTCTCCGGGCATTTAAATCGATCCGAAATCGTTGTGAAATGTAAATCGGGTGCGCCTTTCTTAAAATGAAAGAATTTAAGATTAATTTCTCTAGCTAAACTCTCGCTAATAATGCTGCAGCCTGCACCGGTATCGAAAAGTGTTCTGACCTCGTGGCCGTTTACTATGGTCAGTGCATAAGTAGGTGTGCACGTAATCGGCATATCATAACTTGCATACGGTGACGTCTTACTTTTTTCTATATCGATGCTATATATATAGGTTACTGTTTGTTCTCCGGGTCGGGCTTTTACTGTAAAATATTCTGACAGAGTCGTACTTTTTGTCGCATCTGCTATGGTATGTGGAGGTGGTAATACGCCGTCTGTACCTCCTTTCCAGAACGGCATCATGCGTTTCCCTGAGGTGTTGTCCAGAAGTTTTCGCCCATTTCATCTAAGTTTCCCTTAATGTACTTATTGTACTGTCGTTCTACTTTGAGGATAATGTCAGCTGGACACGTCTGCTGTATGTACTGTACATCATTCGGTGTGACTCTCGTACACTCAGAAAAACCATGCCTGAAATCTTTACAGAATGGACAGAATAGCTTGCCGTTCCCCAGCCTGTAGCTATCGAAATGTATCACTTTCTCAGGTATTCTACTCTTCCAATCTTCCTTGCGGCGGTCACGTGACTCGGAGCGTTCCTGTGAGAACTTACGTCTTCCTGTACTGTCATGTTGTGGTTTGCGCCCGTCAGTACGATCACGTGAGTAACGATTACTACTTACGTCTCTACCATCTCGGTTGTTACGATTGTGGCTGAAGTCCCTGCTGCGGTCTCGCTCTCTGCTGAAGCGACGTGGCTGATACTGTGCGTGGCGGTCACTATTACGATTATACTGATTAAAACGCGAACGGTCGAAATGTCTACTCGTACCTTCTAGTCTGCCGTATGGACTGGGTGACCGTCGACGCCAATTACTGTCGTATGAGCTGCGGTCCCGATAATGTTGCTTGTCACGGCTGTCGCTACGGTTATGATACTTGTATTCTCGGTTATTGCGTGGTGCCGGTGTTGGCGGGCTGGCGTATGACACATTTACTGTTGTTTCGGTTGAATCTACTGTAGCGAGTTTTCCCAAAATGTTACGAATCTCAGTAACAGAGTTGGCGTTAGCTGCTATGAGAATTTTACGGTACTCGGGGATACCAGAAATAGCACGCTTAATCTCCGATACCTTATACTCTTCGGGCATACGACTATCGATTTCTTGAAACAACACCAACATGTCATCGAAAAACTGCTGTACATCATCACCAGGTTTCAAGCACTTGCGAGAAAGTTCTAGTCGCTTCTTGTCAGCATAATCTTCAGGGAGATACCGGGTTACTAGTTTATTGCGCCAGGCATCATAACTCAACTCTTTGTTAGTTGACCATTCAGCTTCAAAGAATCTTCGCGGCGCTTCGCCTAAATAGTTGGGCAGCATGATTACTCGTCGCTTATTGTCCCAATCTAATGTACTAGCTACTCTCTCAAATTGCTGAAAGAAATTACTGATCGTATATTCAGGCTTGTTGTTGAAAACCTCAATTTTGAAATCTTTAGGCAAAAGTTTACTATGATCTAGCTTAACAGCTGCAAGCGCATTCACGATATCTGCGAGATTATTATTGGAGCTGGTACTCGTAGCATTATATGCAACTGGATCATGTAATACTGTACTCTTATTATCCGCAGTAATGGTATGCTTTACATCAGGTGTACTGGCAGTATACTGTACATGGGCGTGATGCGGTGGGAATATAGCTGTATTCTCTCTCTCACGCTCTTTACGTGCTTCAAGCAGCTGTAGCTGCAGTGCGGCAATCTCTTCAGCATGCCGCGCTCCATGTATCTGTTCAACGAAGTTATATGACTGCTTATGCGATTCCATCAGCAGCTGGTCTAGATATGCTCTGCCCTGCGCGTCTGGCATATACTGAGTTAACGTACTATATAGTCTATTCGCTTGCTGTAAGGCATTCTGCAACTCAGGAGTACTGTTTACCAGGTGCTCACTGTCAGGCTCCACACTGTTTAGAGTGCTAGGCTGTTGTGGAGAGAGAGCGTCCTCTCTGTCCTTTGACAGCTGCGCAACCGAGCCAGCGGTCGCGTTGGTCTGATTGCTCTTAACTGGTGTCGTGTTGGCCTGCGATGATGCGTTGTTGTTGCTTTTCTCCCTGCGCAGTATCTTCTTCAGATCGTCTACGCTCAGATTCTGAGCACACATGGAATGTGCAATTGCTGTCTGTAGTTTGCTCTTGTTGTCAGCCTGCTTATACGGTACTTTATACTGTTGTGCTATACTCTGTAGTTCAACCTTCGTATAAGCAGACAGAGTGTCGGATAAGTTCTGATGTTTGTCCATACTGTCCAAGAAAAACTATTCAACTGTAAACGCTAATGGTTTCTTTCCCAAGCCAAGAATGCTCTCTTTAGAGAGAAAAGTTTTGCTGGCAAAGTGAAAACGAATGCAGGTCAAGAAAGTCTTATACCATACCGGTAAAATCAAATGCACACAAAAGTACTGTAAAGTGTGTAATCAACACGGAAAAATTCGGGAGCAAAACTGGAATAATTGCTTATTAAGTTCGTACAAACAATGTGGAGGTTGCTGTTGCAAATTGGGATACTGCTATTAAAGTGGGAGGAGAAAACAATAATTATCTTTTCACGACTGAGTACTGTACTTAAGTATATTGTTAAAGTTTAATCTATTTGCGCTTACCCAAATGATGTGTCTTTACTTTCGGGATGCGGTATGCTGCTAGGTAAGACGGGATTTCCGGTCCTCCGGTAAACAGTCGCCGAGGGCGTGGTCGCTTGAGACGGCTGCGGGAGGTTGACTTCTTGCGCCGGTGAGCTGACGCAATGTTACTCGTAGTGATGCCGGTGTGGGATGCGCCGGCAAAATGTTAATCCGAAAGGCGAATTAATAATTCCGTAAAATAATCGTTGCTGTTCAACGACACCCAGGAGCTGCCATGCAATGACAACTTCTAAGCTGTCCCTAGTGGAGTGGGTTACACACCCGTACCACGATCGGAAGTGCTGGTGGTGTTAACGAATTACTTTAAGATCGCTTATGTAATTAACTCTTAACGAAAGCCGGCAACGGAACACATTGTCAACGCGTACGCACACATTTTTATTCAGCTGAAAAACATTGGAGAAGGGCAAGGGCAAGGGCAAGAGCAAGAATGATTTTAGATCAGTTAGACATTTCCCAAACCAGTCTAGAAATCCACGATAAAAGTGAAGATTCGTACAAGTACAAATTCAGATGTCTCCGCATCAACTAGCACCAATGAAATGCTCATCATTATTACTGTAACATTCCAGATCTTATTTGTACGGCTACAGTATTATATGGATTTTTTGTAGCAGCCCGTAACGATGGTGTATGGCGTTTCCATGTATTTCTTGCCTCAACTTGGTTTACGTCTACAGGGAAATGATTACTAACTAATTATTTTTGTATAAAATTTGTTGAATTTGTTTTTTCCAGCTTTTTTATTAGAGATTTGTTATGACTTGTGGACCTTACGTGTAATTGCAACTGGAATTTTGCAGTGTTTCGTAACTCTTCTGAAGCGTATAGTACGAGACCTGTTGACGGACCCGGGCCGGCCACGGGCAAGGGACCCGGTGGCGAGCGATATCGCCGTACCAGTCACAATTCCTCATGGACGAGTAGATCGACCGGAAGTACTGGTGGTTCCACTTCTCCTTCTATTTCTTCTCCTCTCAGCCGCACATCGTCAGTTGGGTAAGTCCGTAAGTGTTACCAAGTTTTCAGCATCATGTGCGGGTTTGTATGGCATTTCCCATTTAATTCGGATCATCAAACTCGCTTACATGATTTTTCTTTTGACAGTCTTCGGTTCTTGTTTTTTTGTATTTTTTGTTTTGTACTTGCGCAATGTACGTGAAAAACCTTACAGTTTTTAGCCATACCAATGGAATTCGTAGGGAATCCTTTTATCATGTGATGCGCTGAAATTTAACATCGTTTAACGAGCAGCTATTTTCGTCAGTGCGGTGTCGTAGCGTCGATTGCATCATACATGCATATCCAGGGTTTGGCTTGCCTAGATGGCATTTCAATGATTTCATCCAGTAAATGACAGGACGTTCTGGGCGAAAACGCCTGCGCTCGTTAAAATTTGTTTCGACTTCAGACCCAGTTTTTTAATGTTATTGTCGTATAGGTTCCGCAAGAGTCAGCTTATTACCGTTAGGGGTATTCATTCATTAGCATTTGTACCCAGAATTGATTGGATCATTTTGAATTGCAGATCAAACAGCGCGAGCGATGAAAGGCCCGGAAGTGCCATTGTTCGGCAGGGCGCTCTAATCAGCCAAAATTCCACGAATTCCCCTGTGCAATCTCGAACGGCCGTAAAATCGTCAAGTCCTCCCAAATCTACTCTCCCGCCTACCAATGCCTCAATGATCCCTTCATCTCCTCGCGCTACGAAAGGCGCGTTCAAACCATTTAATCACAAAGAAGTCGTTGAGCATATGAATAAAGGTACTTACTAATTTTCCCTGTTTTATGTTTTGGGCCTGGGCTGTGTAGGTGTGTAACTGTCGCAGATTATTCAATTAAACTTTCTCTGTTAAATCATTAGTGTTTATTACATTAATTTACTATACCCTTCTCGTAATTATTGTGCCGATTTCGAAAATTTTTTAATTGTACGATGATCGACAAAATACTTTCAGTTGATAAAATACTATCACGACAATAAAATACAAAATACTTTCAGTCGACAAAATACTATTACTTTCAGTTGATAAACTCAGCGGTATACGATGATCGACAAAATACTTCCACGCTCTCACTTTTTTGTTTTTGTCGGCAGCATATTTGGAAGCAAAGAAGGCAATCGATGCGGGTCATGGAAAAGTTTTCGATCCATACGAGGATGGGGGTGCTCCGATTGGTATGTTCGACATAATACTGGATGATTAATGATTATAAAAGTGAATGGTAGCCGTTTACATATTATGCAGTGATTTTCTGGCATCCACCTGCCTCATATACTTCGGTATACCGTACCGCATATCTGTAGCATCTGGTAAATGTATGAAATTAATTTGATCGATGTTTCAAACTCATTGTTGCCTCACAGCGAAAATTTTGTGCAGCTTTGTAATGCTATTTTAAATGAATATATACTTACTCACTGCAGATTAGTTGTACAAAACAATCGTCGAAGTTCGTGCGAGATCTCTTTAAATGTTGTCATAGTCAACACAATTAGCAACAAAATGCATTATTTTGACAAATGATTCGCTATTTCGGATAATTAAGTACTACTCTTTGCTGCGCGGGAGTCGGATAAGCGCTTTCGGGCACATGCCGTCGGTTTGTTTTACAGTATTGCAGAATATGATCTGAAATTTTCGTCGCAGGAACGAACGCTTTTGCGAAATTTGAATTCCGGTTTAACCCATATGATTACTTTTAAAGTGTTCGCATTTAATGTGTCTGAAGTTGCGCTGTGGTCGAGAAATATTTTACGCACTTACTCCGCAATCCGCATAAACTTGAAAGGACTATAGTAGTAGACGAGGTGGTAGACGGAAGTTATTTATAGCATAGCCTTCTTCTTCAAGTGTGCTGAGTGCCATTGAAAATGAAGCATATGTCTCGTCTGTATTTACAGAATTTGAACCTTTCGACTGGGAAGCCTTCTGGCAGGAGCGGAAAATGAAGGGCATTTGAATGCATGTGCAAAGCGGTTATCATCATGACAACGGCTCATCCGGACGGACACATCGTTAACTTATGTCTGACAGGATCAGATCCGTCCAGTACCTTTTTGCTGTGCTGTTAGCGGACGGTTGTACAGGGTTGTAATCAGGAATGCAAGATTGTTCTTTTCCAAAGATGTTTTTGCTTGTCATAGTGTTTCTAGTTTAAGTTTTATCACGTTTGGGTGTGACATTGTGGGCGTCCCGCCTTTGATTGACCTTTTGATGTGATCCCTTATATTTATCTTTTCACTGTGGTACATCTGTTATCTTTTTACGATTGCTCTCCTTGGTTTCTTTCATTTTAGTCGTGCCATCAGCGGTGGATAATTTCGTACAGTAGCGCAGTGCAACATTTTATTGGGGGTTTTTATCACGATGGGAATTTTGGGATCGTTATAAGCTATAACCCGCAGTTAGTGTGATTTTGTGTGTGGCCTTGTTACAATCCGTTAGCAGTGCAGAAATAAAAGCTGTGCAACATTGGATCCAAGTTCATATAACTGCACAACACTAGACAAAATTTGTGATTGAAAGAACATCTTAATAAGAAGATGACTTCTTTAACATCGGGAGTATCGTTGTAAATGGTGATGGCAATCATCGTATACTTGTATCAATCGTCATGGGACGGAACCATAACTGAAAATTTGGAGTCAATTACTTCCGCTATTCTGGGCCTACAACGAAAAGAGCAAATTTAGTTCTATTATTCTTGACTAACAAATTATATTGTAGGTAACACACACTCATTCACACTTTCAGTTGGTAGAACTCAGCGGTAAAGTACCCATCTTCAAAGATTTCTGCTAAATTATGCGTTTGATGGAAGAAAGTACGAAATGTATTATGTGACGAAGAAGCAAGCGTCTTCTGAAATGGCTTAGAATAAATATTAAACGGTAAAAAATCTGTTAATACCTATGCATTTTTGTATACGGTATGAAAATGAAAAGTAATGAAAATAATATGCGCATTCAAGGTGGACGAGAGCAAACCAAGACCTTGAACAGCAATCAAAATATCGATAGGATCAGTAATACGAGTCTAAAAATAAACTGATAAGCAGGAAACACGAAACATGTACAATAAGGAGTGGGTTTATGATTACGACAATAATACTGTATTGTCTCAAACAAAGTACGGCACTTTTGTAATCATTATTTGCGTCCAGCTCCGTATGCATGAGCTTTCTGCATATTAAAGTTAACTCACCTAAGAATAATTGCAAGACCAAGTCCTAGAGCAGTCCCAAAGAGCATTGCGCTAATCAAAATGAAAAACCGCAAAAGTGGCGGCATCCTGCGAAAAGGTCACAACAAATACATCAGAGTGCGATGACCAAATTAATAGGTTACTCTACACTCTGCAGTAAGCTGCGCTCTAAGCTTACTTACTCTTGAATTCCAGATCTTTTGTCCGTTGTAGACGCATCCGCCCCAATTTTAAATTTCGCGCCCATTTTGCTCTCGATTTTACAGTTTTTGCAAGACCAGTGTAACTCGGGCAAACACGAAATGAAAATATTATGTTCTTTAACAGTAATAAGTGCTTTCCCAAAAATTCATAAATACCGTTAGCAGGAAGGACCGTTAGTGTAGCACGTACAATATTCATTAGCCAACGATGATATTGGTATACAATGTCATACGGTCTGCTTAAACGGTAAAGTGATGCACTAACAGTAACGGCTATTATCAGAAAACAATGTCGATTGCTCTACGGATGTTTAGTTTCTTTCGACACACCGGAAAGTGTTTAGAAACCGGTTTGTAGTGCGTACTTTAACGATGGTCATTGTAAGTTGCGGCGATTTAAGTGTGCCCTTTAATTTCCCGATATGCAGCTGCCCGAGCATGTCGATCGGATGCGGATGCAGGAGGGATACATAGACATACACAAATACATAAACAATACATATACTATTTATTATGAGCAGCTTACAATTTGAATCGGCTTCCCGAGTGATTCCCGGTGTACTGCGCTTGCTCTTATTTCCTTAAATAATTCTGGTAACGGCACATGGCAGTTTCCATTTATTGTTCGGTTGCAGTTTCTTTTAAATAGTAAATACAATATTTGGAAAGTATTATACGTACAACAGCTTTAGCCGATTAACTCACTCTAAGTGGACCATTTGTACAAACAAACTACGGGGAAACATTAAACAAAATCACGATATCGGCCATTATACACTCGTCATTCCACGAATTTTTACTTCGACAATATTGCAACAAACGGACAAGCCAGCTAAAACCAACTAAAAGAGGAAATTGTTGTACAGATAGATAAAACTTTTGTAACAGAAAGAAAAGCTTTGGCTAAAAAAAGTGAGAGAACTAGCAATAACAAAATTGTAATAACTCAAAAATCAGGAATACAAACCGAATTATGCAGCGGATCCGGTCTGAACCCTTCTTTACACACACACATTCTTAAACGACGATCGCACAGTGTATTGCGGTCAGCTACCGTGCATTCGCTGCTGTCATCACATTTGGCGGATAAAACATCTACACAATCGCAAACAAAATTAAATGGGCTTGTAGAACCATGCTCTAAATTATGTATACAATTATGTATAGGCAAGCAAAATACATATTGTAAGCTGCTGTGATCAGTTAATTTAAAACAGATACTGTTTGGTGCTTACCAATACAAGCGGTTCGTTCGCTCTGGTTAGTAAACCATGAATCTGGTATGTAACCGTCTTCGCATCCACAAAATGCATTATTTCGACATTTCCCACGCGGAGTATATATAGGGCACAGATCTTGGTCGCTGCGACATGGAACATTTCCGCCTAAGGTAGCTAAAAAATATACGACGCTTTAAAAGAGTTCCCATACAGTTATGTACATTCTTCTCGAACCAGAACCGAGCTAGAAGCATATTACTCCATTTCGGATGATAATATATAATTGAATTTTTTAAATCGCTTGCGGTATGACACAATTCTTAGTCCATGTCGCAAAAATAATTACCCCGGCATACGGGCTGATTTGTCCAAGGGTCGCGGAACCATGCATAACCAGTCGGACACCGGCAAACATTCTTTATTGGATCACAAACAGCATTAGGAATATTGCAGACAGTCGAGCATCTCTCCGGGAACATTGCTGCAAGTAGAAAATTTTTTAGCTTCGATTCCTTTCCAGTATACGAACTGATTCACGTACGTCGACAAACGCCATTATCATCCGGCAGGTATCCATTTGAACAAGTACAAAAACGGTTTTCACCGTTAAAGGCGCATTCGGCATTGGCATCCCCGCCACTTTTACAGTCATCATCGCTGGAGCACAAGGAAAAGATTGTCTCTGCAAAACAGAAATAAATTTAGAATCCGACAAGGGTTTACCAAGCGTATGTCAAACAGACTTTTGCAGATGTTTCCTTCCAGCAACGAAGAGTGGTAACCAAGGCGGCATAAACAAGTACCGGCTAAGCGGTCACAAAATGAGTTGGGATCTTGTTGCAGACAGTCAACATCGCAACCTGCAATATTAACATCCGAACTTCATATCAAAACATTTTTTTAAATAAAGGCTGATAAATTTGACAAATTACAGATCTGTCGAAAATCACTACACCGGTACCAAAACAGTAAGAATTAAATTTTGTGAAACGTTTTAGTTTTACTAGCAATACCCGTACATAGATATTCTGCATTGCATGTTGATGTGTTATTGTAAACTGCACCTTTTTCCTGCAGAACAGAAGCAAATGGTGGCTGACTGGGTGGTTTGACCATGGAATTCTGTGCGACACTGTTAAGATCCGTTTCCTGTACCAACGATTTAGACTCGCTCTTAGGCAGTTCCACCGGTACTTTGGCTGCGACTGATGTGGTTGCGGTGGTAGTTGTCGTCGTCGTCGTAGTTGTGGTGGGTACCGTTGGTGGATTGGTGATTATCGGTCCTACAGGTTCCGGTGGGAAGAATGGCTGTTGTGATGGCGGTTGGAAGGGCCTCGATGGCGGGACAAATGCCAGCTGCGCATAGGGGTCACCATCGATCCAGTTAGCCGGACTTTGAGGCACGAACTGGTTAACCGGCGGAGGCGGAACGTACTGGGGTAGAGGAGGCGGTTCCATTACCACGGACTGCGCGCCATTGGTCTGAATTTGTTGTAGGATGGGCTGAAGCATGGCCAGCTGCTCCTTTGTGACTGTAACAAAACAGCAATGAATTTTCCTAATTTTTTGTATAAAATTTCCATTTAGATATTGCCTTGCGAATGTTACGTAGTTTTGGTCCCAGGGATACAGTATGTACAATACGTATATCGTATCGTATTGTATGATATGTGCAGTACTGTATTGCCATAATATTTTGACTAATTGTAAACACTAATTGTAAGCGATTGACTATCTGTGTACGTATCTGTACTTAATTGTAAACACCCGTACGCCTGAGATGTCCAAATAAATTATCTCCAAATAAATAAAATAATTATCTTTTATCTTACCATTGTAGTAACCGGGTTTCTGCATTTTGTTAATTAGTTCCCATGCTTCCGGTGTGAGAGCGCTCGCCGGCACAGCCATTCCATTGTTAGCAGCGCCGCCCATAACTGGCATGACGTTTACCGGCGGCCTCGGTTTCGCCGTGGTGGTTGTCGTGGTTGTAGTCGTCGTCGTTGTCTCGGGCGCATTAAATTTGTTGGTCTGAAGGAATGGTGGAGGTTGCGGAAATAAACTACCGGAAGCTAAAAATCGCCCAGAAAGTTAGATTAATTACCTTCTCAGGATTAATTAGCTGGCGTGATGCAATGGTTACTTTTTGTATTTCCTGAATTTGTTGGCTGATATTTATCGAAGGTTTGTAGAAATTTAACAAAATTTGCCTGGTCCGATGGATCAGCAAAATCGAACTGGGAGGCGCCGGAGGAAGAGAAGCTTGGCTTAGTTTTAGCATTAATCTTGTTGGTTGAAGCGGGAGCTGAATTTGGATCTTGCTGCATCATCGAAACCAGCTTTTTTTGCGTTTCAGGATCGGAGAAATCGATATTTCCCTGCGAAGTCTTTATCTGACCGGAGGCTAAGGGGTATTGTGGAGAATCAAAACTTCCCGAATTAGCCGCTGGCGTCGATGATTTCTTTCCGAGCATACTCCCAAAAAAGGCACCAAACCCTGCATATAATGAGCCATTAGTAGACTTTCACATTACGCTTTAGTTTTTCTTTTGAGTTCACCGGAAGCGATGTCACCGAAGCTCGGAACTTTGAAACCGTCCGAATCCACGGCATTGTCACCGGAAGGCTTATTTGCCGGTTTGGGTTCTTCCCGTTTGGGGGTGACCTTTTTGGTTGTGGCCGTTGTGGGTGTTGTTACAGTTGGCGAAAGGGGCGTTGTAGCCACATCCGGCATCCCATCCCCGTCGGTGTCCAAAGTGGGCAACGTGCTTCCCAACTCTGTCTTTGGGCGGGCTGGCGCCAGAGCCGAGAAGCCGGACATCAATGCTATGAACAAAAGTCGTGTGATAA